TTTTCCTGACAAATTGGATTAATGCCTACTAAAGAATTTTCCTGATAAATCGGTTTTAATGCCTACTAAAGAACTCTCCTGATAAAATCTCCAGTTTTTTTTAAAGGATGATCCGCTGACCAACTACCGTCAGGGATGGAAATCCCCCACAGTCCGTTTTCACTCCTGTTCCAGTCATCACTAGTTCCACATCCTTGGCATGAGCCATTCCTAAAATGATGTCGTGCCTCAACATGATGATTTGTCTAGTTTGTTTTTCCTCCAATAAAACAATAGTGATTTTTTTTAAAAAAGAACTGGACTGATTCCTTTTTCACTAGCCAAAAAGTTTTTGTTTGTTTCATCCTAAACTCATCTCCGATCCAGGACTGGATATCTTTTTATGGATAAAAAGGTATGTGCTTTGAATATACTTGTTATCTCCTAGAACTGTTTTTGAAGAAGAATTACTATTTTTCTGGGTTAGCCAAACTTCGTAAAATGTACAACTAACTATGTTTCACCCGGCCATTATATTTTTAGTTTTTCTCTTTCTAAATTGTTATTTTTTTGCAACTTTTTCATTCTTTCTATACCCAACCTTAACAGGGCAACCATATTTCCCAGATTACTGCTAACCCCTATATTTTGGCGGTCAGAAATCCGGACCCACTGAAGAAAAGCTAGGTTTATTCAGAGAAAGTAAGTTTCTTTTTGCATCTGATTTCATAACTTAAAATACCGTCTGCACTTATTATTTAGCTTATTTGAGGTCACCGGCTCAAGCCATTAAGATTGAGACATAGAAACATGCAGATCTGATCATTATATCTAAAGTTATTTAGGGTAGTCCTTTTATTTTGAGCACTGTACAAAAAATTGAAAGATAACACAATTTTTTAAATGATTTTACACAATTTATTCACTAGTTCAACTTGTACATCAGTAAACACACAATTTATTTAATACGAAAAGAAAAAAAAATTCCATAACTTTAATCAATATTTAGTTGAGCTAACTTCTTTTAGGAACAAAAGTTTTCAAGCTTCATAGCAAATGCATTTTAAGATAGCAGATAAGTATAAAACTTACACAATGAGTCATTTTATCACAATGCAATATAATAATTTCAGCTCTTTTTTTTTCTAATATCTTTCCATCAATTATACTCATTTTTTTTTTAAAAACAGTAACATTCCTATTCTTCCACTTAATTTTTAAATAGAATGAGGGTACATAAACAAAAGTATACAATTTTCAATTTTTTCTTACAATAAAAGTCATACAAAGTAAAGAGAAAATTTTTTTCTGACTATCAAAGCAATGGTAATATATTAACCCTCCAAACGTTAGCCATTGAACAAAATTGTACAGAAACTTCCCGGGGAAAGTCAAGACTTAATTAAGAGGGTTATAGGCATTATTAGAGAAGTAATTTCAATAATGATTTCTTTAATAATGCTAGAATGAATAATTTCATTCGAACTCATCACAGTCATAAAGGCATTAAAAATTATATAAAGGGTGTGCTATAATAACCACACTTATTATATACAGGGTGATATGAAAATCCTGGAAAAGGCTTGGCGGGTAAGTAGAGCACAACATAAGGATTAAGAATGACATAGAAACTCTAAACAAGAAATGTCATAGCATTATTAACTGTTTGTACGTTGTGTCTTTGAACAGGTAATTTTATTTATCTAAATTTTATTGTTTTCAAATAATTATTGTCAAAAATTGAATTCAAATTGGTTCAGTAGTGACTGTTTTTTTGTAATTTAATGATTTGAACACTAACTAGACAAGCTCCCCAAATCATTAAATTACGATAAAATGGCTATTTTTGAGCCTTCAGATAATAATTAATAGAAGACATAAAATTAACATGAAATTGGGATAATTTAGCTACTTCTTCAAAGGCACAAAAAAAGTTAATAATAGGGAAGATCCCTTAGCGGTGTACAATATTTCAAGTCATGGGTTCCTATGCTACTCCTAATCCTTATGGTATGCTCTACCTCCCTTCCGAGGTCCCATGGTTTTGGAATCACCTTGCATATGAAAATGAAGTAAAAACTATGCACATTAAGTGTCCCAAATTAATATTTAAGCAAGAGAAATTTTTTTCCATCAATTAGTATTGAGGTTTAGAAGAATAAAGGTAGTATTAAAATTATTAATAACCAATTAATTTTTTAGAGGAATTGAAATGCATTATTCCTATTTTCAAGCTTTCCCCTTAAACTAATTTTAATCCCTCTTTTGCTATTATTGAGTTCAATAGTTTATTAAATATTTATTTGTGACTAAAATGTGCATAAATTTGAATTTTTTTTACAAGTACTCAAAAAAGATATATCAAAGCCAGTCATAATGGAACACCCTGTATATTCAATGATACGGGTATCACTATACAAATCAGAATATTCAAAATAAATAGTTATCTTCTAGACGAATGAAATGTTTTAAAGTTCCTAACCTATACAGGAAACAACCTTGTGATGCCCTGCTCAGCTCATTGAAGAAACCTTAACTAGTATAAAAAAATTTAACATAAATATTGCAGAATGTAGAGGTGCTAATTTGATGTGTCAAAAGATTTACTTAGGCTAAAATGTGATTTGAGCAAAAATAATTTAGAGATGTAAAATATATATACAATAAAGAAAAATAAAAACCAGTTTTAATATTTTAAAGAAAGCGTCTAAAGTAGATCTTTAAATGCGTTATAAATCCAAAATACTATACATATAATTTGCAAATATTACTGATAACTTATTGTATTTTTTAAGGTAATTTAAGATTAAAACTGATAGTATTGTGCCTTCCTTAAAAGCCAATTCTTATAAAAAAAGAAATAGAAAGTTGCAGGATCCTATTTTACACATTTTATATTTGTAATAACAAAATAGTAGAATCCTGATTATACGACGCTTGATTATATGACACTTTGGTTATCTGACGACCCTACTGAATTTATAATTATTTAGGTGAAGAAAAAAAACTTTATTATAGCTACATCTTATTCTGATTAATTTTACTCATAATTTAGTTTTTATATACTTTAAAAACATATATAAGAAGTCCTCCCTGGCCTGATAATGTGTATAATTGAGGTTCTATTGCATTATTATAAAAATAACAAGAAAATTGTATTTCACTCGTAAAGAAGATAAGTCACAGCACAGTTATTATAAAAGGAATAAAACCTGCCAGAGGTTTGTAAATACATACTTTTATATACAAAGCATCATATATTACAATGAAACAGTCAGTCTGTTTTTAATTTCACTGAAGAAGAAAAAGATGAAAACTAAGTTCTAAATAGCACAATATTTTTATATTCAGAAGAGATCTCTAAGGAACAGGAATTTAGTTTACCTTCTGCTCTCAATCATATTCATGGCTACTTTCACGTTTTGTGGCTGTATTCTCTTCAAATGTTCCTAATTCGCGAGATCGAACTGTTTTGGAGACATTTTCAGTTAGTCCAGTTTGTGTAATCCTAAAATAAATAAAGGTTACATTTAAGAAAAATTATATTTTTTTTTTGTCAAAAGAAGAAAAAAAACAAGTTACATAAGATTTATGATTAGTTTTACTAATAGCAAAACCAGTATGAAAAAAAGAAAAACTAGTTATACTAGTTTTTGAATTTATCCATCAATAATAACTATTAATAATAAAACAAACTATCATGCATTAAAGCTGAGTAATCAGAAGTATATATATATACACTCATACAGTTGGACCTCTATTTAACGAAGTTGCTAAATCCCGATAATATATATATGGTTCCGATAATAAGTTCGTTATATGGAAAATTCACCATTATTTATTATGAATTATCATCGTTTAAAATACTTAAACAACACAAAACAAATTTTAAATTCATAAACACTAGACATAATTAAAATAGAAATTGATACACCTTTATCTTGTAAACTAGTATTTACGATTTATTTTATAAATCTTAACCATAAAAAATGTCTGCATGGAAAGCAAGAATAGAGCAAAATATTATCCAGTGTTACACTATCATGCTACATACATTTTCAACTAAAAAACCTAAATTTATGTATAAAATTCTAATTATAGCTGCATTTATTATAAAAGTAATTTTAAACATACAGTGCCACATGCGTTCTGAAGTTTAATAACTGATAAAATCTGTTAATTTTGTCTGAGTTTTTTGTTTGAAAAGCAAACAAAAAGGGAAAGGGATTTTCCTGTTTCTCTAAAGGATAACTGGCTTCAAAATCAATTCAATATCTCATTTCCCCAGATAAAATGTGTTAATAAGTTTGAAATGTTCTGAAATATTTTGTAAAAAATAGGGAAAGTGGATCTCAAAGAAAAGTTTGTTAAATAGAAAATTCACTTCGTTATTTGGATGTCATTTTTTGGAGAAATTTCTAAAATGTTCTTGGTTTCTCAGAAAAAAAATCACAAAATAGAGAAATTCGCAAAAAGGAAGATCGTTAAATAGAAGCCTGACTGTATGTGTGTGTATATATATATATATAGATAAAGAACAATTTACAGAGCTTATAGAAAAGTAAATCTTTAAAAATGAAAACAATAAGGGAACTTACACTTCATCCATGTCTATTTCATCATCTTGAGATAATCGAAAGTAAGGATTAGTGGTGGTAGGTTGAAAATTAACTCCAGTGACTACAAAAAAGGTGAAGGTAGCTGCTTCACGGAATACTTCATCCATCCATTCAAATTGGAAGGGAACAGTTATCTATTAAATGCATTATTATTTTATATTATAGTTGTTAATAACACAGAAGCATGCAATGATACATTCATTTGCTTTTATTCTGAAAACATATGAAATATTTAATCAGACACCCTGTAGAGTACTAATTAATCATCCCACAAATTTTCACAAAAATATTGAAAATACAGACAGGGTGCGTAGCCAAATCTTTGAATCAAAAATAAGCACTTTTTAAAAACTTTTCAAGCATTTTACAAAAATTTTCAAGCACTCAAAAAATTCATATTGAATCAATGATATTATTGAAAAACAAAAACTTTTTATGAACAGTTTTAGCATTAAAAAAAAAACTCAAAAGGAAACGGACGTAAATCGAAACAATCAGTACTTTCCCACATCACCGAGTAAATTCAACTTGACTCTGAACTCAGAACAAAAGTACCCTTACCCCCTATATCAAAAAAGTGTTAGAAGTAAAATAAAATAAACAAGAATAAAATTATAAATTAAAAAGAAAAACATTTAATAAGGATCTGACTCTATCCGAATTGGAGCACTCGGGTTCCAGTTTCGAGTGTGCGCGCATGCGCAAGTCATAACATGGGTACGACATGAAGTCCGTGTGAATGATTACGTAGCAAACACCCCATTTTTCGTGAAATGCAGGGGATCCACCAAATATCACCGAAGAAAGAAAAAAAATTATTCGTGAAAAAAAAGCACTTTTTAAAAACGCCAGCTGAAAAAAGCACCTTTAAAAGCTTTTAAAAACGAAATCTCCCAAAAAGCACCTTTAAGTACTTTTTACAAACGCTACGCACCCTGACAGATGAGGTGAAAAAATGGCAGCAAAGAAGGGGAGGGGAGAAATTAAATTTGATATGACCTAAATGTTATTGAATTTAATTATACAAATAAGAATTTATAAACCAAAGTTAGCTTACTTTTTTTTATTCCTCTACTCATGCTTATTTTTATTTAAAAAAAGCTTAGTCTTATTGCTGTGCATTAGACAAATTAATAAAACTGTAACTACAACATAAAAGCAAAAAGAAAAAAAAAGAAGGCATAATTTTTAAGTTACGCATTTAAGCGAATACATTTGCATACAATAATTCTTTGTTAAAAACAATGTTCTGCATTACTTCTTCAATACTCATTTGTGCTTAATACCTCCTTGGTAATAATACTTGGTTGATAATACTGAACACTTCTTAATTATACTTAAAAGTCTTGATACAGATATAATATTGCGTAATTTTTTCTTTCAACAAATTAATAATAGCTACATTCATATGTTTTCACTAATATGTTTTCGTTTTTTTTTTACATGCCCTGCAAGGTATTTAAAAATTGAGATTTTTCAAACCCTGCTAAAAACATAAATATCTGATGAAAATAATGTCCAGTTCATGCATTTTGGTTGAACAGATAAACCATATGAAAAATTGCACATGTTTAATTATTTTCTACTAAAAATGTGTTATTTTGTAGTCATGACTGGAAGCAAAATAAGGAATTCAGCATGCATTCCCAGAATAACTTTAAATAACAGGTGATTCTCTGCAAGTAGGTTAAAATGATGTAAATAAAAGATATTTTAACTTTTTCTATAGAAAAATGAATAGGTTATTTTTTTCAATACATAGTTTGAAGATATATTTATTACGTTATATCTTAAAGTTTGAAGTATTATTTGAAATAAATATTTATATGAATACATAAAACACTATTTCTTTCAGAAATGTCTATACTTTTCCTGTTCAAATTTTATCTGTCAAAATCAACACTTGAAAGATTGTTTTTATGTATTAAATTAATTTTTTGGTCTTTAAATGAGTTTATTTTTAGCAAGATAGCTTGAAATCCATAATTCCTATCATTTCTTCACTCATAGTAATTCAGATCGAGGACTATACCATTTCAGTAAAAACAGTGCACAAGTTCTAAGAATATGTTCTGATAAAACAGAAAAACAAATTTCAGTGATTTGGAGAAGTTCCTAAGTGTGTGAAAATAAACTGACTAAGCAAATTGGATAAGTTAATCTAAGAAGATATATTGTTATTTTAATTCTACTTATGCGTATATTTCTAAAAAAAGCAAATAATGAGAATGCTTTCTTTTCTCATCTCCTCACTAAGAGAGATTGGTCCTAAGGTTTTTAAAGTCAAGTTTATTTTTGTTTTGCTCTGTTATTTTATTACAGCAGTTAAGCACTGACATATTCCTTAATATATTAATTTAAATTATGCTTATAACTAAAAATATTATTCCTACACTATGTTATCAGTGCCTTACTTTAATAAAGATTTATAATTTTTGCATTTCTTTTAATATTGTTGTAGTAGTTAATTTACGTCGCACTAGAGCTGCACGATGGGCTATTGGCGACGGTCTGGGAAACACCCCTGAGGATGATCCGAAGACATGCCATCACAAATTTGATCTTCGGCAGAGGGGATGGCACCTCCGCTTCGGTAGCCCGGCGACTTGCACGTGAAGTCGAGCCCTTTACGGTAGAACAGTTTAACGATGGCCAATACTGCACACCCTCGGTCCTTACTCAGACTGATCCAAGTGGTCAACCACCCGCACACTGACCGTAGCCAGAGATGCTTGACTTCGGTGATCTGCTGGGAACCGCGTCTTAACAATCAGTCCACTGCGGGACTTCTTTTAATATTAAGCACGACTGCAATATTCTTCTTTATTACTATATCTTATTACAAAAAAAATTTTTACAAATTTTCACACATTTTGTTTTGTTATTCTCAGAAAATAGCCTATTTGTCGAAATTAACCCAAACACAGATGATAACAAATTATCATTTACATTGCAAGTATAATTTATGCATATTTGACCTAGACAAGGTGTAGTATATTTGGCATAAAAATTAAATGTTTCAAAACAAAAGGCTGAGGATGGAAGTTTAGAAATTTGGAACATTGTTTCTTCAAAAGAAGATAAGTATTAAAATACCTTTTTAATTGTTACATATAATGTATTGTATTTTAAATAAAAAGCACTTAGGAGAGTATCCTGTCTGATTAGTTTTATGATTTTTAAATTGATTTAGGTTTTGCCATGCATGCTTCGGAAACTGATTGAATGTCCTTTTTTGTCAAAGGGAATTTTACACTTATGATTAATGAAGTTATTTTTCTTTAACAATGTATATTTCTGATAATTCTATATGTTTGGTTTAGTGGTTGGCAAAAAAGTTCAACCCTTAACATGGAACGTGAGCAGGCCATTTTGTAGCTGCTGAGTGTGTTTGGGAGATCTGAGACTAAGTTATCGAGCATTTGTTATTAGAGGGCAAAACCCTGCAGAGGAATCCTGCAGTGATCCCCAATCATTATACAGATAGTAATCCAAGATTTTCCTCAGTTGATAGTGAATTTCCACAAGAATTTCAGTTTTTGAGTGATATTTTCAAATTCTCTAAAAATGTAGTTTTTGGCCTATTTTTAGGGAACAAAATAATGTGCTGCATTATCTTATTTTCCTAAATTAGTTATCAAAAATAATTAATAATTTATAAGCACTGTTATAACAGTTATAATCATAGCAGCCAACAAGGATAAGAAAAACTACAATAGATTTTATGAAATAATATAAATTTCATGATAACTGTTACAAAATATACTGGGCATTTTAGGGATTTTTATAGTCATCAATAAAAGAACTGCAATATTTTTCAGTTACGATTTCACATTAAATGATTTTGAAAAGTTATGTATTATTTTTATTCATAATTTTGAATAGTAATAGGCATTTAATTCTTCAAAGATGGTTAACTGAATTTTATAAATGAGGCTTGCTTTATTATGTATTAGTGACACTTATTTAAACATTCAAGAAAGCAATAATCTGCACAAAAATTCTATTTCATTAGGGAGTTTTTAAGGAAACTTACTAAATTTTAGGGAATTTTCTAAAATGTACCAAAAACCAGGAGAATTTTTATTAAATCAGTAGATCAGGAGAAACTGGCAAAATCCAGTAGCGAATGGATCTTAATAATAAAAAAATTTTAAATGTNAGAGGTACCTATTTTGTGAAAATTTAGACATAATTTGTGAAAAGTTAAAAATTATACTAAAAAATCAATACAAAAATATGGATTTATTGTTTCTTATGGGATACAAAAATAAAATTTTAAGAAAAAATATTTTGTGAAACTACCGTTTTCCCTAGAATTGAATTTGTGAAGGTACCGCTAAACGGTAGCAAATTTGGCCTGGACAAACCCCTGGTTATACATAATGTATTGTATTTTAAATAAAAAGCACTTAGGAGAGTATCCTGTCTGATTAATTTTATGATTTTAAAATTGATTTAGGTTTTGCTATGCGTGCTTCAGAAACTGATTGAATGTTGAGTGTCCTTTTTTGTCAAAGGGAACTTTACACTTATGATTAATGAAGTTATTTTTCTTTAACAATTTATATTTCTGATAATTCTATATGTTTGGTTTAGTGGTTGGCAAAAAAGTTGAACCCTTAACATGGGAAGTCCATTTTGTAGAATGCCGTGTTTGGGAGCAAAGCATCTGAGACTAAGTTATCGAGCATTTGTTATTAGAGGGCAAAACCCTGCAGTGATCCCCAATCATTATACAGATAGTAATACAAGATTTTTCTCAGTTGATAGTGAATTTCAGATGGATAGATGGCCTAGAAAAGGAACTTTTGGTCTTAAAAACTAAAAATTGGAAAAAACTAGCAAAAAAAAAAGGTTAGCCTGGAAAAAAATTCTTGCAAAGACCAAGGCCCACCCTGGTCTGCCAAGCCATTGATGATGATGATAGTGAATTTCCCTGCGAATTTCAGTTTTTGAGTGTTATTTTCAAATTCTCTAATTATGTACGTTTTCGGCCTCTTTTCAGGAAGAAAACATTATCTTATTTTTATAAATCAGTTATGAAAAATAATTTATTATTTATATACACTATTATGACAGTTATAATCATAGCAGCCAACAAGGATAAGAAAAACTACAATAGATTTTATGAAATAATATAAATTTCATGATAAATGTTGCAAAATATACTGGGAATTTTGGGGATTTTTACTGTCATCAATAGAAAAACTGCAACGTTTTCCAGTCATGATTTCACATTAAATGGCCTTGAAATGTTATGTATTATTTTCATTCATAATTTTGAATTAGCAATTAATTCATCAAAGATAGTTAAATGAATTTTATAAATGAGGCTTGCTTTATTATGTATTAGTGACACTTATTTAAATATTCAAGCAAGCAATAATCTGCACAAAAATTCTATTTCAATAGGGAGTTTTTAAGGAAACTTACTAAATTTTAGGGAATTTTCTAAAATGTACCAAAAACCAGGAGAATTTTTATTAAATCAGTAGATCAGGAGAAACTGGCAAAATCCAGTAGCGAATGGATCTTAATAATAAAAAAATTTTAAATGTTATCTTAATTAAATGTGAGACATAGAGATTAAAGAGAAATAAAAATGTGTTACCTTTAAGAGATATACAATAATTCTTGTAAAGTAAATGTAACAAACAATCTGGAAAAAAAGATAGATTATTAATGCCTGCATTATCCAACAATTATTTTAATTAATATTATCATCATATATTTTTTAAATTTCTGTATGAAAGAAAAGCAAACACGATAAGTCAAAATTTAGTTGAAAATTATTATATTTTAAAAATTATGTGTACTCACTATTTGTAAGGTCCGAAGACTAAAAAACAACATGCAGGTTTAATATATTCTCTTATTATAACTTTAAATTTTAACATCTATGTATCTCATTACAGTTTTAAAAGTATTTTTTTCTTTTATAATGAAATTTTACTGCAAAATCGAAACACAGAAACTATGAAGTTTCTTTCATAAGATTTCATGAACTAAATTTTAGATTGAATGAATTGGATTTTAAACTAAAAATTATGTCAATTCATATTAGTCTTAAATAACGAGAAAGGATTTACTGAGAAATTAGAAAAAGGATACATATGGTAAAACATGGTTTTTAGAAAAAAGGCAATGCCTCTAAAATTTTTAGTATTTTCCAAAAAATCATTGATTTAAAAGTTTTCCACAAGAATTATTCAGATTAAATTTTAAGTGATAAAAGAATCGGATATTACTTTGGTTTCAGTGACATAAAAAATCATTTATTATTGATGTGAATGGTATTTGTGCACACCTATGTAGAAATAAATGCATTAAAAAACTATAAATTTTTCTTCAATAATGGAATCTATTAAAAATGCTAAGCCTCCTCAATAAATGAACAGTTCTATGTTTCAGATATTTTTACAGCTTCTGAAGTAGCAACAACTTATTCTAACTTAAAGATAATGTTATTAAACTTATTTCAATAGTTGTAATAAACATAATATATGATTTAAATGAATCTCAGTTCTGAAAATTCTAGAACAGGCAATCATTACATACCATTACGTAGAAATGTCGGAAAAGCTTCAATTTTTCCAAATTTATTGCAGCTTTTCCATCTGTATGAGAAGCTTCTTGAAGATGCCTGATAGACCTGAAAAAATAATATAACAATCTATTAATTCTAAATAACTATAATAAATTAATAGAAATAAAATTTCTTTCTGTAATATAAAAATTTACAACTGACTAACTTTGTCTTCTTGTTTGAAAGGTTAAACATGTTGATTTTATAATACACATAGATATAAATTATAACTGGAAGCAACATTTTGTGCTAGAACTAGAAATATTTAAAAATTCCCAGATAATTTATCAATATAATCACATCATTTATCTTACTTGTGATTAAGAATGGAAGTTTATTTTAACAGAAATCTCAATCTTTAAAATAAATTGTTTGTTGTCTAGTGAATATTGTTGCAAAACTGAACATATGATTACTAAAAGAAAACTAGAACAAAGAAATCATTATAGAAAGAATATTTTGGGGTACTAATTCTATTATTAACAAAAGTTAAGAAAATTAGCTGCCAAAACCAATAGGGGAAAAAATTCCGGTAGATTTTTCAAAATAATATAAATTTCATGATAACTGTTTTGCATAATGTATAATGAATATTTTACGTATTGGGAATTTTAGGGATTTTCAAATATGAAAGAAAAGCTTCAAACTGATTACTATAAATGAGGATCACTTCATTATGTAATAACTCTACAACAATAGGGATTTTCCTTTTTAGTGAATTTCCTAAAATGTGCAAAATCAGGAGAAATTTTATTATACCAGTAGAAACCGGCAAAATCAAATAGTCTACTGGTGAATCCAGTAGAGTTGGCAGCTATCAGAATGCAATGAATTTATAAAAGAAATAATAGATGTTAGCTTTATTTACTATTATATCATATTCTATACTTTCTTTATATACTAATTATGGTGCAAAATAGTTAAATAAAAGGCAAGTAAATGCTATACCAAACAACAGGGAATAATATAGCTCCACAGCATATTAAGTCCACGAGGATGAAAATTTCTCTCCAAGTGTAATGTTGAGATTGGCCTTCTTCACTTTCTTCCATTATAATTTTGGCCACATTTGCAAGAACCTATAATATTAGATCTGACTGCATCACAAACCAAAAAACTTTAATATTGGAAATAAATTTATAAAGTGATTAAAAGAGATTACCTGAAGAGGTATAACAATCATAAATATTTTCTTGTCTTTGTCACTTAGAATGTGTTTGATAAATGCCCATCCTGTACCAATTAGAACAATTGTTATAAACAATAGGGCTCCCTTAAGTCTGAAAAAAAGTAACAATTATAAAAAGTAGAAAAATACATAAATGATAATATTTATGTGCCTTAATTTTATGTGTTTGATAAATGCCCATCCTGTACCAATTAGAACAATTGTTATAAACAATAGAGCTCCTTAAGCCAGAGAAAAAAGTAACAATTATAAAAAGTTGTGAACTAATACATTGGTAACATATTTGTAACATACTCCATGTGTAAATCTAGATTTGTTTCTTTTCTCACATTATAGCTATATAGAAGTAAAAATTTTAAAAAATGTTGTAAAAATGTTGTCCACAAATTTTCAGAAGTTGCTGTAGAGTATTATAGAAAAAAATATAATTGAATTTATTGAGAAAAAGTTAAAATTAAGAGAGGTTATTTTATCCTTTCTTATACTTGATTAATTTTTTTAATTGACTTTCTTATTTGGTTGTTCCTTTGTTATAAGTATGAACTTTGTTGACCAACAATTTTACACAGAAACTATGTCATATCACCAACTAATACTTCACAATTAAATTAAATATTTATTTCATACCCAAACTTTGTTGACCGATGACAAATGAACTTGTAATGGGTCAACAACCTTTGGCATGAAAAGATGGGTTAACTTGTCAGTGATCAACAACCTGTTAAAATAATGAAAATTAATTTAAGTTAACAAATTTGCTTCCATAATTTAAGTTCAAATATAAAATAGACTAAATTTAATAATTAACTTCATTCATTTCAAGTTCTAAAAACATTCTAAAACAGGAAAATTCCTGTAAAATATTTAAGGGGAAATAGTTGCATTATTGGATTTCTAAATCGCCTGAACATGAATCGAAAAAAAAAACTTTTTAATCACGTAAATACAAAAATCAATGTTTGATAAAAAAATCCTGTGAATAAGAATCCCGGATATAAGTAGATTCCAGCGCAGCTCCAGGTTTGGGGAAAATCCACTAAACCAAAAGAATAAAATTGGGGGAAGAATTACATGCATATAAACACCACATTAACAGAATTTAGCAAAAGTTTTACATTTTTGTTGAATTATAAGTTTGTGACTCATGAAAGTCCAAAAACCAATACTGTTCAGATACAATGCAATACTCATGTTTTATATGGAAAAATCATATGCACTGCTTCAAGTTTTTAGAGCCTGAAGAATAATATAGAAACCCCTGAATTCTGGAGTAAACCTGCTATACAATCCCCCCTGATTAAGTTAAATAACTAATTGAATAACTGATACTTTTACTAACAATATCATAGATTTTACAATACAACATTGCAATGAAATTCCACTTACAAATGAGTTATATAATACAACACAGCCCAAGCTTCCATTGGAGTTCCATCTTTAGCAATAATGTTATAGTTAATCTAAAAGAGATTCCAAAATAAATAAATAAAAAGCATAAATGTTTTGTTAACATTTTATACATGCTTACTTACATCAAAATGCTAACAAAAGAATCTTTAAATAAAAAATTGTTCAGGCTGATGTATCTAAATATTACAATTTAAAAAAAAAAGCGTATAAAATTATTTGTTCGGTCATCAGTTCAATGTTTTATGTGCAAAATGTTATATTCCATACATATATTAAATTACAATAGTAATGAACTAAATAATAAAAAGGAAAATTCAGATTATCAATATTAATTAAGTGTTTCTGTAGTACTTTATTACATTTCCCCATAATGGGTTGAAGAAAAATTTTGTTCTTGACACATTTTAGAAGTCTGTAGAAAAATTATTAATTAAAAAAATAATCAAATTATCATTAAATTTCATAAAACTTTTAGTATCAGATGGCATAAGATCCTAGTACAAATGTTGCACAGAGCACAAAATAAAAAATATATCTACTTGAAAAACTTTCATTCTAATAATCAGATTTTGACGTCAACAACGATTATCTGCAATATTGTTGATTTTTAAGTCACTGCAATGAGTATAAAGATGAAGCAAGTTTTCAAGATTTTCATCAGAAAGTGATGAGCGAAATTCAGAGCAAATCCATTTAACTTTAGTGCATAGGATACCTAATATAGCATCTGCTATATTTTTTAACTATTTTTTTTATACAGTTTATTTTCTAGTAGCCAAACTGACACCCACAATAAATGATTCTAAAAAAAAATATATGTATTTATGTCTTGATGATCGGTAAAAATACAATGCAAAGTTATTGCCAGATTTCCATTGGTAAATAACTAAGTGCATTATCGGAGAAAAAAGGATTCACTGACTAAACGACTCACAGCAGCAGTCTCACTACATCTTGTTTGGTCAGCTTATCAGCGCAAAAATTGAAATAGCGCCATCTGTTGAGGAATAAGAGAAGTATTTTTGCTATTATGAGATATTTAATTGCTGAAGAAAATTTGCTTTTAAATTTCTTCAAAAAATATGGAGAAATTCGCGAATATACAGATAAACGAGTGACAGTCGTAAAATATGGGAGTCTTTGTTAAAAAGCAGGAGACTTGGCAGGTATGCGAGTATATTCTTGTTTCAGTTTTCATCAGCTCAATATTTTAACAATTATAAAAAAATTAGAGTTCATATGCTTTGTCATATTTGTTATTACATTTTCTTATTCCCTTTTATCACTATACACAGCAGCAAACAAATAAATTTTCAAGTATACACAAAAGTTTTTTGGGAGAATTGTTAGATTTGGTACAGAAAAATTAAAAAGTTTTTTGGCATTAAATACACATGATTAAGTTAAAACAATAAAGACATAGAGATAGGTCAATAATCAAAGAAATTAGAAAATATGATTATAGTATAAAATATGCACTCAGTAAACAGAAAAGCAGCTTACTCCGTGAAATAGTAGAGAGAGCGACTTCAAAAAGACTAGTAGTCCCATCAAGTAATGGATCTTGAAAGCTTCTTCTCTAAAATAAAAAAGAAAGTAAATAATTTTGTCTTGCTATTTTTCTTATTGTTTGCTAAGGTGGTAATAATTTTAAAGAGAAATACAAAATGTATACAAATTTATTTAATATAAATTTAAATACATTAAAAATTGATAAATAAAAATTCATTATGAAAATTATTATTTTCTTTAAAAGGGATTAAAATCAAAAGACTTTCATTAAAAAATATAAGGTTTTGGAACATTATTTTCTGTAAACTCACAGCAAAATAAGTAAAACTTTAAGATAATATTCAGATATACATATTTAACTTTGAACTAAATTAAAATCAATACAAATAAATTATAAAATGCGTACAAAGAGCTTTTAGGTACTAAGATAATTTAATTTTTTTTATTGCTTAAAAGAAGACATATTAGGTGGGGGGGGGGAATGATTTTCACGAGGGCAATAAAATGCTACTGTACGTGCAGTTATTTTAGTAGAAATTCTGGAAAATTTTAAAGAATCCATTTTGAAATAATACTGATAATTATTCTGATGTAAAGATTAGCAGCTTTGAAATAAAAGTGTGGCTTATTACACCAGGTCCTTAATACGAATATGCAAATAGCAACATACACAAGGCGTTAAACATACTTTTTCTTCCTTATGACTGCAATCCACACAAAACCAGATACCAAGAAGATGAAAGACATCATAAAGTATAGATTAGGTAAAGGTATTTCTCCAGCAGATAGATAGTTTTTTCCATTATGTTCAATTATTCCAATCTAAAGTAAAGCAATATTTTTTTAAATAAAAGATTGCTGAAGGAAACTTTTAGAATTACATGCAATAGTAAAAACAAATTATACAGCTTGCTAGAAAAAGAATTATGTAAGGTCATATGCACATACAAAGTTTCCTTTATTGCTTGAGGCCAGAACATATAAATTATTTCTTATAAAAATACAATTAAGAATAGATAGTTTTTTCCATTATGTTCAATTATACCAATCTAAAATAAAGCAATAGTTTTTTTTACATAAGATTGCTGAAGGAAACTTTTAGGATTGCGTGCAATAAGAAAAAAAATTACATAGCTTCCTAGAAAAAGAATTATGTAAGGTCATATGCACATACAAAGTTTTCTTTTATTGTTTGAGGCCAGAACATATAAATAAATTATTTCTAATAAAAATACAATTATAGAAAAAGATTAAGAGGTAAAAATGAACAACAAAAAAGTTATGGAAAGTTTAATAGCTTATGGAATTTACAATGTAAGAGTAGATTTTATATGATATAATTTATGAATGGAGAGAATACAAACTATCGAACCGAAAGATTAGCTGCCATAGGAAATTCTTCATTCTCAGCACAATTGTGAAAATATACACTGTAGAGGCCAACTGCTTGTTCATTTTTCATGTGGATGATAAACTGAAATACAATAAATCACATATATAATTCTTTATACCTTAAAAATAAGTCAGTAAAATAAAAATAAAATCAGTCAGTAAAATAAAAATAAACAAAAAATCATTCATATCTAGTCCATAACTATACTTCAACAATTTAATTTTAAACCCTAAGCTCAGTTCTGAGTAAAACTCCTTCACTTTTTGCTGCTTAGAAAAACCAAGATTATCTCCCCTTTATGCAACTAAATGAAGAAACTGCTAAGTTAAAAAAAATTTTAGTAAAAATTTGGAGAATTAGAATGGCAATTAAAAGGTTAAGCTACTACTACAAATCATATACATTATGAAATTTCCAGCATTAGTACTGTTTATAAGATGAAAAAAATTAAACTGGTAGTTTTGCTCAAGATCTTGTGATCATATTTAAATAAAATTAAATTAAAAAAAAAAAAAAAAAAAAATAGGGTGACCTGGGGTAATTCCTGATCAAAAAATGCAAACATCTATTTTGTGAAAAAACTATTCAAGATAGAATTTTAATATTTACTGGCAGTTTGAGGCTATATAAGATGAGTCTTATGCCACCTTCTTTTGTTTGAAAATCTAATTAGAATTTAAAAGATTTTAAATTTTTAGTGATCAGGAATTACCCCTGGTCTTGATCATTTCTGGGGTAATTCCTGATCACTTCTGGGGTAATTACTGATCACCAGTTTTTATTGTAAAGGGGCTGTTTAAAAATAATTATATAATGGTAATTAACAAATAAGACATCAAGATCAAACAAATAAACCAAAAAGATATGTTTAAGCAGCTAATAAAATGATTTATTTAAAAGCAAGAAGAACGATTAACACTTTAAATTTTCAAAAATCTTTGCATCGTGCCATACATTTTAGGCAATCAGCCAACTCATTCTCATGTTCTTCTGAAATATAAGAGAGTTCCCACATGGGTTACTTTTGCTGGATTTTTTAACTTCATTAAGGGAAAGTGTAAAGTTAAGTAAGGTATGTCAACAGCTCTGGCAGCAGCTCTCACACTGAAATTTTCATTTTCAATCATTAAAAGAAATTCACTAATTTTGTTTTCTAGAAGCTTAGTATCCTTTTTAGGCTTATAATTTCTCACCATATTTATACTAGGCTAATTTATAAACTTAAAAATTATTCTAACAATGTACACACATAAAATTAAGATAGAAGCAAGGTAAGACAAACCAGAAATGGTGCAAATCAGAATACAGTCTTGTATACAGTTAAAAACAAATTTTGTGATAACAGTTAAAATATATTTTATAGTTGTTCCACTTAATAAATATGATCATTATTTAGCCCAGAAACAGAGTGATCGTGAATTACCCCGGGTCACCCGACTAAATAGAAAAAAAAAGAAGTCTGCACAATTCTAAGGGATATGCACAAAAATAAAAAATCTTCGTATAAATCAGAATTATCCTAAAAACTAGATTTAAATATCTGGAGAAATTTTTTTTGGTGGGACTCTTAAATGTGAAATTCCCCTTTTTAAGAGACACAAATGTTGCAGACATAAAATATTAAATTAAACATAGTATAAAATTTAAAAGAATAAATTTTGAGTGTTTTTTTTTATTTAAAAATGAATTTTGAAAAAAAAAAAAAAAAAANAAAATTTAAAAGAATAAATTTTGAGTGTTTTTATTTATTTAAAAATGAATTTTGAAAAAAAAAAAAAAAACAAGATTCACCCTAATACTATAAATAAATCTAGAATCTTGAGTTATTTTACTTGGAACACCACCAAAAAAGAATATTTTAAGTACCTCACAAAGTCTAGCCTTGGCTATAATTTTTCTCCCCCATAGTGACATATTATTTTTCTAAAATCTTCCCTTAATTCCAAAATCATTCATTTTAAGAAATCTTAAAATTTTATTAAAACTCAGGAGCTATGTACTTTCATCAGGAGATTAAAAACTAACATGAAGTCCTTTGAAAATAAAGGAAAAGTAACCAGGTTTTCCAAAGATGACTAGAGATGAGAAAAATCAATTAAAGAAAAACAGAAGGAAATAGAAATGTACAATTTGAATAGCTTTTCTTAGATAAAAGGGTAATATTTATAATCAAGTTTGAAAATTAGTTATAAAGTTTTTCAACAGACTGCTGCTGAGAAGAAGACAAACTTTGCACATAATTTTGAAATTTAGAGGGGGGAAAAAAACTTGTTTAACATAACACTAAACTGTGCATTTCTATCTCCATTTTCCTTTCTTGTTTTGATTGTTCAAAGCACCGCTCAGTTTTGGTAGAACCCTGTAAAAATAGACACATGGTATCACTACCAAGCTGATAACTTTATACAATTTCAAAAAGTTCTTTTACCTCCAGATCTGTTATAGTTCTTCTATGTCCATCAATACTACTTTTAAATGGTATTTTGAAAGAATTACAGGTTTTTGAATTTAAAACATCAGCAGTTAGAACATCTTTTTTAGTGTTGACTTCTACTGGTTGCTGAACGGTATCTCGATTTACAGGTACATCGGTAACAGTTTCTTCTTTGGTACTTGACTTATCTTCAATTAATTTTACCTTTGGTTTTTCATTTACCTCTTGCACTGAAAGAAGTAAGAAATACATATTTTAGTGATCATGATAATTTAAAACTGCAAAAACTATTTTAATTCCAAAATAAAGGTAATTTAAATGCATAGCAGTAATCATACAAGTTGAAATTACTTCGAAACAAAATAAATAGGCATGTCATTTACAAACTATTTTCATGAGCAAGTCCTGCAAATCTCTAATTTAATTATTATTAATAAATTAATAGCTTAATAATAATTTAAATGACACAAGATTTTAAGTTTTTTAGTTATTATAATTCAGAAATTTTTTTTCCCAATGTCTCTGATTCAACATTAATAGACATTTTTAGCATGATCTTGTGACTTTGCTTTATAAAATAACAATTAAAAACAACAAATAAATAATGTCAAAATTTATTTTTGAAACCTAAAATGAGACTCATAGATTCACACACTTATTTTAGGTTTTAAATGTATAACATTGGTCAAACATATATGTAACAAAAAAAATTAATGATAAAATGTGTAAAAATAATTATTCATAAATAATAATAGTATTCAATGTTTACCTTTAGCATTATCTAATTTAGGGTTTTCATCAACAGAACGTTTTTGCTTTATCATATTTTGAACTTCACTTATTTGGCCCCTAGGAACACGTTTTGGGAACTTATCTGGGAAAGTAATATTCTCTCCTTCACCAGATTTAATATCAAGAAAAGGCAAAAGGCTGCTACAGTTCACCAACAATCTATAAAAATAAATTAAATATATCTCAGAGGAAACAAAAATATGCACATAAAATGTTTCAAAGTATTTAGAAATAAAGATACATGGTATATATTTCATTATTATTTAACATTTTATTCTTTTTGCCTAAAATCTGGTTAGAATGAATTATTAAGTACTTAGCAAGCTAAATGACTTTATTTATTTATATAATAAATGGTTAACTAATAAGAAATTAAATTGATTGATGCAAAAATTTAGAATTAACAAATATAATATTTTGAATTGATACATTAATAAATCAAGCTTTGAAATGAATTCAGAAGTTCCATAAAAAGAAGTTTCAAAAAAAGAAAAGAAAAATAGCAAGATTTTTCACAGTTGAAAAACAAGTTTTAAATTTTTTATCGAAAATTTCACTTTTTTTTTTTGTGACACAGAATTTTCTTTTTTTTCTTCTGGTGTAATTAATATTTCTCTCTCTACGCTTACGTAGTTTGAAACAATCTTAAGAATTATAAGAAACATGTGATGATGCAGTTCACCTCAAAATCTTTTCGTATATTTCTTCTTAACTGGTATCTAGAAAATTGCTTTAGCAATAAAGCAAAAACATCTTGTATCTTAAGATAGTGTTTAATCATTTCGGTAAAAATGCTACCATAAAACTTTCTAGAAGAAAACTAATCAACGAGAAACAAACGTGACACCCACTTTTATTTTAGTTTGAAACAATTCTATATTTACATCTTTTAATCATTTAATTACGTATACATTCATATATTTTGTAGTAATTAAACTCACAAGTAATGTTACATTTAACATTAAGTATATAAATTAGTAAAATATCTATTTCTTATGATAATAGTAACACATTTTGGAATACACAGTTAATTTATAAAACACAACTTTCAAAAAAATGGCAAAATAAAACAATGCTAAAAAAAATTTTCAAAATCACTGTCTATCTTTTTATAAATACAAGCCATCTCCAAATGAGGAAAGATTACAAATAAAAATAAATAAAAAATCTGTAATTAAATGATGCAGAAAAACATTCAATAAGTTTCAATAATTTTTAAATTAAAATATAAAAGCTAACTCCAAAATTAAAATAAAAAATAGCCAGAAGTTATACGATTATTTTCATTATATTAATACCAGAAATTAGAAACTATTGGAAGTTACTACCACTAATAATTAATTGACTCATTAATATAACCATGACATATTTATGTTAATAAGAAGACAAATAATACGAATAAAAAAATACATGTCCTACAATAAGAATAAAAAAATATTTACTACATTGTAATAATTAATAATTGTTTCAATAATTCAGAATACATCACTCAATCTAAAATAAATTTATAAAAAATATCAAGATAACAAATGCAGCATGATTAAAAATAAGATACATACTCATTATTTTTTAAATCTAAAAGAAAAGATACAATCTGGATATTTCCATCAGTTGTTAGTGCATCATCAGCCAGAAAACATCTGTTTTGCTGATTCTCCTAAAAATATCAGATTAAGAATCATTCAAAGATTCAAGGATACTTTTATGTTGCAGTAAACTAATGTAGAATACTCTATCAGAACAAAACAAATGTAGATAATAGAGGCTGATTATTGTTTTAGTATAGCAAATATCACCATCAGGACAGGCATACAGAATGAAATTAATATATTAGCTTCTTAATTATAATACTTCTTACAGTATCAAAGCAATCATCTATCCCTGCAAACTATATTATGTTCTTGTTATTCTACTTAATCTGAAGAGTTGTTTTTTTATAAAAATAATAAGAAAAAAAAAAGAAGACAGAAATATAGAGATATCAGCAATTAAAAATAAAATTAAGGCATCTTGCCTTTTTTTTTTGGCAAATTTTTATGTTCTAACAGGAAGTTAAAAAAAAATTATTTGAAAATGAGATTTTCAGTAATAAGATCTCACAATGAAAATAAAATAAAAAAATACTGGAAGATTTCATACATTGTTAAAGCTCCAAGTTACAGTTGCCAATTCTAAAGGACACCTTATTTTACACTTTAACCAAAATCACTATTTGATTTACTCAATTTCATCATAAATTTGCTTCATTCTTTGATCATTTCTTCAGCAGTTATGGATTTTCATTCTCTTCTTAAATACCGGTATTTACAATGCTTAATTATGGCATGTGAATTTCAACCAGATGTTTAAGTAGGTAATTTCTTTCTTACGAGGCACTATCCTTGCAAAGATTTTACTGTAATTCACATTTCTTATCAATCAGTTTTTCAGCAGTAATTGCTTCGTACATTTTTAAATCCCAATGTTTTAGTAGTACAGTAAAATTATAACAATTGCATTGAATTGTCACACTCAATTACGACAATTTCATCAAAAATTCTAATGGTTTTGTGCATTTTTTTCCAAGCAATAATTGTTACGAGTCTTTAAAGTTGATTTTTTTCAAAGCGACGTTACTAAGAAATACTAATTTCTGTATTGCACCTCCAATTTAATATAGATTTAACTAATCTTTCCCTGTTACGATTTGGAAAAAAAGTCCAGACTTTAGAGACTTTTCAAGGTTATACTGTATTTCCACAAAAACACATTTATTTCTTCTAAAGATCTTCATAATTTTAAAATTATGTCCTTTCCTCTCTCTTTTTTCCAGAAATTCTTTGTTTGATTGTAAATATTTATTATTTTTTCTAATTTTAATTAATTATCATAGGTTGTGTAAACTATATGATCACAAGGACATTTTGATTTTTATTAAATTTTAATTACTCAAAATGTAACTTACCATATAAGGAGTAATGCTGTCGCTAACTGTTTTCGTAATAGTCAGTCCAAGCTAGGAAAAAATATATATTTGCAAAAATTAGAAAACAAATAAAACGAGCATTTTTTTTCCGGTCACTCCTATTTTTTGCTTAATATTAAATACACTTGATCTGTATGGTTTCATAAACTAAATGATTTTTATTTTTTACTCCATTTCTTCTCTTTTTTTTTCTTTGAGACTCCAAACACTATTCCATTGATATATTTTGGTTCAGTTGTAATAATAGAATATCAGAAAATACTATTTTTGTAGATATTGTGTGAGCTCATAATGAGATTATATGTTTTCTAATTTTAAAATTAAAAAAAAAAAATTCCTCCATTTTATATTTTTATTTTGTTGTTGTTATCTTTGTATATAAGAAATATATCTTTATATACAGTAGGGAACCAATTATCCGGAACGATCGGGACCAACGCTATTCCGGATAACTGATTTTTCTGGTTTTCTGAATCACTACAAAAAGCCGTTTTTTTTATTGTCAAACTCAACTAAAAAAAAAAAAATTTGGGAAATAATCTTAAAAAGAAGAAGAAACGATGAAGTAATACACTAATGATTATTTCCAAAATGATGGTAAGGTAAACATGTTTCAAAAAAGAAAGAAAAATCCTAAAATCTTATGAGGAAAAAAANCAAGACTCTGTCAAAAAAAAAAAAAAAAAAAAGGGAAAGAAAAACATATCAAGCAGTAAAAACAAGAATCTAACAAAATATAAAGTAAAACACAAAAAGTAACATCTAAAGCAAATAGAGAGATCAGACGTCCATTTACTATGCTTTAAAAATGATTTGAAAATATTTTCGTAACTAGTTTGTCAGATTGCAAAATAGGAAATTAAAGCGTAATTAGAAGATAATCAGATATTCTTTATGGCAAGTTTTTATTTAACTACAGAACTGCATTTGATTTGTCTGTTACCTTGGATTAGCCCAAAACTGGATTTGCGGAAGGAAATTATATATTATGCTGAATAATTCTAAGTTTATAAAAAATAAAAACATAAGGATATATATACATATAGAGGGTGCACAAAATAATGGAAGCACTTCCATGCTTAACAAATTATATTATAAGTTCAGAAGAGTTTAGATCATGTGATTTCTCATACATTGAAGTTTAAAGCCTTTAGAGGATTGAGGGACATGAAATATTTTATAACTTCAAAAGGGTTTAGATTATGTGATTTCTCATATATATCAATGAAGCTTAAAGCCTTTAGAGGTTGTGGGACTGCCAATAAATTACAAACAGAAAATAATGATTTTTGCCAAAAAATGTAGCAATAGAGATTTTTTTGCTTAATTTTGCCATTGGTGTGTAACTTGTGACAGTTATTTTGGTTATTATATGCAATACTTATACAAAATTTCATAAGCCTAGCTTAAATATGTATGGAATTATGGACATTGTCTATAAAAAAACTATTTTTTTTTGTCTTATGTTTTTTTGCTATAACTTTAAAAATTGTCTATAAAAAACTATTTTTTTTTTTGTCTTAAGTTTTTTTGCTATAATTTTAAAAATATTCAATAAAATTAAACAAAAGTTTCAGAGCAATTTAAAATAAATTACAAAATTTTTGCTTTAAAAATTTAAAAAAAAAAATTCTTAATCTTATAGTGAATTGTATTTAACAACTAATAAAAATACTCAACAAATTTAAGAAGTTTGAAATAATTTTCAAAGTAGTTTTTGCACTTTTCAAAAGCAAACTCAAAATGATAAGGAGTTTTCTACAAACACTATTTTGTATCATTAGACAGAAATTAATAACAAATGATATCTCACAACAAATGTAAATGTTTCTCCAGCGGGGCGGGGTTAAGCTTTGATCTTACAATAAATGTTCATACACCAAAATGTGATTTAATAAGGAAAGAAAACAGGAGAAAAAAAGATTTAAGGGAGATTTATTTTAAAGATTATTATGATCCCGACAATGCCAGGATCATTTTTAATAAAACTAGTTAAATAGTAGTAATAGTAACAGGTTTAAACTTTGGACTGCTCCCTATATTTTGGGGGTCAGAAATCCGAATCTGTAGAAAAAAAGGTATATTTATTCAGAGAAATTATGTTTTAGTGTCTAATTTCGTAACTTAAAATATCATCTGCACTAATTAATTAGAATATTTAAGGTCACCCCCTCAAATCATTAAGATTGAGTCTTAGAACATGAAGATTCAATCATTAGATTAAAAGTTATTAAGGGTGGTCTGTTTCTTATTTTGCGCACTGTACACAATATATGTACTAAAATATGCACATTAAAATTTACTCTAAAGTACAAAAGAAATTTAAAATTAATAAAACTGACACATTTCTTATTGTAACCAAATGATATAAAATCTTACTTTTGGATTATAGCCTGTAAGAAACTGTAAATAATTTAATTGGACAACCAGTTTTCCTCCACTTAAGTAACCAAAAGTGGACATTCTAAAGTAACTTCTAACATCATTCTATAATAAAAACAAAATTTAAATTAAATTAAATATTCAACTTAAAAAAAAATACTGAATACATTGGTTAAAAAAACACTAGGAAATTTCCCTATAAGATTGGACATTCCTTTTTCATCAACAGTTGTAGTAAAATTGTAGTTCAAAACTGTTAGATATAAGGAATGCTTGAATTAACACATAGTGATATCACATTCTGACCAAAAATTATGTGAAAATTACAAAAGTTTGTGTATATTATGCATATCTGCTGATTACAATAAAAAACTTGAGCAAACTTTACTTTTAAATAATTGACTCATGAAATATGGCAATTTAACTCAATTTTATTGAAAAGAGCATTTTTGGCAGCATGTTTGTATATTAAATTACTACATTAACCTACAATATTTACATGGCGTATCAGGACTAAGAGTGCCCCCACAACTAATGGCAGAGATTAATAAAATTGTTTCAACATTAATATAATAACTTTTATATTTTGTGACCATTTGTAGTATTTAGGCACAAATAATAAAAATTTTAAGACCTAGCTTTGCTTAAGAAACTTCCTATTATATACTAAGTACTAAGAATACCTGTAATCAATGAGTTTGAAAACAAGCATTCTTCTTAAGAAGTCTACTCTAGATCAATCTACTATATGTAAATATGAACTATAATTTTTGTACTTATCCATTGTAAGGAGCATCTACATATAAACTGTTATAATAGATATTACTTGCATAAATAGAACAGTTTTTTTTTATGTGATGTAATCAGAATGAATGAAATTATTCTCAGAACTGATAATTAAATTTTATTTATTTGGTAAATTCAACTTCTATATTTTGTTTGAATAAATAAAAATTTTAATTTGACATGCTTTATTACAACTTTTAATAAAAAGATCTAAAATCACCATGAGTGCTTTAGTTCCTAGAAACTGAATAATTATAAATTGATTTAATAAAAATTATGTGAAAAAATTCAAATTTTCTCAGTTTTAATCTTAATGTTAATTATAATAATTAATATTTTTATTATTGTTTTTATATCACATAATTTGCGTGAATAAACTAGAAAGCTTCATTTAAAAAATTTTATGCGAAGTAATCTTAAGTGCCATGAAGTAATAAGTTCAAATAAAAGAAAGCACTGTGGAAGAATTAGCTCAGTTCATGGACTCATTCAACAATAAAGTAAGGAGATATTTCTATAATAATATTCGGCCAGACCAGCTACATTTCTTAATATATTATTGTCAAGTTAAGGAAGGTTTTCCTTTCGTGATGTGTATCAAGAATAATTGTCAAATTTCGGCAACTTCCAGGTGGCGGTCCACAAATAACTGGACAAAAAAATCATCACAGAAGCAGATCAACTCAAAGGCTCCATAACTAATAGCCACTCCCAGGCAACTTTGAACATGCTTTTGTTTATAAAAACTTGCAAGTTTAAAATTCATTTGGTACCTTAGCGATTGTAATTAGCTCAACAAATCATAACATGCAAATATCCCCTCCAGTACTTGATATCCATTAATAGTATGGCTTCCTAGATATGGCCAAAAATTTAACCCATCTTGTTTAAATCAATCTAAGGTTTTTTTAGTTTCCCTGACTGATTTTATGGGGAGATTTCCATATGGTGATCAGTGGCAGAATAGTCGAAAAGTCTTGGCAACTTCCGGGCAGCGGCCAGCGAGAAACTAAGAAAAACATAAAAGGGACCAACTAGAAAGGTGTAACTCGTAGCTCCTCTCCAGGTAAACATCTATACGTTTTGTTTTTTTTAAAAATTGGCAAGTTTAAAATCTTTCAGGCACTTAGGGCAATTGTTGTGAGCGCGGCAGGTCATGATAAGAAATGTTATCATACTTTAGTGTAAAAACTTTTTTAAACAATTCAAAATGTTTTGAATTAATGAATTTAGTCTGCTTGACACAGAGAAATAAAAAACTTTTATATACCAGTCTACAGAAAATAAATCAGTTTAAGGTAATGATTCTCATTGTGTGGTAAAGGCACGGGGGTATATGCAGCATATCAGTTTTATATTTCCACTCTTTTTGAGAATTTTTTTCGATGAATAATGAATATGATGCAAAATAACACGGAACAATGTTTAAGTCAAAATTTTTAAGATTTATAATAATCATACAGTTTAAACATTTAAAATTGAAAGAGAAAACATCATTTAAGAAGATTATAATACATGAATGCTGTTTGTTCAGAATACCACTTACATTTAAAACTAAAAGGTGAATACGAGATGACACATAAGACACTTTAAAAAGTATTGTTAAAAGAACTGTGATTTTTATAGATAAATTCATGTCGATTTATCATAAAATTAATGTCTAAGTATCTCAGATTAAATGTGAAACTAACACAACTTGAAAATAAATCGCAGGAAGCAATCTTTCTGTCAACAAAGCATTGCAAAGTAGTCAACATCAACAAAATTCTGTAGCTAAAATAATTACTATAAGTTGAGGTATTTTCATCCTGTGTTTTTTAAAAATCTTTCTTTCTTCATCTATGATATCGATTATAAATTAATTTTTAAAGGAGAATATCGATAATTAAAATTAATCATATCGTAACCCTTGCATTACGAAATGGGAGTGATTTCTTTCCATCTGTTTGTTGATTGGTCAGGAAATATCATATGTTCCCGCCTTCTTCTTTTGGAACAACTGCTATGGAGGGTTGTACGGTTGTACACGTATTGATTAATGTAATTACGTAATTCTTGATCGTTCTTTCTCCTTCTCTCTCGTTCTAGAAACACCGGCACATTCTGGAAATTTCTTGACTCTTCTGTGCTTTAATAAAAATGAATTTTAGACGACAACCTTTTCAGTTCACTACGATAGATCCTGTGAAACGCCAAGCTGAACTTCAAAAGCGATTTGGATTACCTACAGCAAATAGTGAAATGTTTGTCGATTTCTTAAATCCAGGCATTATGGTAAGTTAAAATTGTGTAATAATTTTATCTAAGTCAGGGATCATACAATTTCTGTTTACTTGCTTTTCTTACTAGATTTTAGCAAAATGTTAACGTATAATTTACGAACTGGTTTATACATTAACTTAATGTCAAAATTATTTATATTAATGAATATATAAGCATTGATGTTTATTTAACGTTCTTTCTTGCTACTTCATAGTTGGACGTTTTGATAAAAAATTGAGTGCAATAATTTTTTCAATATTATTGTAGTTGAATTTCTCTGTAGATATGTGCTTCATTGAATGATCGAAATAAGTTTTTTTTTTTTAAATTTATAATTTGTAGCATAAAATTTTTTAGACTTGTAAAATTAGATTAATGCTTGTTCATCTGCTTGAAGTGAGCTACCAATTAATTGCCTGTATTAAAATTATAGGGTTTAAAATTTAAAGGTATAGTAATTTTTCAAAAATTTAATGCTTGTGATCTCAATATTTTGAAATGATAGTGAGAACATTAGGTTCACTTATTTCTAAAGAACACCAAATTTTTAATAATTTAAAAATAGTATGACGCAACATGAAGTTTCATTAAGGTAATAATCTGAGTAATTGTCAGGTAAATTGTTTTGCCGTAGTTATGATAATATCCCCAAATTGGGAGCTACTTCTGTAATTTGCCATTATCAAATATTTAATGAGATTCACTATACTGCTCAGTTATTATTCATTATTTTGGAGATCTGTAAACAATGCTAACAATTAAAATTTAATTTTAAAGTATAATAGGAGCGTCTTTCTGTATTGTGATTTGTTGCTTAAACTGCAATTGCCAAGGAGCCAAGAGGATTTTAAACTTTAAATTTAAAAAAATAAAATAAGGACTGTTTGGTGGCGGCTATATAAATCTTCCGTAAAAAAGTTAGTTAATTTACATGTAATGCTTATTTTTTTCTAATGGGGGAGTTCCCTGACTTAAAATTTCACAAGCTCCTTCTAACTGTTCTAGCCCTTAAATTTAAATACTGTAAAAGAAAGAACGTTTTAATCTTAAGAGAAAGTTAGGGTATACAGTCATTCTTTTGTTGTTCTAAACAAACTATTTTGTGTTGTCAAAATTTTTTGAAAACGTGCATTTTAGTTCAGAATATTTACCAGTGTTGTATAGTTTTTACTACGCCTATTTCATCAAAATTAAAATTCATATAAAATGTATATTTTTAAATTGTGAATCTGGTGTATTTTAAGTCTGACAAGTGAACCTGATGCTGTAAATGTTTTTAAATTTCTAATAACTGTGAATTTTATTGTTCTTGGATATTTTAATGTCTTGAGAATAATAAATGTCTTGAGAAAATATTGATAAAGGAATAATTATTAAATATAAAAAGATATCACCTGGAAGCTATGTACTGGATCCTTCGAAAAGTCAGTTGAAATGTTTTTGAAATATTAAGTTAAAGATTTGACTTCTTTTTTTTAATCATGGTCCGAAAACTGTCTCTGGCCTCAATGAATTGTCATCGTGCTTAGCTTGTGATTGTGCCAGTGTTGAATCTCATATATATTTTGTTTTTTTTAGGGTTCTGGGGTTAAAAAGCCTTCACTTGGTGGCAGTCCGAGATTGCAGCATAGAGTGCCCATTTTCACTGAAAAAGCAGCGAAGGATAATTCTGAGCAGAATGTGGATGGTAATCATAAACCTAGAGTGAGAGTCATCCCAATTCAGGTGGAAGGCGTTGATGGTGGTAAACGTCATAGAACTTTTTCTGGTCCAGCTGGTATAAACAATGGAGATAAAGACATTTGTAAAGGAAAGCTTCAAGAGTCATTCCCACACCTAGATTCTTCTGAACTTGAAGAAAAGCCTAAGGGACCAAGTCAACCTAGAGTGTGTAACATTCCTATTCAGATAGAACCAAGAGAGGTGGAATCTAAAGTTGATTCAAATGCAGAACCTAGAGAAAAAGAGCCTAGTGTAAATCCAAGCCCAGCAGCACCCGAACCTGTAAAGAAATTAAAAGCAGAGCCGAATGGTTGTGCTGCAAGCAGTGGGACAAAAGAGGAACCTGGTAAGGCTGTTCCATTGAAACAGATAGAAGTTGTGCTTAATAAATTGAAACTGTATACAGAGGAAGTTGAGAAATTTTCAGGTACATCTAAAGATAAGCAGTATAGGTATCTTGATGAAATGCTTACGAGGTGTATGTTGGATTTGGATAATGTTGACACAATGGGACTTGATGAAATCCGTAAAGTGAGAAAAGAAGCTGTTAGACAAGTGCAACACTATGTTGATCTCCTAGACACTAAAGTCAATGAGCCTGTGGTGAAGATGGATAGTGATTCTTCTCTTGTTGACAATCTAATAGCAGATTCCGAAGATGAACAAATGGTTTGTGATGTTCCGACTGAAATCAAAGATGATACGAAAGACTCAAGTGTATCTAGTGACATGAATAAAACAAATATCACTGGTGATGTTGAGATGGCAGAAGAAAAAAGTTTGAGTGAATCTGTTCCTGAAGTTGCTGAGAGTATTTCCACCCAAGATTGTGAAAATGAAGAGGTAGTGGATTGTCTTAAAACAGAAGATGAAAATATGTCCCCCATACATGCAACAGACTGTGAAATGAAAGACTCTAACAAATCTGGTATTGTTATTGAGGAATTGGATGATGGAGCAGATGTTGGTACTTCAGAAATAGGTGGAAATGGGTCTGTTTGTGTTGTATCAGACTCTCCTGAACATAATGTTAAAGATACAATAATTGAAGAATGTGAATCTGAAGTAGTAATTGAAGAGGTGGAGGACTCGGGTGAAAAAAACATTGAACATTCTATAAATGCTTGTGATAGTTCTAATACAAACATCTCCAAAGGATTTACAAATTTGCAGAGAAATACGATAGATTCCAAAGAGCTATAGATAATGTCATTCGAATAGAACTTTAACTAATTTTTTTTTATTTATCTGTATATATGCACAATTGATTTCCTTATTTATCAAAGATATTGCTGTTTATTTTGTAAATATGATGTTGTAAATAGCTTACATCTGAAATAATAAACAAGATTTTTTTTAAGATTGCGTTGAATACTTTATTACACTTGTATTATTTTTTTATTAAATGTGTTTTACATATCTTTTGAATATCTTATACAATTTCAAAATCTTCTTGCATTGTTTAGGATAAGCTTTAATATTTACAATATTACGATTAATATTTATTTTACCTTTAGTACATGCCATTTCATTACTGGTTCTAGTATATATATATTTTTTTTTAGAAAAGTTAAAGCCTAATTTATTGATTTGTCACTTTGTGCTGGATATTTTGAATCTTGAATTTTAATTAAATATGATTAAGTTCCAGTGAGATACATTAGGAATTAACTTATGAAGTAAAAAGAAACAGCTTGTATTAATTATTTCCTGGGAAACATGAATGAGATAAAGAAATGTTAACAATTCATTGATATTTATGCAGATTTAGTCATGAATAATTTAATGATTGAAAAGAATTTATGCTGGCAATTAACATAAACAGTTTAGAATATTAGATTGATAGATATAAGGAATTCACTTAGCAATATAATTTGAACCAGATTTTAGATGAAAGATAAAAATTTGTTAATATGTTTGCTTTGGGAAGAGATTTGTATTATCAGGATCAAATATTGAACAAGTTGTATTGAAATAAATTTTGTGGTAAGCATAGAAATTATAAATAAGGAAAGAAAAATTCACTTTAGATATGCAGTTGACTTTAGTGAGGAATTCTTTTTTATAGTTGCATTTGAGTGATTAAGAAGTTTGATGGTACATTAAACTTTTTTGTGAGATCCACTTGCCCCCACTTAATTAAAGAGTACCAATTTTATATTTAAAGTAGAAATTATAAAAAAGAACATTAATATTCTTTAAGAAAGATGAGTTCACTAAATTTCTCAAAAAATCTTTTTAAATTTACCTATTTTTTTTAAATTTAGTAATAAAGTTTAAATTTTTTCTTGTGCAAAAAATTTTAATTCAATTTCGTTACAAAAGTCTAATGACAATAAAAATTTATATTTTATGAAGAGCAGTGAATTCCAAGAAAAAATCGACTAACTTAAAGCACATTAATATTCTGATATGTCACCGATAGAATTTAAGTATTCTTTCACAACTGAGATAAAAATGAATCTTCTGTTGGAGAATAGTAGAATTTTTAACTTTAAATGAATTTTGCTTATAATTTTTTTTTAGAATATTTACATTTTTAATCCCTAAATGGAGCCACTTCTTCGAAGAATAATCTAAAAACTGCCTATTGTTCAAAGGGATAAGAAATACAGGAAAAGTCAAATCTCAGCAAATTATTGAGAATTTCTTTTTCGAATATTGGAAACCTGTTTTAAGAGGCTTCTCCCCCCCCAAAAAAAAAGACTGATTTGGGGTCTATAAAACAGCCCTCAAATTAAAAAATAACACCTTGATGCTTGATCACGTATCATCAGAACTGAAACTTTTAGGACACTATGTTTCAAAGCTAGCTTTCAAGTCTTATTAACTATGTCCATTTGATTCGTTTTAAGCCTTTTGTATATTACAAAAATTGGGTCAGATTTTTTTTGTCTACATTTTATTTTCAAGTTTCTCTGTACGCTTTCTAAGGAATACTTGTAAGTATTCTTTAGAAATCTTAAATTCTAAAAAGACTGTCCTTAAATCTGTTGGATATGGTAAAAAAAGAAATTGAATCTAGACACAAATGAGACAAAAACTTTTTATCAGAGCTTTATTAAAGACACAACATTACAGAAAAGTGCCTTTGAAAACATTGTGCATTGCTGCCATCACCCTTTTAATCACTGTTGTTATATCAGAAACTAACTGCTGCGTTCTTCACAGTCACTTCTCATTGCAGCTTTTTACAACACCTCTTTATATAGAGTTATTTATTAATGGAGACATTGCAGTTCTCTTAAAATACATGAGCACAGTAGCTGATTAAGTCTCAGTTGATATTAATTCTTTAAAACATTTTTTTTTTTTTTTTTACACTTGGTTTCATTCTCTAATACTTTTCAAAGATATGAAGATTAAACCACTAATTTCACAGTTGAAAATACTTTTTTGTTTTAAGCTGTATCAATGGTCATTTAACAAGTCATGTTTTTCAAATGTAAAACACTTTGCATATACGAAATTTCATAAAATCTGTCACTGAACACAATATCATGATTTTTTATATGTTAAAAGTTTGTGAGATATAACAAATGTTATGGTAATTGATAGGAAAACAACATAGATCACATGCAACAATTTAACAATCAATGATGTTACCGACACTGTTTAACAAAATTTTCAGCTGGTTTCATAAAACACAAATAAATGACATTGTAATATAAGTAAATCACAGATCTATCAGCAAGTAAGTAAATAAGTTAATAAATTTCATTAAACAGCCAGTTAATCAGATCAGAAAATGTGTCCAAAGTCAGTTGAGGAATAGAGCTGGGTCTAAAATTTGAAATACCATTTTTTTTTAAACAGGAAAATAATACTTTAAAAGTATTATGTATTATTTTTATTAATAACAATATTTTATGTTAAATTTCAAATGTATGACAATTGTCAACAACGATGGCATTGCAATTATTAATAAATATCAAATATGATAAATCTGCATGAATTGTTAGTAACTAAAATATCTAGAGTAACAATAAAGATAATTATCGAAAATTATATTGCAGTGAGAGCTGATAAATTCTATTGAGGCAATATAAATCAGTTGGAAATGATAAAGGACAATATTGAAGTTCCAATATTACCGCTCAGCTCAAATTTAGTAATTAACTCATCAATTTAATTATTTCTCCACTGAATTTGGAAAAAGCTCTGATAAGCAATTTAAAATATATTTTTTGATAAAAATAATTTTTTTTTTAAAAAAAAGCACATGGTAGTTTAGCAAAACTCACTCCATGATGGAGAAAAGTTTTTTTTTCACATAAATATTTTCATAAAAATATTTTTTTTCTGATATGTGCCCAAGTAGAAAAAATACTAATGGGAAAATAATGAATTATCTGAATTTCATTACAAAGAAGAGAAAAAAACTTACAAAAGAATTAAATTGAGAAAAAAAAGAGTTTTTTTAAATTAGTTTAATAAATAACAATTTATAGAAAAAAAAATAACTATGAAATAACTTTTTACTTACTTGTTAGCAATTTTAAATATGTAAGTGAGTAATATTACAAGAACAAGATTCATAAATATTATCTTATCAACAAGGATGTATAGAAAAAAAGTAATGATTAGAATACAACATATTTTTAGTGCTGAAAAAAGAGCAAGGTATCTATTGATACAAAGATATGACTAGAATAAACCGTTCCCAAGTCAAAACACATATTCTTTGAATGACTTAAAAACATGACTAGGATAAAAACATAATTTGAGGAACAAAATGATTTCGGAAAGTATAAAAAGTATTTTAATAAAAAGACTATTGAGCAGTTATTACTCAGATGTATGTATGTATGCAACACTAAGATGTGATTGTCAAATGTAATAATATCGGCATTTATTTATTGTTTTAAAAAGATAAAAATATGCTTTCATAGTTCTTTTAATTCTGATAAACAAAAATTTATAACTTCTTAGAAACTGTAATCCTCTTGATATATTGATTTTAAATATGCTTTGAATATATTAACTATTTTGCATTTAACAGATTGCAGAGAGAGGATATGTCATAGGCTAATTGAAATTTCTGGCTCTTTGCAAACAGCTGCAGGCATTTTACAATGTACCAGGTTAATTGGAAAAACCTCAAATATTTAACAATCAGTTTATTGCAGTGAGCCTGCAGACCTTTAAGCTAATTATAAAATAGATAATTTGTGGTTCAATTATCCTTATTTATTTGCAATAAGCTGTGAGTGCGTATTATAAATAGCCTTAATAAAAGGTTTCTTGTAATAAGCCCACCAAAATTTAAGAGTGAATAATTTTCTATGCACTATTTAATTAGCTAAAAAGCATATAACCTAGTAATTAGAATAAACCTCATCAACTTTACTATCTTGAAAGCAAACCACAATTAATAAGTTTGTTGAATATTATTTCTAGGGCTAATTTTTATTTAAGTATTTGTATTTAAAAATTATTTTAAAACATTAAAATTTATTTGTTTCAGATAGATACTACAGAGTTTAGGAGGCAACTTTATTGATATTTGAAATGACCTGTATAACACAAGATTTTAAACAATGCAAAGCCTCAAGTTTCAAGGTTTGTGTTATCAAGATCTTTAGCCGTAAGACTAAAAATTATTAAGCAGATTAAGAAAGATTGATGACTTCTGCCATTGACTTAACATATTACAATGCTGGATTTTTCAGATAGCCTATGACAAATATAAAATCAGAAAAATTTAAAGAAGCTGATTTTTTTCATTAATATGTTAAAACTAGCAAGCGGATTTAATTACCTGAAAAAACTGACAATGAGTTTTGTTCATAATAATTATGAATGATATGTGATTAATAAATATGCCATATTTTCAAATGTTGTCAGATATATTTGTTCAGATTTCAGTTTCGGTTAGATTTATTTTACAAGTGCATTAAAATGGTATTTGTTTCCATAAAACAGAATATCTCAATCAAAAATATTTTGAAAGATTATCAAGAACTTTATAAGTTTTGGTTTCATATATCTACAATATAAATGCAAGCTCAGCAAGTTTATGGAAAGACTAGTAATTTATTTAATTAAAAAAAAAAGAAAAAAAGATCAAAATTCACTTCATGTTTTATAGAGATAAGAGGGGTCATACGTCAACAGTAAAACCTGTAGGAACTTTTCAAGACAAAAACGGCATATTTTTTCATTGGTAACTGTAACACAAGTTAAAATCTATTTTCACTATATGAATGAGAAACTCTTGTAATAGAAATAAAAAAAAATTGTGAAAGGCGTATCACACAGAAAATAACACTAAAATGAAATATATTCCACATTTACAAGTGATAATATCGTAATGATAGAGAAAGAAAAACTAACAATTTAACCCAGGCATGAGATTCTTCTGCTTCTTAATTTTCCTTTTTTAAATATTTTTTGTTCTTACGTCTAATTTTTTTTCCAAATTTTAATAGATTGATAATGAATTCAATTTGGCAATTTGTAATTTTCTTATGTGGCTTATTAAGGGGTCATTCAATAATTAATTTTTTAAAAATTACATGTTATGACAATTGAACTTATTTTATGGTCGGTTGCTATTTAAATATTCTCTACCCAAATCTATGTTGTTTAAAACTTTAATTACATTAATATTTTATTTTTCTAGATTAATTCAATCTTATAATAAAAAAACTTTATGATGTTTGAACTTTATCATCCACTTACTGTCCCATTCATTCATTAAAAAAAAATTATTCATTTAGTTAAAAATTTATTAAACTTGTTTAAGAATTATATAGCGGTGAATTTTTGACTTTTCACCCCATGAAGTAGTATGTAAACAGAAATACTGTAGTTTCAACTTACTGCACACAAATTATTTTTCAAACACAATGAGCAAGTTTCGTAACCTAGAGCTAGCGGAACTCAGAATCGTTATTGTAGTTAACACCAGTGCCATAAGTTAAAAAAAGTTCAATCAGTTTCATTTTTAGGTAAGAGAGAAGAGATATTCCATCCTTTTTTCTTTTAATTTTTTAACAAGTGAATCAGCATAAAATAAATCACTTTAATAACAAACATTTACTTGTAATAGAAAATTTTTTGTAACACTATGCCCACTATATTTTTTTATTGTAACTTAATGTAAGAAATAAAAAGTGAAATTCAGAATCTGATTGGTGCAATTTAGACTGACCAGTAAGAATTAACAAGATTCAGCAAGAATGCATCCCATGTTTCCAAAAATACCAAAATCAAATATTAGTATTTTTTAAGTTTTAATATTTTCTGTTATAGTTTGTTCGTTTAAAAAAATATTTGAAACACTTATTAAAAAAATATTTGTTATTATAATTTAAATATTGTTTTTAATTAAAGAATTATGTCACATAAAAACAATCTGGATAATTTAAAAAAGGGTAATCAAAATATTTTATAAGTTGGAACATGTCAAAGCCCATTCCAATAGCTCCATGTCACTAAACATTCTTTAAAATTTAATTTTAGGTCCTTTTTTATTATTTCAATCTCATGCCTGTTAACCAGATGAAGATTAGATCTTACTAAAAAAACTCTTTAATATGACACAACCGCAACAAGAAGTGTTGAGAAACTTCACAGCCGCTTTTCAAAATATACTTGAAAATGTTTCCAAGTTCTTATGATAACCAGTATCAATTGCTTTTTATATACAAAAATCTATAATCAGCTTTAACTTATTCAGCAGTACACAGATTTCATCAATGCAATGGCAACACGAATATATATCCAAAACATCAAGCTCTTTATCATTAGTGCATTATTAAACTAGATCAAAAATACACTTGACTCTACAAACATTCCAAGGATTTTAACAACTTAAAACACAGTTTATATAATATAAAGGGGAGGGGGAGGAAAAACACTGAAGTACTTTATTTTACACTAGAGCATCACAAAAAGTGACCATTAACAGGTCTTTATAATAATCCCAGATCAATAAAATTGTGTCCATGCACAAAACATTTTAAAAATAAAAGATATCTTTCTTCATTCTGCACACAAAAAGACGTAACTCTAGCACCATTCTTTAATAAAAACTAATTAAGCTGCATAGTACACTACAAAATATGTTGAAATCTATTTTTTTCAGCAGAATCAAAAGAAAAGAAACTGTTACGGTAGAGATATGAAGACTGGACTGTAAAAATGCATAATTTTTAATTTTAACTATAATTATTTTTCCGGTAAAATAAGATTAACAGAATAAAATTTAATAGAAGGATTGATTTATTGATTACGATCTTTTGTTCATATTAAGTATTTTCCAGAATAAACAAATTTTCAAAAAGATTTTGGAAAGTTATAAATAAATTTAATGATCCAACATTGCTATAAATTTATTAATATTAAGTTGTTTTTTTCCTTATCCAGTTTGTCATATCTCCCTTTGAAATACTTACTCAATTTGTATGACCATACACAGTAGAAATATAATAAAATGTAAAAAAAAAAAATAATAATAATAATTATACACATTTGGAATGAGAAGAAAATAGGAATTACTAATAAAAGGAGTGTAATTATAAAAAAAAAAAAGAAGAAAAAAAATTTAAATCAGATTTATAATACAAAACAGGAAAACACAAATTAATAAATGAAATAGTCTCTCAAACCGCTAAGCACAACATATTAAACCTTACAGTTACAGTTTAATTATAGCATTTTACAGGCCTTTATTATATATATATATATTTACATCACTGGAATGAACATTCAGATCTCTTGTTGATTTGCTTTGTACTTTATACAGCTTTTGTAACTTTTAACATGAAACTTATCTCCTGATTACTTTCACACAATTTTCAGCCAAGCAAAACAAGATTGAAATAAATAAATTTGGTAGAAGATCAAGGGTAACTAAGAGTTGTCTAAGAGTAGAAGAGATAGGCTAACTATTTTAGACCTAAGGCACATGTTTACCTATATATCTTCCACAAATAAAAAATGTCAAGGCTTAGAAAATTAAAAGAATTCAAGATATCAGAATATGTGTGAACCTTATCTGATTAAAAAATAAATATAATAAAAAGGGGATTGATATTGGAATAATAAAGTTGGCAAGTTGAAAAGACAATACAGAATTTTTTTTTCTTTTTTCAAAAATTAGTTTATTCCATATCATAAAAAGAAAAATCTCCTTAAAACATGAAGAAGTTAAAGTTCTAATTCCATTTTTTAAAATATTAAAGAAAATAATTGTTACACTTTATTTAAATTACAGTACAGAACCCGTTATCCGAAAATCAGAAAACCAGAACGAAATTCGATAAATTTTCCCGCCATTTTCAAACAAAAAAATTTTTTTCCTCATGAGATTTTAGGATTTTTCTTTCTTTTTTGAAAGATGTTTACCTTACCATCATTTTGGAAATAATCATTAGTGTATTACTTCATCGTTTTTTCTTCTTTTTAAGATTATTTCTAAAAATTTTTTTTAGTTGGGTTTAACAATAAAAAAAAACGGCTTTTTGTACTGATTCAGAAAACCGGAAAAATCAGTTATCCGGAATAGCGATGGTCCCGATCGTTTCGGATAATCGGTTCTCTACTGTATTTAAAAAAATCTATAAAATCATTTTTAAAAAATGTATTTTTTAAATACATTATGGCACGTGTATAAATGTTGTGTTTATAAAGGAGTTAAAAGAACTTCATATTTTATTGTTGTGTTGTTTTTTTTTCTGAATAATTTTGTTCTTGTCAATGAAAAATTTAAATAACTATTGAAATTTGTTTTTAATCGCACTCATTTTGATCACAAAGCATTACAAGCATATATTTACAAATATAACAAACTCATAAATCAATTTTGACAAAAGTTTAAACACAACTAAAGCTAAAAGGTCACAGTTAAACATAATACTACTCAGGCAATATTTTAGCTCAAATTCAACAACAAAAACAACTGGAAAAAAACAAACAAACAATGTACTCTCCTTGCACATCAAAAAGGAATAACAAGTCAATATCACCAATAAAATAATTATTACTGAGAGTTTTAAATAACCTAAAGTTTCTTAATGCATCAATCTTGCAATGTAACAAAACATAGTCGAACAATAACGAGTATAATTAAATGAATCTAGTTTAAATGCGATCTACAAGATATAAGCAAATTAAACATTGACTGTGCACAATGAGGTTTTCTCTCATATTTGGCATTTGTAAAAGTATCTATGAAATTATATTTACATGTTCTAAATTTTTTTTTATATAATTATTCATATATATATATTTCTATTTTATACACAAACAGATTTTCCTGGCACCAAAAATACTAGACAAAATGTATTCACAACACACACATTACACCAATATTCATCTACAAGTGAGAATATTAACTGAGCATTTTCAGGAGCGTTAAATATATTATTGGGGAAGGCAGAACAAATTTAAAAGTAAAAAATTTTTTTCATGAATTTATCACATAATCAAAAACTTTGCGTTCATGAACGGACTACAGTTTCTCAGTTTTTATAAGTAGAGTGTTTTTAAAACAGTAAATATTCAATATCACACAATTTTTTTTTTTCCTCCTTCATTTCCACTACAAAAATGTTCAGTGGACACAGTTGCATTGAAAAATCTCAATTTTCGGCAATGGTCGGAAAAATACTGCAAAAGAACACACATTTTTCCTATATATAAGATAAAACTATTTTGGAAATTAAATATAGTTTAGTCTCTCCATGATGGGGGCATAGGCTATAATTTCTCAAAACTACTTTCATATTAGCCCCATAAAAATCACAAAATTCGATGGACAGATCATGAGTATCAGATTGTTTCGCTACCTCCGAGGAGGTCACCGGGTAGGAAAGAATTTAATGATGATGGAATACACTGATCGTGTTCAGTAGCTGACGATTGCATGGCCCACAAGCTATTGCCAGACCCAGAAAATGACCATAAATTAGAACTTTGTAAATTGAGACTTGTGCTATTCCAGTTGTTGGAAGAAGCTTTACCTGACGCAACACTACTGCTCGCAGCAGAGCTAGAGTTAGTGGGATAACTGGTTCCTGAAGTAAAGCTCGATTCAGAATTCCCACTTCCAGATGGCCATGATACGTTTGAGGACACTTGACCACTGGCAAGCTGAAGGTATTGCTTGACTTCCATTTCGGTAGGAATGTCAACAAGAATGGTGGTATTGCTAAGAACACAATTGTTCAAAGCAGAGCGAGCTTTCTCAGTCTCTTCCCTAGTTGAGTAACGAACAAGAGCAATACCATGATTAAGAAGCAAATGGAATAACTGTAATGGGCCATGTTGCAAACACAAGGTTTTTAAAGTGGATCCATCAATCTAAGAAAAGAAAATACATCAATTTGGTTTATGCACTCCAGATAAAAAAAAATATACATAGATATATTTTTTTTATATTCTATCATTCTTAAATATTATCTATAATAAATATTGAATCCAACTTCACTTATTTAAAAGATAGTTTATGATTTTCAATGATTCAACATTATAACGTAACATTACAATATTAAATATTTTTTATTATTTATAAGCAAATATGCATAAATACATATAATTAAAATTTAGACAGATTGTTCTTTTACACGTATTATGACTCTTTTTTATATCTGATAATTACTAGAATAATCAGTGAGACGAAAATATTTGTTGTAGCACCTCATTTACCCCAAGACCTGACTACTCTTTGGTTTTTGGAAACAGTTTTAAGAACAATTTTTACCTAGTCTATAAAAAACACCTCCAAATATTTTTGATCTTTATGAAGTCAAGAATTTTGTGCTAAGATGAGAGAATAATAATCCTTTAACATAAAATGCTCGTCATCATGTGCCAGAGCTTTGGTTTTATCTAAACTACATGCCTGAAAATATTTTAATAAAATTAGATGTGAAAAAACTGGTTTTGCTTCCTGTTTTAAGATTATAGTCTTAAAGATGCATCTCTTAAAAATAGTGAGTCAGAACTAAATTTGATCCTAACGTAGCGTAGCTTCGAACAAATTCTCTGTTACCCTTAAAAGTTTTATACAGGGGGTAATTGTGATTTAAATGGAAAAATCCTGAAAATTTTAAGAGCAAAAAATTGACATCAATTTATATACCATACATGTTTTGTATTTAACATACTCTTTTGAAATAAGATTTATAATTAAATTACCTAACAATAAAGAATATAACACCTTTATAGTAACTAATTTAAGAAAAATCTTAGTTCTTACAAAAATTTCGATGTTTGATTTTTGAAACTGCGTGAATATGAATTGCGATATTGAAATTTAAAATTGCGTAAATATGAATCGCGATATTAGATTTTAAAAACATGTGAATATTAATCGCAATGCATAGTTTTTAAATCACACAAAAATATGAAAATCGATGCTTGATATTGCAAACACGTGAATACAAATCACAATATTGAACTTTGAAAACTAGTGAATCTGAATTCTGACATTGGATTGTAAATTCACGTAATTGCCAATCGCTAAATTGATTTTAATAACGTGTAAATAAAAATCGCAACATAGGATTCTTAAATCATGTGGATCTGAATCACGATTTTTAAATCATGTGAATATGAATCACAACATGTAACTTTCAAATTAGGTAAATACGAAAATTGATATCCAAACCGCGTGAATAAGAAACACAATATTAGTGGATTCTGGCACAGTTCCAAATATACACGACATAGAATTTTTAAATCATGTGAATACGAATAACAAGATGTAACTTTTAATTACACTAATACGAAAATCAATTTTTGATATCCAAACTACGTGAATAAGAATAGTGATATTAGAATAGTGATTTCCACAAATACAAATCGCAACTAAGGATTTTTAAATCCCATGAATGCGAATCACAATGAAATGATTTTTAAATGATGGAATACGAATTACAACAAGTAACTTTTAAATTAGGTAAATACAAAAATCGATGTTTGTTTGATATCCAAACCGTGTGAATAAGAATCACAATATTAGTGGATTCCGGCACAGTTCCAAACATTCAAAATAAGCCACTCCAGAAGAATCAAATTGGATTTCTGCCCATTTGCAGAAGAATATGTGTATGTAAATTCTCGCTAACAGGAATTAGCGAAAATTTCAAAAAAATTTAATTTTGGATCGCAGAATCCCATGCAAATTTCCTAAATTATAAGTTTTTGATTAGTTTATATAAATATAGATATACTAAATAATAAGTTTTTGATTATTTTGTTTTACCTGTTCTGTCTAAAATATATTTCATTATCATTAAAATTTAATTTATTAACTTTCAAAGTCAAGCAATAACTACACTCATCATAATTGAAGAGCTGAGTTAATTAAAGGTCTGACATTTTCAAAGTGGATCAGAAGAAAAAAATGTGATATTAAAACCTATTTAGTTTTAGAAGGCAGGCTAATAATTCTTTGCCTTGCTTTAGTTACCACTATCTAATTTTAAAAAAAAATATGCAAGCATACTCAAAACTAATTTTAATGTGTGTGTTAAAAATTAGAGCAAAAATAATTCTGTGACATTAGACATACCTACATTGATGTGACTACTTTTTGTTTTTCCCCCTGATTTATAAATACCTCTGACAAGGTCATTTATTTGCTACCACTTAGCTCTTCAATTGTAAATAAGTGTAGAAGATATAAGCAAAATAAAGTTTTTTTTATTATATATTGTATAATATAGAATTCAGGAAGGTAATCAAGCGTAAAGAGTGTGTTCATATGGAAACTGATACAGAAAAAATGATGCAAAAGTAACATACAAGTGCACATTATTTAGCTAGTGAGCCACTGATACCTATAATTTCAAAAACATATTACGCACAATTCGAAGGTTAAAAATGTTTCAAATAATTATTCTGTTTCATTCAATCACTTTAAATACACAAAATAATAATAAAAAGTTTATACAAGCTGTAATTTTTCTAACAGTTAATTGCATGATCTTAAAAGTTGAAGTTTCCTGATGATTAATGTTTCCATGAATTTTTCATGGCATTTCAGATCTTTTATACTATTTCTATGAAATGTCTCTCAAATGACCCAGTAAACTTTTGTAAGCAATTTCAAGGATTAATTTGATACATCAAATAATTAATTTGATACATCATTAATTTAATATACCAAATTAATCCATTTATAAATGCAAATTTTATATTTATGAAATTTAGAAAAGGGACATATATTTAATATTCATATAATACATAAAAAAACAGTTTTTTTATTTTTTTGCCAATAAAAAAGAAACATTATTTTATAACTATTTAATGACTTAAACTTTGGATTCATTGACATTAAAAAAGGGCAACCACAAATAAAATAGTGTTTTCAATTAAATGTTGATAAATATATACTTTAAAGTAAATTTGTTGTTCAAAGAGTAAACTATAACAATAAAAAAGTATTTTGCGGTTTATCAAACCTTAACGTGTACTAAAATATACAGAATTAAAATTTATTAAAAAAAAGAATAATTAAAGTTGTTCATATTATTGTAATTTCCTTAAAGATTTTGTTTCACATTTCATAGCAATTAAAATTATGCCCATTATTTTTAAACACCTAACTTTTTTAACACTAAATTGATCATCATTAAAAAAATTTACAAAACTATTCAAAAAATTTTCAAGTCAGAACTGAGCTTAAATAAATACATCAAACACAAAAATAAATATTAAATAAACTTTTTGTAAATTTTAGCATAATATAAAAAGTATTATGCAAATTTATGATTATCGTAGTCATTATCTCTAAATATCAGAGGTAAACACAAAGTACGTCTCACCGATTTGGAAGTCTTATAGTGGATATCCATTACCTCCGCAGGCATAATATTGACCCCTCTAGAATAGAGGAGAAAGCTGTTATAAAGTAGAATTTACGGAATGTTTACCTATACCAGGGTCAGAGACAATGATAGCCGTTACTTTGTTAATAAAATAAATCCTGAAATGATCTCTAACTTTAAAGCATTAAAATATTTAATAAATTATCAATAATAAACCATTGATGTAAAAACTCATTTATGTTTCACCCATAGAAAAAACTTACAAACTTACTGTACATAATATTTTTTACGTCCTAAGAATGCACTTACTCATTAGTACACTCCTTAAAATTAATAATTAAAATAATTTTAGCTAAGAGGACAGAAAAAATTTGTAAAATATTTTTTTCAGAACAACTTCAGATTTCACTAGAGATAGTTAAAAAAAAATTGCACAGAATTTTTTTTTTAAATTAAAAGCTTTGTAAAATGGCAGATTTTTAGTGTATGGGTTTTTCAAGGTTTCCTTAGGTTTATATTTGTTCCTTTAATCTTTAGTTCTCTAAACTGATGCAAGGTTTAAATATGTAACAAACAGTGGTTTCTTTAAAAAAAAAATTTTAAAACCTATAATTTTTTCTCTTCAAATTGCTATGAACTAAAACAAAATTTTGCAATAATGGCCGAATTTTCACATAATAACATGCAATACCAACATTTTGAAAAGTATATTTAAAATATGTTAATTTGTTACAGATGATATTTTAGGTAACAAAACCAGACAAAAATACAGTTAAGCTTCAAAATATAGGAAGAGGGGTTATCAAGAACCTGCAATATAAGGTCCCAATAGTTTGTTTAGATGAAATTAAAAGTTTTGATTCCATGAATTTTACTTTTGGCATATTTTACTATAAGAAATCAAATTTTTATTTTTCTCAAGAACTAATCAACAATTTGCATTCAAATTTTGTCATTCAAAACAATACGGATTAAAAGGGTGCAAACATTTGTATGCCTTACAATTCAAAAATTCAAGCTTATAAATAAATAATGAAATAAAAAGAATTCTTTTTAGATTTTATAACTGTACAAATTTTATAACTGCAAACAATTTTTTTTTTATTTATTTGCTTCAGTTCTGACCAAAGAGTAATGCACATAAAGTCAAGTTAATATTAAGATGTCCAAATTTTAAGCTGCTCTTCTAAAAATATTGGGACCATATATTTCAGATTGTTGCTATTTTCTATAGTATGAAGATAAAAAAAATCGAATCTGCAGGGAAAAAAAAGTAAGTTTATTCAGAGAAAGTATGTTTTTGTTGTCTGGTTTTGTAACTTAAAATATTATCTGCTCAAATTAATCAGCATACTTGAGGTTAGGCCCTTGAGTCTTAGACTCCAAAAATTTAATCATGAAATTAAAAGTAATTAAGGCGCTCTTTTTCTATTAATTCTAGTTTTTTTAAAATTATTATTAAATTTATTTTCTAAAGCTGGCTGAATGCTACCTTAAACTAAGTGAATGTTGTGCATCTGGGCTTTTCCCAAGAAATTTCTCCCAAATACAAATTTTTCACTGAATAAGAAAAAAAAAAAAAAAAAAAAAGAATTTTAAGAAGGATAAAAAACAGGAGAAAGGAGCTCTTTAGGCTTCACAAATCAGCTGGCTCATCATAACTTAGGCACCATTTTTTATATTTTCAAGGCTTCTAAAGCACCATAATTTTGGTGTTTAATGTGTAGTAAAATGTGAAAAAGCTTTTAGGATTAATCCAAGACTTAAAATAGCGGGTAGTGTATTTTCAAATATTATTATTAATATTTGGAGCCAAAATACTTATTAGTTTGCTTTACTCATTAATAATTAAGCTTAATTTTAACTCATTAAGCTTAATTAAGCTCATTTTTAAGCACAGCCTAATAGAGAAGAATTTTGCTATCTTTATATCAAGTTTAACTAAAACATTTGTGGATGGTTTTTATATCCGACGCTGAACATTCGATCGAATTTTGGGTTTACCACTACTTATGTTCCGTAGCCTTCTAATTTTGAAACCAATCCAAAATACAAGGAAACTCCTGGATCAAGTATTGGGGGAAATTTGCCTTTGTGGAGGACTTTTTGATGGAAATAACCTGGATCTGTGTTACATGGAGAGAAAAACCACGAAAACCTCCCACGCTTAACCTGACGTCAATGGGACTCCAACCTATGATCCGCCTACCACTGAGGATATTTTATGTCAGGATTGTGGTCACTGCGAAATTTGTATCGACCAGTCATTGCTGGAATTCAAACCTGGTACACCTCATTAGAAGGCGAATGCTCTATCTCCTGAGCCACCAGGATTCTCTACAGATGTTTGACCGTGTGAAGCTAAATACAGATGGCGCGAGAGTTTAAAATTCATCGTAAGACTTCAGGGTAAATAATACACCTAAACTTGAAAAAGCATGCCATCCAATAGTATTATACTAATAGTGTTTACAATATAACACATCCTTTCAATTTAAGTTGCAATGAAACAAACAACAAATGAATTAGGTTTCATCATAGCAAGCATGCTATGATGAAACCCCAAAACATAAAACCTTGATAGTTTACACAAATATAGCCAAAACAAAGATAACACTAAAAGAAAAAAAAAGGCAAACCTTACACTTTATTTATGTTTTGATAATAATTTTCTTAAATTTGTTTCAGCCTCTCCAGTTAGAATTCGTAAATTCCAAGAAACTCTTATTCATGGTAAAATTATGCGCAAATTTAATTACAAATTACTATAATAAAACTTGTATAAATTCTAAGAGAAATAAAAAAATAAGAGCTTTAAAAACCTGTGTACCTGAGGTGTAAGATTTTTCAAAACCAGAAAATTTGAGCCACCTTGCTTCTCCCAAGCTGTAAAAAGGAATTAAAGAAACCTTGAATCAATTAATCTTAAAATGAATGCACAATTTATGATAAATTTTTAATCACTAAATGAAAGAGGTTCTTTATATAAGTTAATTCGAAAGCTATTAAAACATTCAAAGCATATATACACACACAAGAATTTTTTTTTTAAAAGTTCTTAATTTAGAAACTGACTATCCACTAAAAAAAAAAAAAAATTTATACAAAGATAGAATTTGAAATGTTTCAATTTGGTTGTCTTAAAATGCATTTATTGAATTAATGTTCAGTATTAATAAACACAAATAATTAATAAATTTTTCAATATTCTAAAAAGTATGAAGACACACAGCATTTGTTAAGGGTAGTTTAAAAGCTGAAAATATAAGTAAAAATAAAACTAAGTTAGATATGTTGCCGACATTTGAAACACATATCAGAAACGACATAAAATTAAACTATCTCTGAATTAGGGTTTAAAACCTGTTGTTCAAGAAAGAACCCATCATATTTCTGACCATAAAAAATTCAGTTTTTAACGTGAATAATTTTTAAAAAAAATCTAACTCAAAATTAAGGCAAAACTAGGTTAACAAGAAATTATAGATAAGCGAATTGCTGCGCAGATAATCTAAAGAATGGTCAAGGTATACAGAAAAAACCTTAAAACTTTAATTATTAAAAAATAAATCAAAACCTTAAAAATTCATCAATTAATTTGTAGGTTTCTGAATCATACAGGGTACCTGCTACATTTTAGATTTTCAAATTCATGACTTTCCTAGAATTTTTCATATCTTAACGAAGTTATTATTTTCTCAAACAAAAACGCAACAAGAAATTTAAAAAAACATTATAATAACATAAATTTAAATGATAGGTATAACCAAAACTGTTATACCCTGCATCGTCATATTTAAAGATTTTAAATTAAAAATTAGATTTTTCAGCTACTTAAATCCATGACTTACCATGATTTTCTTTTTAAAAAAAAAACAGTTAAAATTATGACATTTCATGACAAATTTTGTTCAATACCGAAATTCATGACTTTCTAGGTGTGCGGATACCCTGCATACATGTTTTCTGTGCAATACAGCATGGTCATGCTCTCCCCCAATATAATCTTACCATTTAAGATTTCTTGTTTGCATATCATATAAAAAAAAAATACAGTCATTGAAAAGGATTTAGAAGTTATTTGATATATTATACGAAAGGTATTGATAAAAGGAAACCTGAAAGTTCATGAAATATTAACATAAATTTTTTTCCTATGAAGCACAAAAAAAAATTTTTTTGACATCTTTAAACTTATTAACAAAAGACAGATGGAGGGGATTATTATAATTTGTCGATAGAAAAAAGTCCCCTCACCACAAAATCTAAAGCCGTCAGCTCAGTGGCGTAAGCAGAATTTTTTCAAGGGGGGTGTTCATAATTTTCTGAAACTACTAAAAGAAATTCGAGTATGTACTAAGGCACTATTTTGTCCTTATTTTAGAGAGCTAGACAATTTTGACTTTTTATTTAGACAACATGGTTCAGTTCAATTTTAATTTGATTTTTTAAGTTTAAAAACATAATGTAATATCTTCTCGCATGTAATATCTTCTGAAAAAAGTCCAATGTCATATGGGTGCGAAGTACAATTTTTAAGCCACTTAAACATGAACAATAGTGGACAGCGTAAATACGAAACAAGACATCTGAGATAAAATTGTGAAAATACAAAACACGGTGCGCGATCCTCAATTACATAAATAGGAATCACAATGTGTGATTTTAAATCATATGAATGATATTTATATTCTTGTTTGCATTAGTAGGGAAAAAAGGGTAAAAACCAATTTTCCTTCCCCTCCGGAATACAGAAACTTTTTCAAAGAGTTGAGCATTTTTCTTTTTTCTGCGATTGACTTTCGGGTACATTAATCAGGTCTATGCACTATATCGTTAAAAGAATGAGCTTTATATACAATTCTATATAATATGCGAAAGCATAGGATACATTTTATCCCTCCCAATATGGAAAGCCTGTTTCTAATAACAGAATTTACTTCATAAAAAATAATTAGAAGACCTGAATATTCTCATAACTCCATGGTATAAAACATTAAACATAATAAATTAAATACATAAACAGTTCATACCAGAACTTGAAGACCAACCTTGAGGGAGACTATCATTATTTCTCCAATTCGAGGAAAACTGCTTTTGACCATTCAACCCTGGAGGAGGACGAGAAGTTTTTGGCATTTGAGTTGAACCTTTCCATGTCCCTCTATCTTGATCTGATGGCTGATTTCCCCATGATCTAGAATTGCCAGTTTTTAAAGCAGAATTACCACTGTAAAGAGTAAATCATAATTTAAAAATTAACAATAAAAAAACTTGTTAAATAATGATAATTGCTAATAATTTCTTGAGAGCTATGCATATTAAAAAACTAATTTTTGTACTTGCGTTTCATTTCTTCATTATCCTTAAATTTAGTTCTTAAAAATAAAAATCAACATAATAGCAAAAAATATCAAAATAAAACAAGGAGTAATAAAGAATTTTAAGAAATAAAGAGAAAAAAAAATGAATATTTAACTGTAAAGCATTTAGCATTTGAGTGTGTCTATTTGAACAATTCTTCACCCTTCAAACTTTCTCATTAAATAACAGGAAAAAAAATGGTTTTTTGACCCAAAAAAAAAAATATATGAAAGAAAATTAACTTTAGGTGTCACAAAAGTTTAGCCAACTAAAAAAAGGGATTATTGATGGGCTATATATAACTTAAATGCAAACCTTGAAGCAAAAGCTCCACATTTTTCAGCCATGCATCACAATGCAAAAGGACAAATCTGATTATAAATTTTATTTTCAACTCTCACACCAAAAAAAATAAATAAATAAATAAAAAAATTGAGTTGAATACATTTGTTATTGTTAATCAATTAAGCTGTTTCATTTAACATAGATGTTTTTTAGTTTATATTTATAAAAAAAAAAGAATTATAAAAGCGTCAAAGAACATATACAAACAGGCTTTCTAGAAAAGAACAAAAACAATTAAAACATCAATATGAAATTAAAAACAAAAGCTTTAAAACTGCAAACCTCACAAAAAACTTTCAATTAGTTTTATTTCTTGCCATTGTTGGTAAAAAGTAATAAATGATATTATACTATTTGAACGTATATCAGACCAAATAGAAAGTAAAATTTTTATACATAAGAAATTCAAATTATATATATAAAAAACAGATTTAAAAACTAATAATAGTTACCTGTTCATAAAAAAGCTGAAAGCTGCAGAGAAATATTTAACTTCTGACTATGTTAAGTTAACAGGGATGCCAACTCCTAGAAACTTTCCTATTGGTAATCGAAGAATTTTTCATAGTAAATATGGATTATGAACGAAAACTTTGCTCAGATGGTTCTTGAAAAGTTATTATGAGCAAAAATTTATCTTAAATACATTTATAAATTTGACCATATAAATCTTTTATGTCTCAAATTTGTTTAGTTGCTCATATTTTCAAATTATTTTTTCATGATGTAATAAAACATAAACGAAGTTACCATTAGCGATGTTTTTATAAAGTCAGGCTTAAAACTCTCAATACAACCAAACACTTTCAAATTCTTCCCAATCAGGATATGAATGTAAAAATAAAATGCTTATTAATAGTGCTTAAAACAATCTGCTAGATTTACAAACACTCACAGATTCAATATGTTATTGATAACATAAAATGATCATTTTACGCAATTTTGGTGACTTTCCAATATCAATATAGATTTACAGTAACAATGCAGCAGTTGGCATCCCTACAATATACAATATGCTTAAGAATGGTCTTAAATTCTTCCTTCATTTTCACATTGTTAAATGTTTGCAAGCGTGAGAATAACTCCAAATTATTTTTTTGACACTTTTGTAGCAAAATTATACTATATCAGAGAATTAATGATTTAAAAAATCTTTCATATATCAATGATTAATTTGTTGTACTTTACTATTTTTTCAGTATAAATTCAATTTGCATTTGGTGCACTTGATACCACACACTCAAAAAAGTAAAGCTTTATAGAAGCAAAACGATATATAACGTACTGCTAAATGATGTAAAATGTAATGCTAAATAATGTATAGTTTAAAAAATCTAGATTTTTTTGACAAAAAAAAAATTAACAGTTTGTTTTTGTCACATCTAAAAAAAAAGCTACATAATTTAGTTTAAACTTAAAAACATAATTAAATTTGCAGTATCCACCTACAAGCTTTTGTATTAATTCAATCAGCAAAATGTGTATCTATACCTCTAGCTTAATGTGTTAATCAATGATACAGTTAATAGCGGAGTAAAGAATTTAACAATCAAACAAAAAGAAACTTTCTCCAGAATAATTCACCAAGCCGTTCTTTTTGTTGCCAGATCAATACCTCCATATTTCGTCTAGTTCAAAATTAGTCTTAACTTTTAGAATTCACTTAGTAAGTTAATTTCCTTCTTTAGCTCTACAGCCAGTTGTACACCAAGGCTGCCAAATGTAGTAAATTGAAATGACGAAAAATAGATAACTTTCAAATATAAAGTGTACTTTATGAGCTTTCTGTATTAACAACATAGCTAAGGCAAATTGATAACAATTATGATAATTGTATCTCAGATATTAAAATGCAAGAAAAGCTAAGTCTTAAATCAACATCAAATTGTGATACTTCATGGGTTCTATTGTTTCTGTAAGTCAATTTCGCTATGTAGAAGTAACTGTAGTCTAATTTAGTTTTCAATCTTTTTCTCAGAAATTTGTTTAGTAAAAACTAATCTGAGAAATAGCAAACTAGATATCACTTTATATCATGTTTATTAAAAGAGCAATTTTACAAGCTTCAGAAGCTCAAACTATAGTCCTTGTATAGTAATAACAATATTCATGAATAAACTACATCATTTTTTATACAAAAGTACTTTGGGAATATTAAATATTAACAGCTTTTTCTGTGCTCACTAAATAAAATAATATCACAAAAACACTTAAAAATAAGTACAAAGGAAACTCATAAAATTAAACTTTGCAATTAACACAAACACAAATAGAATTAAAAATGACAAAAACAAAAAAGATCACTTATACAAAACAAAACAAAAAAAATATTAGTTAAAGATCTATCAACATTATAAACATCTGCCTTTAACCTGCTTTGCAAAGTATGAATTGGCAAACAAGACAATATTCATCATGCAATAATTATAGACACTAACATAACCTTGAAGGAAGTAAATAATAATTAATTGTTATGAATCAACAAAGCACTTTAAATAATAAAAAAAAAGTAAATGTACAAAAAATCTTTCCAACACAGCTACCAATCACCAAAGCATTGTTAAAAAGTAGTAACCAGCAACATAAGGTTTGTGAAGCAGAGATTACTTTTTTTTTTAAACACATAAAAACACATGATTTTAAATTTTTTCTAACAGTATGAACATAAGGAATGCTTATATCAAAAAAATAGTATTAGAGAATACTTAATTCTACATTGTTCTTCCAATGTTTTAATGTTATATTTAATTAAGAGTTTCACTAAGTGTAATTGCAGTTATATAAAAAAGTGATTATTTTTGGCATCATAGGTTTTAAAAAAATAATGCATTTTTATTAATTTAAAGATGCACAATTAAAACTATGATATGAAAAACCATGAAAACTAATTGCAGAAAGGGAAAACTATAAGCTCACACAACGGAATTAAAAAAAAAAAAGTAGTAAAAATTTTTAGAATTAAAAATTAACTCATAACGATATAAAAATTCATGTGAGCTTATAAAATATCGAAAACACTATTCTTATTTGGAAGTCTAATATTTAATAATAATAATAAAAAATGTGCCATGTTATTAGGATCGACCATAATGAAAGAAGCTATGCCAGAAAATCACACCTAGACTTGCATGTCTTCTCTTCGAGTTAACTAGTTAGAATAATGTAGAGCAGAGAAACTTCTCAAAACTTTTTCCATTTGTGAAAGCAATATAACATGCTTTCTCAAGGAAGATGTTTTGTTATCAAATATAATCAAATTTCATTAAAAAAAACTTCCAGTTAAAAATAAAAATATTAGGTTAAATGTTAATCATAGAAGATGAGTGTCAAGCGAAAAATCTATCTCATTTTTTTAGTGGATTGAATGTAAATAAATACTTTCAGTTTAATAGAAAAATAAAATCTTTAGATAATTTCTTGTTTTTTATTCTATATGTACAAACTTTATTTTATAAAATTGGAACAAAACCATCTACATACAGTTAAATGATAAATTTCCACCTAAAAGGATTAACAAACTTTATTACCATCTCCTTACACTTAGCATATCATTACCTAACAATTTCGTACTTAGATCAAATTGAAGTGGGAAAAAAAGTTAATAAAAGGTTGCAGTTTTCAAGATAATATCTATTTTAAAACCGTAACAATGCATTAATGAATAGATTAAATAGAAGAAATAATTATAACATATTAATTAATTTTGAAAACCAAATAGTAATAACACAATTTTTAAACTGCTTTGTTAAGGGGTTAAATAAAAACTTAATGGAAAAAAGTGCAAAAGGAACAATTTTATGGTCCAAAAGTGAAATAATATACTGTCAGGTTTATAAAAGTTGATGCATGCAATCAGAGAAATAATAATGAATTATTTGTATGAAAAATATCCTTGCCTATTTTGAGTTGGTGGTGGTGAGAATGTCCAAGTACTTGATGTGAGGGATGAACTAGAAAGATTGGGTATATTTTGCTTGCTGTTCCAGGTAAAAAGTTCAGAGTCCTTAATACTGTTCAGAGATAATGGAGATTTGGCAATGCTTCCAGGTGTCACATGGGGGTCATCTTCAAAATTTTTGATGCGAGAGGTACCTTTCCAAGGCTTTCCTGGTTCAAATTCAGGCACAAGGTCATTTAAATTGTAGGACTGGGAAGAGCTAGAAGTGGAGGGATTTGTGGAAGTGGCAGGAGAATCTTTGTTGTCTGAGGCACTGTTGTGTTTGTTACTGCCACTCCCGTCTGAGATAGTCTCACAGTTACCGATGCTGTCACTGCTTCCTGGCACAGTGTTGGAATCATTAGGATCTGACCAAGTATCATTTTGTGACCGGGTCATTTCGTTCCAAACATTTTCGCTCAAGGGTTGCAAGTTGGATGAAGAGTGGCTAGCATTTCCAGAAGAAAGACTGTTCGATGACGATGACTTTGTGATTGAACCAGGAGCACGGCTGAATTCACTACCACTAACACTATTGTCTCTATTATTTTCACTGGAAGTAGGATTATCTTCCTTATCAAATGGAGGCAGCTTCCACTGATTAAGTCTTGAATGGCTTTGAGAGGGTGGTTCTTTCATTGATAAGTCCCTGAATTCAGAATGCAAGCCATTTATAGACTCGAGATTAGATTTTACAACATCAAACGAGGACGGCTGAGGATTTTGGAGGGATGGATGCTGCACAGGCAATTGAACTTGCTAATGAGGGAGGGGAAAAAAAAACAGAAATGGAATCAATATCCAAAGTTAGTATCTTTTGGTTTATTATAGATATCAAGACAATGGATTTTAAAATTAAAACTTTTATTTTGATGAAAGAAATTTATTTTTATTTATTTACTTTTTTAAAGCCAGTTCTAGGTATATAAGTTATTTTAAGTACCAATTCATGAATACATTAACGAAGCACATTTTAAATATGCCTAATTAATATATGTCTAACTAATATGCACAAAAATCAGGAATATCAGTGCAAAATATTTTTTATCAGGAAAATCAGGACAGCTAAAACCCTGCATAATGAAAGGTAAACACTTTATATAAAATTAGTGAGTTTTGTTGGAACTCAAAGTCAGAGAAGTGTGCTCCAAATATAGATGTTTGAATGTTAACTTTTCAAACACAGTTCTTCATTAGTTTCCATGTAGAATTTTTTTTTAAATTAATAACAATACTTTTAATCAATATTTCAAATAATTATGGGCAAAAAAAAAAGAAAAAAAAATTACAACAGAGCAGGTTAAAACCTTTCACAGAATATTTCCATTATCTTGCCTAAGATTTAAATAGATTGAACTTTTACAACTTTGGTATAGCAATAGCTTGAACCACTTTAACAATTCATGGTATGCTGAGATGGCTTTGTCCTACACAACTTGCTTATTCAAAGAAAAAAATTTAAAATTTTTTTAAATAAAAATACTGCTTTAAGATTTTATCATTTTTTTTCATGATCCTCAATCTAGTATACATTAGATATTTACATAAAACTTCCAATCAAAAAATTTTACTGATTATCTTTTGATTGATCTTACCTGCTTCAGGAATATAGCTTGCTGAGCAGCAATTTGGTTTTGCAAATTCATAATATGCTGTTTTGTTTGAGTAATCTGTACACTGAGCTGCAAGGGAGGACTACCAGGTTTGCTTCCATGCTGAGAAAAATACATTTGCTGTTGTTGGAGCTGATGTAAGACCTTGATTTGTTGCAAAAGTTGAAACAAGAAACACAGAGTTTGAGGAGATAAAGGCTGATTTAAAATCTATAAAAAGATATGCAAACATTAATTCCGAAATAAAATAATCATATTCAGCTGAGAATAAAAATTAATAACTTACTGTAGGATTTAAATGACCAGCTTGAACTGCCACCTGAATCTGCTGTGCCAAAAGACGTAATTGAGCAGAAGAGGAAAAATTTTGTTGATTCATACGTCCTGTATTTTGGGGCATGCAGGCCTATAAAAATTCTTTATTTTAATCTTACAAAATAAAATGTTTTAAGATTGAAGTCAATTGAATGAAAGAAGGTATATTTAAGCTTAATCGGGGTGCATAGTCAAATTATTCAACAAAAAATAAGCACCTTTTAAGCACTTTCTAAGCACTCAAAAAATATTTTTAAGCATTAAAAATGTCATAATTAGGCAGGATTGGACAGTTTTTTGACAATTCACGGTTTTATCTTGTTTTAACCACCATGTAAAAGAAAGAAGAAAAAAATTGGCATTCTTTTTGACAATTGTAAAAAATTATGAAATTTTGAATCATATCAAACGAATGGCGTTTTCATACGCTACGGACTGACAATACGCCAAAATAGATTGGGGTTGAATTAATTGTGAAAACGTTGAATAGAACAATGTGAATTGTTTTTTTAGGTTTTTTTTTGCATAATTCGTAGTGAAAATCAACATGGTAAAGGAAAAATCTCATTTTGAAAAGAGGGAAAATTAAGCACTTTTTAAAATCACCCAATGAAAAAAAGCACCTTTAAGGGCTCTTAAAAAATGAAAATCGAAAAAATGCACCTTCAAGTACTTTTTAAAAATGTTACGCACCCTGTTAATGATTAAAAAAAACTATGAAACTTTTAGCAAAACATTCTCCACTCAAAGAACACCTTTCAAAGGACTTTGCAGGATGAACCAATGTTCTATACTCACCACTGAGTATTTCCAACTCTTTAACAAAGGAATTTTAGTTTTTTTAAAATATCATTTAATAAATGATACTTTGCCTACTTCTCAAGATAAGAATTAAGAATACCAGAGAAAAATATTACGCAGAACTGTCTTGACAGTAACTTCCTTAGAAAGGGACAATTACTTTTTTATGACATGGTAAACTAGGTAAATATACTTTGTTATATATGTCTCGTGCAACGGGACTAAGGGCACCATTCTCAGAAATCCACCATGAACTGGGAGTTTCTATCATTTCTTAACATCTATTATTAAAAAACAAAGACTTTCCACGACAAATTTTGATCGATTAAGGTTAATTCACGACATTCCGTCATTTTTTATGTCCTTCCAGGTGCAAAAATATCGTAAACACATTACTCTTTTTAAACAAAAATAATAGGTGTGAGACTATTAATATAAAAAATGAAACTTACAGGATTGAAAGTTTGAGTTTGCTCCAATAGTTTGCGCATCATAGCTGGACTTAAATTATTAATACCATTGTTTAAATTTAAATTCGGCACTTGATTATTTGATCCAGCATTTCCCAGAATTGGAGTGATATTGTTACCAACAGAATTCTAAAGAGAATAATGTTCATTTAAAAATAAAATAACAAAAAGGTAATATAAAAAGGATATTTAATTAAAGTTCTGCTCACCTGAGTTTTACAAGTTTGAGCAGAATTAAAACCAGTAGAAAACATATTCATTCCTGGGAAATTATTACCATATACATTATTGGGGGGTAGTGAATTATCCAGAGTGTGGTCTGTAAAGCTCATGTCATCTGAAATGTTACCAAGGTGAACTCTAGGTTGATTAAGATTAAGGGAAGATAGAGATATATCAATATCCTGTACATCTTTATTATTCAAAGCGTGAAGCTCCACTAAAAGGAAAAATCAACAAATTATTTTTTTTTTAAAAAATACATCTAAAACAATTCATTTTCTAACAAGCATTTTTTAGCTCAAAATATTTTTATTTTAATGATATCCTTAGAAATATTAAAGGTTAGCTATAAACTTTTACAAAATCAAGACAATACTTCTCTATAAAAATTCTGAATCTGCATATAATCCATCCACCAGAAAAAGAAAATTTATAACATGAGGACGTCATTCTGTTGAAGAATTGTTATTGATGTTGGTACAAAACTTTTGGCCAAAATTACAAACAAATTTTTGGCCTACCATCACATCTTTAAATTCAGTTTTGGTCACAGCTCCTTCTTACTTATAAAAATTTCTATGCAACTTCTTTTTAACTAATGATCGTTTCACTTTGATTAAGCCTAAAATTATTATTTTAAAGGTGGACAGACAATAATTAATTTGGAGCTTAGATATTTTGTTTTTCAAAAACAAAATAAATAAATAATGAAGAAGAAAAAAAATAAACATAAAATTAAATTAGCAAAAAAAAAAAAAAAAAAAAAAAAAAAAAAAAAAAAAAAAACATTCGTCAAATAAGATTGATAATTAAAATAATAACAAATAATAAAGTAAAGCAAAAAATATATTTAAAACCAAATGTCACAAAAATGTACTCAGTTAAACACTCACTCAGTGCATCTTCCAGATTCATGTTACTCCGCCTTAAAGCATTTTCAACATCGTCCTTCTAGATTAATATATAAAAGTATTAAAACAACATTAAACTATTAAAAATTGATTATTAAAATCAAAATAAATAAGCAATAAAATTGCTTATTCATTACCTTGAAATTCATTTCCATGAGAATACGAAATTGTTTGCTAGCCCAAATTAAGTCCTTAGTTAATGGCTTTCCACTCTGGAAATATATAAAGAGTGATTAAAATATTAAGTTATATTTATTACATGTAATACATATAAAAAATATAAAAATTTTAAAAAAAGCTAAAAAAAAATTTTGTTTTGAAACTAGGATATATCAGTAAAAATAACTAGAATATATGACAGCAAAAAATTTTTTACGAAACAAAAAAATAAATAAATAACCAAAAAGCATTTATATATGAAGATAAAAAATTTGTTAAGTTAATACATTCATTAATGTTTAGAAAAAATTGCTTCTGTTGACTAAGAAGAGAATAATGGTATCAGTAAACTGATGACCTTATGTAGCAGAAGTTATCAAAATTTAACGGCTTATTATCGGTAACGGTATTATCTTTAACGGCTTAAATTTAACGGTATTTAGAAAATAACCAATTCCAATCATGTGTAAAAAAAAAACTAAAATTAGAAAAAGAAGATTTTTTGTAAGTTTTTTATTCTTAAGTTAGCTTTTGAGAAGAAGCATATGGAAAAGATGCAGGTTAATCATAGGGATGGAACGAATATTTGGCCACTATTCGGTATTCAGCCCTTTTGCCAAATATTCGTCAAAGTATTATTCAGAAAAGTTTTTTTTAAAGTTTTTTTCAGGGAAATTTGAAGATTTAATAAAGAATAATCTAAAGTCACATTATTATACTTCATTAGAAATTGTTTTAGAAACTGTTTTTGCACTTATTTGCTAAGTTCTAAAACTTGTTAATTTATGTTCTCTAAGTCAAATGAAATCTGAAGAATTGAAACTAGATTACTTTATACTGAACCATAAGTTCTCTGTATCTGTAACAGAGCATTTTAACAGAGCGTTTTTTTAATAGACTTATTCTTTCATTATCACTTTTTTTTGTCCAGTAAGACAAATAACCAAAAACCTTGATTCTCAATGTTAAGTTATATTTCAGGACTAAGAACATTTTTTTTATAAACTTTCTTTTTTTATCAACGTTTTTGTTAGGACAGGATTTCATAAAGAGCATATCTAATGAACATTATTCTTTGATGGTCAACTTTTTTCTAAATATACGGAAATATAAAAAAGTTGAAAGGAAATTTTTAACGTTAAATCATTTAAAAAATAAGAACGATATTTGTTTTTGTTTCAATCCAGCCTTTTCTTTTTCAAAAAATCCCTGTTTTTAAAGTTTTTGTTATAACACAGTAATTAAGAGGGTTTCTATCACTTCACTCCACTGTTCTTCGTGAAAATAAAGCAATTGGAAAACTGAGATGTTTAGCTTCAAAAAATTTTTCAAAAAATAAGAAAAGTATTATATTTAAAATTACATAAAAAGTATTGAATTTAAAAGAAAAAATCTGAAATAAAAACAATCGGATGAGAGATGCTGACAGCTGAAAAGAATTTTCATAGTTTTAAGTTGGAAACACAAATAAAGAAACAAATACCTGCTTTAATGGTCCACCCCAAGAACTAGTATCAACTTGTCCATCTGCCCAGTTACAACCTGAGTTTTTGGACTTAGCACTCCAATATGGTCCCATGGGATGAGTAGGCTCTCCCCAGTTTCCAAAGGCACTATTTGGTGTATTAGGAGTTCCCGGAACACTTTTGTCAGGAAGTTGATTCTCACTGATATCAAAAATGCGACGTCCTGTTATCGGGTCTCTGTGAGAAGGCATTTCATTCCAGCTCATATTTCGATTCAAAATCGGATTTTTCATCCAAGATTTGTCAGTGTTATTTATATTTGATCCTGCCTGAGGTAAACGAATCATGCCAGGACCTGTATGAGGAGCACAAGGATTATTACCTTGACACATATTATTTGGTGGCATTACACAGTTTGGCATTTGTTTATTGGGTGGCATTTCTTTCCAATGAGAAACTTTGCCTTGATGTACAGGATTGCCCCATACAGCAGTGCCATCATCATAGTTACCTCCAGACTGGCCAGCATTAGGAGGAGGAACTGTGTCTTCCCAACCAGTTGTTAACTTTTTACCACCAGCACTAGGTGACCAGTTACAAAACCCTCTAGAAGCTTTATGTGAAGGATCTGCCCAAGGTGGAGCATTGTCAGGACTGTTGTCTTCAACTGTAAAAGAAAAAATAAATGCTAATGCTTACATAAAAGATGTATATTTACTAACTAGAGAAAGAATTATATGGTTTAAAATATTACAATAAATGAAAGTAATATTATAAAGTAACTTACTAGATTTAAATAATTTAATTAACAGACGATAAAACAATGCTGAATAGGTAGTTGATGGGGTTAGGTTGCTATGGAATTTTAGAAAAAAAAATTTTTTAACAGGTGCTTTGTACCATATTTTGCAGAGCCGAGATCCCACTTCATCAACCCCAAAAACTTTACCAAAAGCATTTCTCCTGAAGTTATATTTTTCAGTAAGTCGAACTCATAACTTTAACAAATATTCACTCAATAATTTTAATTTTGCAAAAAACTACATACTACGAAAGTACATTGTCAGGTTTACCTCACATATTTGAAATCTTTTTTAAAGCAAAATATGTTTCATTTAATGCATTAGACTATTATACAGATCTGGAGTAATAAAGTAATTCTTTTCCTTAACTTTCTAGCTAATTCAAAAATGCAATGGAATACAAAATGCTGTTCACCTATATTTTTGGTGTCATTAGTCAATGGCATGTGAGGCAAACCAATCTGCAAGGCTGCTGGAATAAATAAATGACAAAATTAATGAAAAATAGCATAAGTAGAGCTTAGAAATTTTGCTGGGCTTGTATAATTAAAAATAATAATAAGAAAAATAAAAACATTACAAGAAATTAAATCTTGTAAACAAAACAGCCCAAATGTATTTTTAACCAATAACAGATATTTTAACTTGAACATAGAAGCAATAATCTTAAGTTTTACTCTCTAATGCACATTCTCACAATTTAAACAAGTGAAGTGACAGAATACAAACTTAATTGAAATCCCCAATTAGTTGAAACAGATTTATTATGTTTCAAAATTAAAAGCAAAAAGTTCTTTAAAAAGTTGTTTTAAAGAAAAAGACTTGCTAATTTTCAGTAGACAGAATTTTAATTTTATACAAGATACTCTTGGCCTTTCTAAAGGTCAGACGAAATTGTGAAATTTTAGAAACTATCTTTGAGATTTTAGGCCATATGAACTTGGGTTTCACAAAAAACTCCCTAAAGGCCTGATTTCTTAGGACAGGACGCCGTCAGCTGGAAATCAGCGCTAACATCTGATTGGTCCATTTGTGAGTTTGATAGTATACGTCATCGAACGCTCATCTTAACTACAATTACCGTCCAACTCAACTGCAGTTGGATTACAATGTGACGTTAACCACAGAAGCAATGGCGGACAACATCCTGTCGCCAAGATTTTGATTTTGACATTAAACATATCACTCTTCATTTAGCTTAGCTATAATGTGTTTTTTCTTGGACAAAGTCATTATTTGTTCTCTAAAACACTGGTCGACAATAACAAAATCAATACAAATTCAAAATAAATATTTGTTTACATTATTAACGCATGCGCAATGAGAGATAATGTCTGCGTTGGACCGACTGCTCACGCTGAGCTAACAAAAAAGTATTTTTTTGGCGTCAGATCTACGTCAACTTTCCGCTGACGCCCAGATAAGGCGCTAGTTCTAAGAAACCAGGCTTTGAGCTAACAAACCAGTATTTTGTTGGCGTCAGCGTGACGTTGACGTCCCGCTGACGCCCAGATAAGGCGCTTGTCCTAAGAAACCAGACCTTAAATTGACAACTCCCACATTTAAAATTCACAAAAATGACAGAATGAGTAAGTTATAATTTATCTCCAATTGTTATAAGAAAAAAAATTTATAAACAAATTAAGTAACAATGCTAGTTACAACAAAAAGTATGTAATAAAATACTTACGAGGCTCATTGTTCCAATTAGGAGCCATATTTGGATTGATGAGATTATTTTGACTGCCCCAGTTTTTATTTTCCACAGCTGGGTTAGCACCCCATACGGAAGTGCTACTCTCATTACCCCAGGTGGCACCACTGGCTTGTGGAACACCAGTCCACAAGTTAGTGGTATCTTCCTCTTCTCCCCAAGTGCCACCAATGTGGGTGGTAGGCGTGTGGCCCCATGGCTCACGTACTTGATTAGGTGGTTTAGTATTACCACTTTTAACATGATGGCGTACATTATTTTCCCAAATTTCAGTACCAGAGCTTGTGGAATTTGTCCAAGTGCTCCCTTCTTTAGGACTTAGATGAGGAGATGAAGGCACATCCCAGGCTGTGTCTTGATTGACTCCCTAATATACATAAGAAAATCTTTAGATTATAATTTTTTTAATGCAATCAAGAAGTTTTTTAATGTAAATACAACAATTAAGACAAATTATTATTTATTTTGTTTTAAACATTCATAAATATAACTTATACAGTAGAGTCTCAGTTGTTCGAGTTTCCCATAAATCTGAGCTAGGAAAAAAGTCAGTCTTGTTCCTAAATAATGACCAATGCACTAACAACCACAACATGTGGAATGATTACTACGACTGAATGTTGAAAAGTGATACTGTAAGTTAAAAACTGAAACATGTGAATAGTGTGTTTAAATAAAAACATTAGACAATTATTTTAAAGTACAATTAATCTGATGCAGTAATATAATCAGGGGTCTGTCTAGGTTTTTCTGAGAGGTACCTATTTTGTGAAAATTTAGACATAATTTGTGAAAAATTAAAAGTTATATTTAAAAATCAACACAAAAATTTGGAAAAATGGGGATTTATCGTTTCTTAAGAGATACAAAAATAAAATTTTAAGAAAAATTATTTTGTGAAACTACCGTTGAATTTGCGAAGGTACCGCTAAACGGTAGTAAATTCGGCCTGGACAGACCCCTGATAATGAATATTGTAACTTGATTTAATGCAATAAATATACCCTGATCCTCTAATGTAGGGGTGCACACAACCTGTAACCTAAATGTAACCTGTTTATTAACACATCAATAATATAGAAATTAAGTAAATATTTATTAATATTTAGTCGATTAAAAAACAAGAATACTAGACTACAATGTTTCAGTAGCTGAAGATCAAGAGAAGAGATCTGAAAGTAACTCTAAATGCAGTTCCAGGAAGTAAATGATAGTGAGGAGGAGGTGGTAAATCTTAGCTAAATTTAAAAATACATAAATAAAAAAAAGTAACTTACCCGTTGTCCCCAGCCCTCACTATATGCAGCTGCAAGAGTAGTTTCTGTGACATTCTCTTCCATTTTATTTACTTTCGTAGACAAATTTCCTGAATTATCTTGATCATTTCCCATTTCAGAATTAGTGGAAGTTGAAGGCCCATTATCAATACTATTTAAACCTTTTCCAGCAGCTTGAGCCCATGTGTTTTGCTGTTTAACAAGTGGCATACCTATAACCAAAATAAATTACTTACAGCAAATGCAATATTTAATAAAGTTGGATCAAAACGAGAGATGAACTGGATCCTAAAATTTCGCCACTTCTGTCAAATTAAATCTTTCAACATGCCAATTCCACGTACTACTTGAAAGTTATATTTGTAACCTAGCTGGCTCGGATACTTGGTAAAAAATGGGATTTATTACGCTGCTGGCTATTACTGTATTTGTCGAAAACATAATATGTAAATTATATAATTTTCTGCCAAATAAATATTTTAAAAGAAAATTATTCAAAGTAAATTTAATTCGCACGCACATGAATAAAAATTTATTGATTTCTCATTTTTCTATCAGTTTTAAAGTATAGTTAAAAAAGAAAGCTTATAAATTAAGTAAAGAATAACTGTTCGCAGGGTTTCTTCCAGATGGGCCTTCCATTTGCCCATTGAATGCAAAATTTTTTACTAGCATGCACTTTGAAACTAATAATGCTCCACACATATTTTTAAAATAAATGGTCTGTTTACATTGATATTTTTGTAAATTCAGTTGGTTCCGTAGCAATTAATCCTCTTTATCAGCAGTCTTCACATGGTTTATAAAATTTCGAAATATATTTAATACACTACTACGAAATGCAAATTTTGAATTTGAGCTATCCTTTTTAATATTCACTAAATGATTATTCTATGATAGTAAAGCATTGTTAGATGATAATGATGATTCGAACCTTAACTTATAGTAGGCATAATTAGATAATATGAAAAACTTTCTGCGGACCCAAAATGTCAATTATAAAACTTTCTGCACACATTGATTAACACTTGTAACCAGTTTCAACATTTTTATCGTGAACTCATTTTGCCGAAATTTCGTTGAAAATCACAGATTTTTTTAAAAATGTTCAATTTTTATAGAACTTTATATCCAGGGTTCCCACTCTTTTAACAAAGCAAAAATGAAGCACTTTTAAGGACTTTTTTTTAAAAAAATTAAGCACTTTTTTGAAAAATTAAGGACTTATGCCACCTGTGACAGTGCCAACTATTTACCTTTCTAAAAACATCAATAAATAAATAAAAATAATAATAAACAATTGTATTAATTAACAGGGCTCGGCAAAGAAGTACCAGGTAATTTTTGCAGGAGAAAAAAATTTCAGATTGTTAAAAGTTAACGTCATTTAGATTGTAAAAGTTAACAAATTAAACTAATATGTATTCCATTTTTAATGACTTCATTGAAATTGAATTGTAAAATTAAGTTTTCATGTATGTTAAAAAAAAAAGTAAATAAAGAAAATTGGCAAAAACATTGAAAAAATTATTACAGGAAGTTTTTATATTTCACTACTAGACCAGCAAACATGTTATAATTACTTTTATGATGAACTTAAACAAAATTATTTCCAGCCAAACATGCTATTAAGAATTAACTTTACATAATGCTACTAAACATTCTGGAGAAAAAAATTAACTCATTTTAAAGCAACCAAAAACTGAACAAAAATTAAAAAACAGTATATTAAGTTGCAATGTTAACTGAATAAAATGATTATTAAAATCTAAGGATCTTTTAGTTCAGTAGATTTAGATTTTTATGTAACATTCTGCTTATCCTTTAGTGATGCTAAAAAATTAAGGACTTTTAAAAACCAGGGTTGGGTTTTTGACATGACAAGGGTATAATACTGGTTCAAACCGTCAAAAATGTCCAAAACTGAAGTTTGCCAAGAAAATTTATAAACTTCAAAACTACCAACAGTTGCCATGCATTAGATTGAAATTTAATTATACTATAGGTAATCAGCAGGTTTTAAAATATTTTTTAATTAAAATTAAGGTAAAATAACAGATTTNTTTAAGGGCCCTTATTTTCCAAAATAAAAAATTAAGCAGTTTTTAAGGACCGTGGGAACCCTGAACTGTATGTGAGATGAAATTTTGTGAATAATAATATAGTAAAGAAAATATATTAGTAAAAAAATTTAAAGTGCATTGTATAAGATATCATAAAAATGACTGAGGATTTGAAAAATTAATAGAAAGTTTAAAAACATACCGTATATCTGCTATATTGAGGCATTTTTTTACACGGTAATTATACATCTAATTAAAGTTTTGAAATAATTACATTTTGCACACACAAACAGTGAACTCTCACTACTACTACATCCAATACAATAATTTCCTTTATTACGATAATGTTTCGTGGTCCCGACAAACATGACATTATGAGTTAATGTTATGCTCCTCTCGATATTACGAAATTCTCTAAAGCAATAAACCCCACGATTTTTTTTCCAAATTTCAACCTTATTTTCTCCATTTATTATTGGTTTCTAAATAATGTAAAAAAAATCTTTAATTTATCATCTTTTGCCATTTTTTTCATCTTTTCTGACACGACAAGACTCACTGCTGACCATCACCAAAAGTTCCATCCAAGATGTCACTGTGCCATAATAGGCATTACATATTTCCTAGCTTTTAAAATTTCTGTAACACTAGATTGCCCTAGGACAGGGGTGGCGAACCTTTATACACCAACGTGCCATTTTTTCTAAAAAATTGCTTAATGAGGTCATAGACGTGCCGTCAAATAATTTTGACTTTGTGATTATTCGGAAAATAATAATACTAAATACTATCAACTCAAAACTCTTTATTTACATTGAAAAAAAAAAACATTTTGCAATGTCTCAGTTATACACGTAATTCCACTTAAAGTAATATCAGTNAATATAGGTTTTTGACATTTTTGACAGTGAGGTTTTTGATGTGACGGTTTAAACTGTCAAAAACTGTCACATGTCAAAAACCTGCCAACCCTGTTAAAAACCTTGTACCAAAATTAAGTACTTTTAAGGGCCTTTATTTTCCAAAATAAAAATTACGCAGTTTTTAAGGACCGTGGTAACCCTGATATCGATTAATACTACAGGGATAAGTTTGACAATAAAAACTAAAAAGGCAGAAAATAGAAATTCAAAAAGTTGTGTGTAAAAACACTTTTTAAAAAATTGAAAAAAGAATGGAAATTTGTGCAAAAAAGTGTATGTAAGAAGCATTTATGCACAAAATGTTAATGCTATATTCAGGATTCCACCGTAAATCTATTCATTTCTGTAAAAAAAAAAAAAAAAAATAAAAAANAAAAAAAAAAAAAAAAAAAAAATTATTGCGGCAGTTTTCAGAGTTACTTAAGTCTATTTCAACATTGTTTTTAAAGCATCAATATTTTCAATTTGTTATTGACACGAAACATTTTCAAAATTCGAAAATTTTACTCATTTTAATCTGTTTTAATTAATTTTTGAATGTAGTTTTTGATAAATATAAAACATAGAAGATACTCTTAAACATAAAAAAACTATATGACAAAACTATTCAATAATCAATGCTATTCAACACACAAAATGATTGACAATCAACCAGATTGTCAGCCAACTAAATATTCATTATTCGGCCAAAATCAATACCAATAATTGTAACCTGTCAACTATATTTATTATATAGCAAGGAATGCTAACACATTTTCAACTATTCAACAATAGAGCTTGTGACATCTTTTTCACAAACAAAAAAATTTTTAGCACATAATTTACTGTGTAAAAATGCATTCATAATAAGATGGTCTGCTACTCAGCCTATGGATGTAACAAATATTTGGTTGGCTGAATGTTTGGATAAGTATTTTTTTTTTTAAAAATATTTTTCAAAGTTTTTTTTTTTTGAATTTGTACAGATTTAATAGAGAATAATCTAATGTCATAGTTTTTATTATATATATCATTACAAGCAGTTTTTACACATATTTATTAATCACTAAAACTTGCAAAATTTATGTTCTGTAAGACGAAATGCGAAATTAGACTAACTGAAACAGTACAAAACTCGTGATCAGAATCTGAATCTCGAGTTTTGTACTGCTGTTATTTTTTTTTTTTTTAATTACATTCAGGCAAGTTAATTTCATAATTTTTTTTAACACTTTTATTTCAGGAATTGAAAATGTTTTTTGTTTCGTGTTTGCTGTTTTTATTATGGAACAGCATTTCTAATGAACTTTATTGTCACATTTTTCCTGTTCGATAAGACATATAACGCTGATTTTTAAAGTTTAATTTATATTTTAAGAACAAAGAAATTTTTTTTTTTATCTTTTGTTTTTTTATTAACTTTTCCTCTTAAAAGCCTTTTTATACAGTATTTTTTCAAATAGTCTTCTTAATGAACATTAATCTTTTATCTATCTTTTTTTTTTCTAAAAATAAGACAGGGTAAAAAGTTAACTTGAGATTTTTAGTGCTAAATTATAATTTTTAGTGTTTATTATAATGCAGCAATTAAGACTTTTTCTATTACTTAAAAATAAGGCAATTGGAAAACTGAGATGTACAGTTAAAAAATTTTCATAAATATTAAGATTGATTTTTTTTTCTGTTTTGCTATGGTACATAATCTTTTTTTTTTTTTTTTCTGGGTGTTTTGATGATAGTACTTTTTTTAAAAAGTGTCACTGATTAACTATGCCTCTTTTTTAAAAAAATGTTTCTCTTTTCTTTTTCAGAAAATATTTTTGGAATTTAAATTTGGTTTTAAGAAATAGGTTTTCTTTTTCGCTTTTAACTTTAATTTTTTTAAACAGCTGTTAGTCAGTTTCTTTATTTAAAATATTTCTAATGGATAACTATTTATATTTTTTCCTTTACCCCATACCAATAATATACCTAAGCTCTGATTATTTCTCAATAATGACTCAGGGTTGCCATTCAAATCTGGAAAAAAAATTCCCTGTGTTTTCCCTGTACATGTTATATACAATATATTAAGAGGAAACAACAATTACTGTGATCGTGTGTGAGCTATATTGGGCTAACTATATTTATTAGTTTGAATTTCTGGAAAAACAGCTGAGCATACTTAAATAATGCTATGCTATGGTAAATGAAATAGTTTAGTATAGCTGAAATATCATGGTTAAATATTCCATATATTACGCTTTGAGTGGTCACCATTTTTTAAAAGACCAAAATAAAAAAACAAAATTCTCTGTATTTTCCCAGTTGGTAAAGAAAAATCAAAATTCCTTGCATTTTCCCTGTTATTTTAGATGATTTTTAAATTCCCTGTATTTTCCAGATTTTCCCTGTTCTCCCTGTGACTAAACTTATTCATGCATAAAGAATAATATGGTGCTATTCGGCCAAATCACTATTCGTTACATCACTAACTCGCAAGTCATCAATCAACATAAGCTTTGATTATCTTTGCAATTCAATTCAAAGCAACGCAAGAAACAAAAATTTAAATCCAAAGTAACTTCAGAATTTCTTAAAACTTATTAACACTTTAATACAAATGACAGGTATCTCAAAAATAATCTATGATTTGAAAAATTACCTAATCTAAGAAAAATGGAAAATTCATTCTGAAATCAGAAACACTTCGAATTTAAATATTAATAATTGACCATTGCCTTAAAACTATATTTTATGCTAACTCTCAAATCATTTTCAATTTAAATATTTGCACAAGTATCTCTTAGCTTCGTCTGCAATTTATTTTGGTCACACAATAAAGTTTATGTAAATGGTGGTTATTTTGAAAAAATATTGTTAGATGGTTTTTCTTAGCAGTGTCATCTATTGATGAACTTTAAAATTAAAAAAAAAAAATAAAAAATTCTTGAAAGTTTAAAAAATTTAGAGGGAAAATTTTAGTATTATATTATATTGATTTTTTCGCTAATTTTTTTAAAATAAAAAGATAACAAAGGATTGCCTCTAAATTTCTTGACTATAGGGTACATTTCTATAACAGTTTATGATTGAGGTTAAGGTTGTCGCCAACACTTTAACCACAGGAGCAAACCTTAAAACACTCTATAGATTGAAATTATTTCAAATCAATTCGCGTTGCTTTTAATAGGTCGACTTATAATTTAATTTGCAGTTTTCTAAAAACTTACATCCCTTCTCATCATGAGTTCATAAAAAAATTCAACTTGCACAACGTTTCACATTATATAGTGTTTCAAATTATATAATATAAAATTGCATGCATACATTTGCCAAGGGAATAAAACTGCTAACTCTTTTCTTGCAAAGTCTGAAAAATAATTGTGCAACTACCAACTACAGTAAATAAAATATATTATACACTATTAATGAAATTAATTGAGGTAAAGAAAAATAGTTATTTTTTAAAACTGCTTTACACAAATTTTTTCATTAAAATATTTCTTTTAAATTAAATAAAAAAATACTGAAATTGATAATTTTGTCATAACATTGAAAATATCATTAAGATTGAAAATTAATTTTAATTATAAAATTTAAATTGAAGAAAAAATAAATAATTGGTTTGAATAAAAAATTTGAATATGTGCTTTTTTTGTAGGAAAAAAAACAATCAATTTTTTTAAACTTCTTAACTATAAACATTATAATAATAGCAATGTTTCGACATATTTGTTAACGCAATAAATACTGGAGAAGTTAAAGCTTATTAAATATTAATAATATCTAACTATTAAGAACTTTGAAAATGCATCTTAAAACGTATATATAAATTTTAAATTGTAACAAAAAGTGAAATAAAAAGAAAGCAATGAACTAAGCGAACTATATATCCAAAACATCAAATTGAGGATTGAAGTTATGGCGATTAGATGTACTACTATCATAATGGAAGAAATCAATCTACATTTACCAATCAATACATAGTTTTCCGCTATGTTAAAAATATATTAAGCAAATATTGATATTATTAATAACACAAAACACAAGCAAAAACTATTAATCAATACAGGAAGGGAAACACTCACACAGTAACAACTCGATTTTAAATGGCTACTCGCCATCCACATCTGTTTACTTACTTTATCTGCCAGTGTACACGTAGGTTGGTCGATACATTTATCGGCTGTGCGTTAATCTGAATTTTAAAAATGTATTAATGAAATTTTTAAAATTTTATTCATAAAAATATGGAGACTGTCACCTTAAAAAGATATGCAATTTGACAGGAAAACAATCTCATTTAAGGAATAGGAGAATACGAACCATTCCCACCTAGTTAAAGATAGGGTGGGGGAAGTAAAATACATCCGTAAAACTCGATAGCTGGATCAGTCCCTACCTCCTTTCAAAATGAACACATCCTACGACCCAATCGAATATAAATAGAATCTTTTTATCAAATGATTTGAAACTGTATTATAAAAAAAAATTCTGCTTATATCAATTTAAATTGTCAGCAGCAAACATTAATTTAATAGAATATGAATTTAATCAAATAACTTTTATAAAATCTTCAGTTTCTATTGGGACATCATCCATACACATTAGTAAAGTAAAGAAAAAATTTATATAAATATATAAAACTATACCCAATGCGAGAACTTTATTATTTATGTTTAATATAGAGTAAAATCAGAAAATAAATTATTAAAGGGAATCAAAATATTTACCAATAATCCTTTAAGCATTAGGTAATTTTTAACCTTTAACCATTAAGATCTTTTAAAATCTTAGAAACACATATTCCAAAAAATAAAACGATATTGAAGTTTATTGAATTCTAATTAATGAAAATTAACTTTTATTCAAAACATATTAAGTGATCAAAGAATTTGTTGAATATCTGAAATGTAAAATAAATTAATTTAATATTTAATATATTTTATCTATCAAGTATAATTTAAATTTTATTTGATATAAACTGTAAAAAATGTTAAGAATGTCTTTTAGTTTCGTTTTTATTTAGGTCCATTTCATAACTCAACCGGAAAATGCAGCAAAAAAACTCTTCAACTCATTACACATCACGATTGTGAGATATTGTGAAATAAAAAAAAAATTAAAAAAATAGCAATAAAATAACAACATTAAAATTACCTTGTGGGTTGACTTACGTCAAAATTTACATTAAATTTATCAAAAGTAGAGATTTCAGGTTATGTAATTTTCTGAAATAGTTATTTTATTAGTTTCTAACATTTGATTTAACTTGTTTACAAATGAGAGTAAATATTACTATAAACTACGATATGTTTTGAATGTAATTCAATATATATTTATATAAATATATTAATTTTATTTACAGACTTGAAATCATGAAAAACCAAGAAGAATGTGTTCTATGTTGTAAGGAAATAAGTATTTATGCTACAGGACTATGTGACCACCCTGTTTGCTATGAATGCTCTGCTAGGATGAGGGTTTTATGTGAAACAAATGAGTGTCCAATCTGCCGAAGTGAAATTCCATTAGTGAGTATAGTTTTAAATTTTGCTCATTAAAGTTAAATAGGAAAATTAAATTGATGAAAGGTCATAAACTTATGAAACACAGCTTAGAGATTTTTATGGCCATTGTCCATTTCCGTTTTTATTGCTTCATGATATAAAGCATATTTTCGAAACTGAGAGTTAACTAGATAACTTTGAAGGGATGATACTCATTGGAAGGAAAAGTTTTATATCATGATCTGAAGCAGAATAATCGGCTAAACCTTTGTAACTTCTGAGCAAGAACCCTCTAGAAATTAAACATGAAAAATCACAGAAGGAAACCAACTTGAAAGGTATAACTCATAACCTCCAACAGCTGAAATAGTCATAAGAATGTCAATATAAATAAATGTTACCTTTCAGTAAGACAGAAATTAAGAATCCATGAAAGTTCTGGATATAGAGGTCAAATTAATATAATTCACTGTATTATAATTTTAAGGATAGTTAAATGTTCTTTATTTAAGATTAAGATTGAATTAAGTTGAGAATATTAATTTTAATACCTTCACTTGACATTATTTACTTAATTTTAAAATTAACTTTTTGTAAAACAAAAAATGTGATTTATGTTTTAATAATTTTTGTACCATGCTTACGAAAATTAGTTATCTAATTTGAAATTGAACTATTAAGCAAAAAATGATCTAAACAAAGTTTTATTTATTAAGTTTAGTTTAAAATTTGTCTTTTTCTAATGATTACATCTCAAGTTTTCTCTATTGTGTTTGTACCTTCAGAATTATTTTTTAAAAGTGAATATACATTATTTTTAGTACAGTAAAAACAGTATTAATTTATTTTTAAAAAAAAAAATTCATAACTCAAGCATAGTGTAGCGTTTTTAAAAAAGTGCTTATAGAGGTGCTTATTTTCATTGGCTGTTTTTAAAAAGAGCTTAATTTCCCCTTTTTGAAAATTAGATTTTTTTCTTTACCATATTGTTTTTGCCACATATTAAGCAAAAGAATGCTTTTTACATTGTTCTATTCAACGTTTTCACAATTGATTCTATCACAATCTATTACGGCGTCCCATCGGTCCATAGTGTATGAAAGCACCAATAATTTTACATGTTTGATGAAATACTTAGGAGTCCCATGTGCGCCTGCTGAGCTGAGTTCGGTGAGATTATTGCACTCTCATGTGCAACCCGGCTGCGTTTTTCAAGATATTCTCAAGTTCGGGCTTCATTTTGCACCATCTGATATCGAAACGAAAAACCTCTTCATCTCTTTATAATGGCTAATGTAATCAATAAAAGAGTTCTTTGTCAGAATCTGGTAATTTTATCGTTATCATGATCATGTAAAATTATTTTGCATTTTGTTATACATATAGTGGTTAAAAATATATTTTGAGTGCTTAAAAAGTCCTTAAAATTGCTTATTTTTTGTTGAAAGATTTGGCTGTGCACTCTTTCAAAGAATTACATTTATAGAGAATTGAGAATGGTATGGATATCAGATATGTTGTCATAAACTGGTTTATTTCAATGCTAAGTGTTTCTAAGAGTTTGGATGATAAGCCTAAGGACTAGAACTTGACGATAAATTGATATAATGTGAAATATTGATTTAATGCATAGATCAACAGACCGACATAGCAACTTTCGTTTTATGCAATGCATCAGAAATCTGATTTATGTCGACACTCGCTGTTTCGAGATTTAGCATACGAGGCTTCTTGCCTATGCTTTAACGCTGTCACCGCGCTGGTGAAAAAGATTTTGATTTTATCTAGCTGCGAAGATGTCGATTGCGTCTAGCTGCGTAGACGATGTTAGTTTCATAATGTTGAATGATGAAGAGCGAATTAAACCAGAACTCCCGGTTTCTTGCGAGGATCAGCGTTGAAATATAAAACGCAGTGCATAGTTTCTTTATACGCCATTTTTGTCTTTGGGATTTTACGTTTCTTGAAGATTATTTTCAGCGGGACTTCCATTATTTTGCCCCCGCTATGCATTTTATATCCTCGGGATTTGACATTTCTTGGAAATTATTTTTAGTGTGATTTCTGCTACTTACCAATTGTTTCATTGTGCATTATTTCATCACCTTTTTTTCTTTTTTATCTGTAGGGATTTCGGATTAAATTCTATTCAGAACTTAACTAATTTATAATTCCATTGTTTAGCACTGATGAATCCTTTTAATTTCAGTTTAATGACTCAGCATACAGCTTTGTTTTTCCATTAAAAACCTTAAGTTAAGATTTTTTTTTTTTTAAAAATTTATATAAAATGAGTAACATTATTCTTGATCTGAAAAACCATGGGCATTCACCTAAAGAAAATAAATCATATTGTGTAAATACCAGGGTTGGAGTTTTGGACGTCCTAAACTGGTTTTGGACAGGACACGTGGGTTTTACTGTCTTAAACTGGGTAAAACTGTCCTAAACTGGGTAAAACTGTTCTAAACTGGGTAAAACTGTCCTAAACTGGGTAATACTGTCCTAAAGTGTCCAAAACCTTGAACCTAGGTAAAAGGTAAATATTCTATAGGTGTAACCATTGTACACATAATAATTACATGTATCAATAAATATTTGAAATTTTTTATACAATTTACTATAGCTTATTAAAGGAAAATAATATAATATAATAGGAAAAGGTTTATAATTTTTGAAGCTCTACAATTCATTGAACAACAAAAGTGAATACCTAATCCTTTAAGTATAAATATGCTTTTAATACTGATAAATAATATTTTTGCATAAGGATAAATATGGCAACATTAAAAAATAATAATTTTTCTTTAAAAAAAATACTAAATTTGTTCAAAAATTAACCTTTTATTTTTCACGATATTTCTTTAAAAAAATTTTATAATTTCTGCATCACAGGATGATAAAAAAGACATCTAATTTTAAAAAAAAAATATTTTTAAATATAAATATATTAGTTTAAATTGAAAATACAAAATAACTGAAAAATGTATTAACAGTTTTGAAGGGCATAACATCAGTTTCAGTTACTGACACTGGTGATGTATCACCACTATGCTAAAAGAATTGAACATGAATGAAATAAAAGTATTCTTGAATAGTACTATAGATAAATAAACCTGTTTATGACGAACCAAGCACTTAGTCCCTAATATTTTAACCTGTATGGCAAGGCCAAACTTCAGTTATGTACTATTGAATGAGAGGACCAATTGAACTTGATTACTGATTAATCTTCCTTTGTTTAAATTGAAGAGTCAAACAATATTAATAAAACATTATACTTTTAAAAACAAATATTCTCTAGTATATTTAATTATCAATATGTTATTAGTTCTATGTTTATTTTACCTCTTAAATATTGTTCAGATAAAATTGTGACATAATTTGAGTGAAAGGGTTTTGGACAGTTTAAGACAGTTTTGGACAAAGGGGTTTTGCACAGGACGGTTTAAACCGTGGATTAATCCATTCTGTCCTAAACCTTGCCAACCCTGGTAAATACAATAGAGAAAACTTTGGATGTAATTATTATTGAAAGGTATGTACTAAATGTGGATGTAATTATTATAAAATTGTATGTACTATGTACTGAACATAATGTTTTTTTTTTTGCTTCTAATTGTTTTTACTCTGTTAGATTGTTTTCGCTTCTCATAAATTTTTCAGTAGCTTCTAAATGTTTAGTCTTATTCTAAATTTTGATTGCTAAATTTTAAAATAATAAAAAAGGCTATTAAGTATAAAAAGTGAAATGCCTTTAAAAAATTCGATTTTAAGAAGAGGTTATATTTTTTGTTATTTGGAACAAATGTGAAAGTGAGGAAGAAACTATTATTCCAAACTTTATTTACACGAAGATTAAAAGAGAGTGACCAAAAATAATGATTTTAAAAGGCGGAGAGGCAAAATTACGATATTTCACTACTCTCCTGTGGCTAACTAAAACATTTTTAACAGTGACCACTTTTTCAAAAAATATGGCAAAAATTACTAGCTTTATATCTAAAGCGAAGAAAAATTAAAGAAAAACGAATGTGAAGTAAATTCATTTTCAGAATAATATACAATATTCATAATAATTTTATATTTATTGATCATTTAGAAAATAATAATAAAATGCACATGTGATGCATTTGATGAAAAAAATGGTGCCAGGTCGCTATAGACTAACAATTGTTTATTATCATTTGTTATATTTAGTGGCCTAATAGTTAAAGGGTTAGGGACCATGGCTAACTAAAACATTTTTATTGGTGGCTACTTTTTCAAATACAGCAAAAATTACTAGGTTTATATTGAAAAAATGTGAAATAAATTAATTTTCAGAATAATATACGAAAATCATAGTATACAATAATCAATTATGCATAATAATTTCATATTTATTGATCATTGAGAAAATAGTAAAATAAACATAAGGTGCATTTGATGCAAAAAATTGTAGGTTTAGAATTTGTAGGGATTTTTCTTTAGTTTTCAAACATGTCATCAGAAATTTTCCATCTTAAACCAGATAAAAAGTTATCTGCAAAAAACTGGATTTTGCCAAGTAATATTCATTTTTGAACTCAATTGCGTGGATTAAATCTAGTTATATGTAATATGCATAGTTAATAAATTTTTATTCATTATTTTATTACTATAATGTTTTAGATTTTTACATGTAATTAGGGGTAACTGTTGTATTTCTAATTGTATGTTCCATTTTTGTAATATTTTTATGAACTTTTTTCTTGTGTTTTCTTAAATAATTATAATATAAATATTTTTCAGGTAATATTTACTGAACAACCACAGCCTTTCTCTAATAATGGTAATAAAAAGTCGTCATTGATGAATAAAAATTACCAAATAGTGTTTGAAAGTGAAGAAGTTAAAAAGTCATTTGATTTGCTGCTAATTAGTCAATGTCAAATTTGTCAAGAAGTATTTCCTTCATTTGAGAAACTAAAAGAGCATGTTAGAAGGAAACACGAGCTTTTTTATTGTGAAATATGTAATAACAGCTTAAAAGTAAGTTTTGTTATTACATTATTTATTTGCATTACGTTGTACAGTACAGAACCCGTTATCCGGAAATCAGAAAACCAAAAAACCAGAACAAAATTCTGTAAATTTTCCCGCCATTTAAAAAAAACAATTTTTTTTTTTCCTCGTAAAATTTTAGGTTTTTTCTTTTTTGAAAGATGTTTACCTTACCGTCATTTTGGAAATAATCATTAGTGTTTCATCTTTTTTTCTTCCTTTTAAGATTATTTCCAAATATTATTTTTTTTTAGTTGCTTTTAACAATAAAAAAAACTGCTTTTTTTTTAGCGATTCCGAAAACCGGAAAAATCAGTTATCCGGAATAGCGATGGTCACGATCGTTCCGGATAATGGGTTCCCTACTGTAATTACATTATTTATTTGCATGTTTTATTAATAAATGAGTTTCATACATTCAGTTATCCGTAACTCAAAACTGATAGAGACAAAAATCCTTGTTAAATGCTGTGGACATTAAATTATTAAATATTGTGGACTTTAAATTATTTAATATTTTCTTTTTGGTGGCAGATTCATAGAATAAATCATTTGAGAATATTTTTGCTCTCTTTCCCTCTCTTTTTTTTAAAGTATTGTTAAAGTATTTAAAAAATTCCTTGCCTCAGCGCTGTCTTTGTCATGGTTTTAGATTTTCCATAACTATTTGCAAATTTTTAAATCTATGTTTTGCTTGAAAAAAAGTTTTTTAATCTGTAATTTTTTTAAAATTTGTTCATGTTTAATGTAACTATATCCAGCTATGGACCCAAAGGTATTTGGTTTGATTTAATCTGTGGTTAACAAAGAGCTTTCACGCATTCCACCACATTATATTTTAGCCCGTTTGTATTTTCAGTGTTTTATGTATATTGCTTAAGAGGTTGTTTTAATTTTCTGAATCATTTATCATTACCTTTTTAACAGATACTTTAACATCAGTCAGAACTTGAAAATATTTCAGATAAAATGGTTTTATATATAAGTCTGTTTCACTAAGCAATTTTTTGTACATTATCTGTTATTGAGAATTCTATTTTGTTAACCTGCCCTGTGGGCCGTACAACACAGCTTTCCTCTAAATGAAGATTTAATTCATATCTGTCAAAGAAAAAAAGTTACAAAATATAAAAATAATCAGGAAGAATAATTTTAAAAAAAGAGACGTTAAAAAAATTAAAGTGATTAACCTTTAAACCACTTTCTTTTTTAACCTTTAAACCACTTGCAAAGTTTAAAAATAAAATAAAATATGCAGGCAATTAGTAGGCTAAAAAAGTTAAAAATAAAATAATTTGCAAAAATAAATGAATTTACATTATTTATCATTTCAAATCTGGCTACTGAGTTATTTCCTCATCTGATGAGTGCAGGAGTCTCTTGTGTTCCACTGTAATCCCAAATTATAATTTTGTCATAGTAGAAGCTTAACCATAATTTTTTACAAACAAGTTATAAACAAAACAAACAGAAATTACAAACATAAAACACATATAAAAAAAATCAACACATAGGAGTTGAATAAGAAACTTCAAATATAGCTCCATCATTAGAGGGCATTAGTTTGAAGTGATTGTTTAAATATATATATATATANAAAAAAAAAAAAAAAAAAAAAAAGACAGACGTTAAAAAAATTAAAGTGATTTACCTTTAAACCACTTTCTAACCTTTGAACCACTTGCAAAGTTTAAAAATAAAAGAAAGCAAACAATTAGTAGGCTAAAAAAGATAAAAATAAAATAATTTGCAAAAATAAATGAATTTACATTTTTTATCATTTCAAATCTGGCTACTGAGTTATTTCCTCATCTGATGAGTCTCTTGTGTTCTGCTGTAGTCCCAAATTATCATTTTGTCATGGTAGAAGCTTAACCATAATTTTTTACAGACAAATAATAAACAAAGCAAACATAAAACACATATAAAAAAATCAACACATAGGAGTTGAGTGAGAAACTTCAAATATAGCTCCATCATTAGAGGGCATTAGTTGAAAGTGATTGTTTAAATATGTATATATATATTCTCATTTTACTTCATTAAATTTATGTCATTATTTAAATATTCTTATTTTTAAATAAATCTTATTTTTAAATTTTTTTAAATATAAATCTTATTTTTAGATTTTCACTTTTGAAAGGAAATGTTACAATAGGAAAGATCTTGCCCGTCATAAAATAAAAGGAGATCCTGATCAAACATCTCATAGAGGACATCCCTTATGTGAATATTGTGATGTAAGATATGTAGACCACGATGATCTTTTTCGACATCTTAGAAGGGAACATTTCTTTTGCCACTTCTGTGATGCAGATGGTCTTCATCAATATTATCAGTAAGTTACTTACTATAATTGTAGAGAATGTACTTACAAATTATTGGTAATTACTTCAAAAATTATCTATAATTTGAAAAATCAATTACATAAAACGAGCTACAAATACATGTTTAGTTTTATTCTGCCTAGGAAAAGTTTTCTCACCAAGTTTTGAAATCAGTTATTAAGTTCATCAAAATATGGCAAGGCTGGGAAAAACTATAAAATATTTTTAAAATAACCACCATCTGTATTAACAGTGTTGTGCGATCTAAGATCAAAATTAAGGCATGCCTGTTCAAATATTTCATTTGGAATATTTGAACAGGCATGCTTTAATTTTGTCTGACATACAGCAATAAACATTGCATTATAGTTTTTCAGGATAGTAGTGCCATCTGTTAATAAACTTTTTTGCCAATATTTGAACTTGTGGCGGGATAGCCTAGTTGGTTGGGCACTGGACCCATGTACAAGTGGGTTCGTACCCTTTGTGGATCCCCAGCTGGCTGAGACTCTCTGTGTAGTAAATAGTGACTGGTGCACGCTAATTCTGTTGAGTCACAAAGTCCTTAATGTTCCCATCACAAGTCACACCTCTGGGGGTATTGATCTAGGAGTTTCATTGTCTTCCGGATTGGTTCAAAATTACACGACTACAGAGTGGCCGTTACCCAAAATTTGTTAGGCTGTTCAATAACGGTTATAAACTAAAATAAAATGAAATTATAAACTTATGTTACTAATATTGACAAGAAAAAGTTTTCTGGTTTTCGAAGTAGAATGCAGCAAACGGGTCTTTCTATCTCCTTTAATTGATATTTTAAGAACTATCTGTAATGTTTGGAACACACAGTATAAGCACTTTAAGTTATTTGAAATGAAATAGTTGTGTATTTAATTCAATTAAGTCTTAACTATTGTTAAGATTATTAAATATTAATGTTTAATTAATTTTGCAAAAAAAATTAAGATAGTTTACAGTGAAATATGTGATTTTGATAGCTTCATAATTAATATCTGAAGTTCGTTATAATTTTTTCTATTAATTTATCTACCTACGTTAAACTGATCAACGCTATGGAAAGATCTTTTTGTAATGTTCTTTTAGACAGCAGAATAGTATTGTTTCTGTGTTAATTGAAATAGAAAATATGGCAAGTTTTATAACTCATTAAAATTACTGTAAGGGACAGATGAGAGAGAAAAATAAGAATTTGATCTTAAATTAAGTAACTACATAAAAGAAAAATAAAAGTTTGTTATAACTTTCCATATGACAATTTAAAAGTTGTGTATTATTAGTTGTATATATTTAAAGTGAATTGTTATTTTCAACTGTATTCATATTTTCACTAAACTTCGTACTTTCTTCAAGTATTTATATATATATTACATATTTTTTTAAAATTTTTTGGGGATCTTTCTTATATGATTGTCATTTCACACAAAATAAGAAATTTTGAATCTGATTTAAGCAAACGTAGGTTCAGGAAGGAAAATAGATAAATGTATACATTATTAGTGTAAATATTTTGAAGAAATTAAGAAAATTTTGTTAAAAATATCTGATCTTATAATAGACATATGAATTAGGAATATTTTTATGATAGTGTAATAAAAAATATTGAAACATTTATATATAATACTTAATTTTTAGTGTGATTAATTTGCTATTAATTTGAAGAGCTTATTAGGAATATTTAGAGAAAGTAATAGTTTTAAAAAAACGTCCTGCTGTCACTTTTGCTGTACTTTACTATGAATCAAATATTTTTTGAAGAAAATAATCATAAATTTTAGATGATGTAAGATATTTTAAAATTTGTGTATATTTTTACAAATTTCAAGTTTGTTTTCTTTATGGTTTGACTTTCATATTTGTTACTGTTTTATTTAATAGTTTTCTAGTTATTTGGCTCCAAACATGAGTATTATTATTTTTTTACTGATCAATAATTGTTTTACTATTTATTGTATTTCAATAATTACTGCACAGAATAGTGTCTCTAATTTTTCACAAGTTCAATTAAATTTTAATAATAGGTTGAATTATTTTTTGAAAATATGCTAGTACCTGATTTTATCCTACCTAGTCATTTAAAATTGCATATGCAGTTAAACCCCGCTATAGTGAACCTTCAAGGGACCGAAATTTTGGTTCACTATAACCGGGAGTTCATTATATCCGTTAAGCAGACAATTTAACTAATGGCTCCCAAACTCTTCCCTTTTATTACACATTATTCAAATAAATGACTGAAAACTGTTATGCAGTAGCAAAAAATGTGTCATTTTTTATTACTCTTTGTCCTACGTACAAAAAAAAAAATAGTAATCACTAGCTGATGAGAAATCCTCAACATCAGATATAGAAACAATTCCCGACTCTCAGATAATTTTTCCTGAATTTCTGTTATTCCGCTTTTTAAACCTGTCTAAGCTGCCATTCGAGCACATAAAAGTAGTCTCATAAAATCGTTCAGCAAATCCATCGACATTTGTCCAGACACTGGAAGATTGCGGTTTCTTTGAATGCTGAACCACTTCAGTAATGCTTCTTGTGATCTGCTTTTCTCAACTTTTTTCTGCCATTTCCATATGTTACAAACTGTATATTTGGATAGTTTATATTCCCTCAATGTAATTAGATTGATTACATTCATTTTCAATTTTTCTAAATATGCCCATTTTATCATCAATGAAGAACATTTTACGTTTCCTGCTCGCCATAGTTAAATTTGAGACACTTGTTTGCAGTCTTTTTTTAATTGAGCTGAGAGCAAAAAGGAGTTGAAATGAGGGTCCTTATCAACGCATAGTGTCCAACCTTTTGACCAATAATGAATAATTACTCTTTCCCTCTGACAGAAAATGCATATTGATCCCACTGACACCTTACAGGTGCATCATCTGCCTGGGTTGAAAACATCTATTTGATTTGTTTAGGGATGGAAAAGTAAGATAAAAGAAGCAAACAAGAAAAAAGTGCTTATCGCTACATTCCCCTCTATAGATGGTTTTAAAAACCGGTATCTATATTTATTTTGAAGTAGAAATTTTAAAATTATTACAAAAAAATGAAGAAAGAAATCNTGTGATCTGCTTTTCTCAACTTTTTTCTGCCATTTAAATATTTTTCATGAGCCGAAATTGTTAATCGCCTATTTTTCCATATGTTATAAACTGTAGATTTGGATAGTTTATATTCCCTGCAAATATCAGCTTGATTACATCCATTTTCAATTTTTCTGATTATGCCCATTTTATCATTATTGAAGAACATTTTACGTTTACTGCTTGCCATAGTTAAATTTGAAGCACTTGTTTGCAGTCTTTTTTTAATTGAGCTGAGAGCAAAAAGGAGTTGAAATGAAGGTCCTTATCAACGCATAGTGTCCAACCTTTTGACCAATAATGAATAATTACTCTTTCCCTCTGACAGAAAATGCATATTGATCCCACTGACACCTTACAGGTGCATCATCTGCCTGGGTTGAAAACATCTATTTGATTTGTTTAGGGATGGAAAAGTAAGATAAAAGAAGCAAACAAGAAAAAAGTGCTTATCGCTACATTCCCCTCTATAGATGGTTTTAAAAACCGGTATCTATATTTATTTTGAAGTAGAAATTTTAAAATTATTACAAAAAAATGAAGAAAGAAATCAGTCGAAGACAGAAAAAGTTCATTATATCCAACTTCATCAGTTTTTTGGTTCACTATATCCACAAAAAATAACATTAAACGGGTATAGCAAGCACGGGACCGAACTTACGTTCACTATATCCGGGAGTTCACTATTGTGGGGTTTGACTGTATATTAAAATAATCAAAAAAGGAAAAGTTTTTTATAGCATTAAATCAATACAATGACCTTTCTTGTCTGAAAAACATGTTGGGAATTAAAAATCAGTGAACACAAGCAATATCTATTGATCAGATTTAGGAACAGAAATCAGAAATAAAATTTCTCTTACTTTTCTCTGCATTTTTATAGGCTTTATGAGCCCAGCTTTTAAAGTTGAAGCGCTATATTCAACCTTTCTGGGATTTTAACTTGGCCTGGTCTGTAGCTTATAGCCTTTTGTACTACTTAATTTTGTCTGACTGACAAGATCTCAGTTTCGTCCCATTCAATAAAATATATATATGTATAATATTTTAAATGTGATACAGAACATGTTTTAGTAACTTCTTCTTGGGCACTACAACCTATGATAGGCCAAGACCATCCCAATAAGTTTTTGCCATCTTGATATATTCTGTACCATGGCCTTCCAGTTATTCCTATTATCTTTAGGTCCCTCTCAACTACGTTCAGCCTCCTAGTCGGTGCATGACCCCTTTTTCTTGTACCTTCTGGATTAAAAAAAGTTACTTTTTTTTGTTGGGTTTTGGTCTTCAAATCTATAGAGGTGTCCCAGCCATCGAATGCGATTGACCTTAATAACATGAACTATGTCTGGTTGTTTATAGCTTACTATATCTAAATTTTGTAACTTACTATAGCTAAAAGAGGTATCAGATTTTGAATTTCTCCCAAATAAATTGTCAAACCATTAAAAACTACAAAGTAAAATTGATGGTATAAAATTCTAAACTTTTCTAATTAAATATTTTAAAACATTCTCATTGACAAACATATCATCTATACCAGTGATTCCTAGAAAATTTTGACACCATGCTTACCTGATATTGATTTTTTGTTTTGTAAATTCATCAACTTATTAGACAGTTAGTATAGTGCTACTCACTGTTAAAGATTTAAATTTCTAACTGTAGTGAAATGTAGTGTGAAAAACTTAAGAAAAAATCACATGTTAATTTTATACATTTATTAATTAAATTCAAATTAATTTACCACGGAAAAATACTTTTTTGTTGCAAAATAAAACCTTGCATGCAGAAAAAAGTAAAAATGTATGCGGGCAAAGCTGCAGGTAACTACTAGCTTGTAATAATTCAGTTTCATATATCAGAAAATAATCCTAATAACTTAAATTTTAATAAAATTTTTACTTTATAGCTACTTTAATGAATTATGTAGAATGTAGATAGATATGTCTTTATATTATAAGGCTGTATAACAGGGTTTCCGCTACGGTAGCTTTTTTCGCAAAATGCGAAAAGACCCCTCTAAAATGCTAAAATTCAGCAGAGCATTTTCGCATTTTTGCTAAAGGATTTTACTAAATTCCATTAAAAAAAAAGCTTCCGCGAAAAACCATGACGCTAACATCCATGAAAAAAACTTGATCAAACAAGAAGGAGAAAAAATCTAAATATCTTTCGCAAGAAGAACCATGACGCTAGCGTTCACGAAAAAAACGTGATCNATGTTGATTATTCCTTTCATGAATGCCAAAATTAATGTTACGACCTGCTTTTATGAGATCCACTATCGTTGATCCCCATTTTCATTTCATGGACCCCCAATTTTTTTTCACTTGACATGGTTGCAACCCCTTGCAGGTTGTTGTTGACCCCTAAGGGTCGATATAGACCACTTTGGGAATCACTGTTTTATCCCCTTAATTTCATGGACCAAAATTTTTTTTTCACTTGACATGGGCCCCTTGCAGGTTGTCATTGACCCCTAAGGGTCGATATAGACCACTTTGGGAATCACTGGTTTATACTGTCTTTTATTCATTTCTTACTAATATGACTATCTGCAACTTGTTTCATATAAATGGGAGGCATAATCTAGTAAAAACTGTTGAGTCCAAGTGTTGTCCTACTCTCTCCTGTATAGTTAGATATTTATTTTAAAGTAAATTTTTTTCTTTCTTTAGGAGTTATGAATACCTAAGGGTACATTTTCGAACTGATCATTATTTGTGTGAAGAAGGTGAATGTGTAAATGAAAAATTTACAGCTGTTTTCCGTTCAGAGATAGATTTAAAAGCTCACACAGCTGTTCATCATAGCAAAAATAAATCAAAAGCTGAAGCCAGAGAAGCTAGAAAGATAGATTTTAAATTCAATTATTCTGAACGGCCAAACGGTATGTATTTTATTGCAGTGTTTTATTTATATAATTCTACCTTAAATTGAAAATGTTTTGTCAAATATTTAATTGGTTAATTTTATATTGTTTTGATCTTTTTTACTAAAAAATGAAACAAAGTGAATTTTCACAAAAAATTTCTTACTTTTTATCAATCACTAAATATTGTCTGTATACCACTTAAAAATTTTCTGCCATTAGCATCATAAGTAATATAGTTTATTTCATACATAGTCATACTTCTAAGTGTCAAATTGAGAGAAAAATGCTGTTTCTAAGAAAATGAGAAAAAAAAAAGAAGTTTAATTACATTCTTTCCTAAAAATTATTCTCGTTTTTAATGCATAAAACCTTTAATGCATTTCTTCCTCAGCGCAAGATAGTATTTTTAAAAAGTGCTTAAAGGTGCTTATTTTCAATTTTCGTTTTTTTTAAACCTTTAAAGACGTTTTTTTATGGGATGTTTTTAAAAAGTGCTTAATTTTCCTTTTTCGGAAATGAGTTTTTTTTCTTTACCATGTCGATTTTCGCCACATATTATGCAAAATTGGAGTTTTCACATTGTCCTATTCAGGGTTTTCAGAATTCATTCGAACACAATGCATTTTGGCGTACCTTCGGTCCACAGTGTATGAAAGTATCAATCATTTTACATGTTTGATGAAATACTTGCAAGTCCACTTGGGCATCTACTGAGCTGAGTTCGGTGAGATTCTTGCACTTTCATGTGCAACTCTGCTGCATTTTGCAAGATATTCTCAATTTCAGGCTTCATTTCCCCTCTTCTGATATCGAACCAAAAAATTTTCGATTTTTTTATAGTGGCTATTATAATTAAGAAAAGAGTTCTTTGCCAGAAAATAATTATTTTATCATGATGATGTAAAATCTTTGAAAATTATTTTGCATTTTGTTAATGTACATAGTGCTTAGAAATATTTTTTATATGCTTAAAAAGTACTTAAAAGGTGCTTATTTTTTGTTGAAAGATTCAGCTACGCTTCCTAATTCATATTTAATTGTAAAAACACAATACTTTGAGAAGAAAAAGATAGTAAAAATGTTGTCTTGTATAATACAGTGAGAAAAATGAAAAAAATTTTATTTTGGACAAAGATAATGAGATTTTTTTTTAGTCTAAATCATTTAAAAAAATATTAAGAAATTTGACGCTAGCTATATAATTCTTTAGGTTTCATAGCATAGTATTTTTTGACATGCGCTCCAAACTTCTTAGAAAAAAAGTGTGAAGATTGCTGTTCAAATTTTCTAAAAAACAAATCTCTTCAAATTATTCAAGTCCCTTAAATGTGTTTTGATTTTCCTTTGTATAAGTTTTTGATTGTCTTTGTAAATAGAATTTTTAATTTGGATAATTCTTAAAGTGTATGATTTTTCAGGTAGTTCAAGCCCTAGAGGGAGAAGATATGGTAACCAAAGACGAAATGCAGAGGAGCATAATACAAAGTAAGATTCTATCTCCTCAATTTATACAGTCTACACTCTTTAAGACCTCCTCCATTACTGTGACCTAGCCATTATTATAATGCCCAATTCATGAAATCTATTTGCTATTCGAAATATACAGTTTTTTTAATGCTGTAAAAACGTCTAAATAAAACCATTCATTTCAATAAAACGACCAAAATTTTTTGTTTATTTCGTTTTTTAAATATTAAAAAATTCACTTAAAGTTTGAAAACTTTTGAGATAATAAGTTTAGAGAAAATGACTTAAATCTCTATTTCCGGAGAAAATTTTTCTGTTGATCATTTAACTCCAGGGTGTGTAGTGTTTTATAAAAGTGCTTATTTTCGATTTTGTTGTTTAAAAGCCCTTAAAGGTGCTTCTTACATTAGTTTTTAAAAAGTTCTTAATTTCTCCTTTTCCAAAATCAGATTTTTTTTTCTTTCTTTACCGCGTCTAACTTCGCCACAAATTATGCAAATATTGTGGTTTTCATATTGCTTCTTTCAACATTTTCACAATTCATTCAACTACAATCCATTTTGGCGTATCGTCGGTCTGTACCGTATGAAAGCGCTAATCATTTACGTGTTTGATTCAGGAAATACTCGCAGGCCTACATGTGCTTACACTTTCCTGGATTTGTAGGGGAGGATTATTGCACTCTCGTGTGCATCTCTGCTTCATTTTTTGAGATATTCTCAATTTCAGACTTCATTTTCCATCCTTTGAAATCAAACCATTGCTGATCATGGGAACCAATTCAACATTGCCAAATTTTTTTTCCCTACTAGCAAAATTTCTCTTTTTACTTTCATCACTGTTGAAACTCTGTCGTCTTCCTCCCTAGAAAGCCAATGGCCTTCTTTTGTTATTCTATTTATAGATCAGTACCATTATCCTTGAACTTGACTTTGGAATCATTCACTAATTATGTGTTTTATGTGAGTTTAGAGCAGTCAACAACAACAAAACTTCATGACCACAAAATTTCCATCTCTCTTTTATTCTTTAAATTTAAAAAAGATAATAATCGAGATTTTTAATCCCAGGAATTTTTTTACCTGAGAGACCGGGTGTCTATTGTAATTGCATAATTTTTTAAAATTTCTTAATTTACTTTATTACTTTCATAATTTTCGGTGTTCTTCAGTTAATTTATGGAAAAACACAATATTTAAAAGCGAAAGATTTTTTAAAAAAAGTATGAAGTTTCACTATTTTAACATTTACAAATGTAAAAAATCGTATGTTAATTCAGATTTGTCATTCCAAAAAACTTTAATTAATCGCTTTATGATTTGATTTTAAAACAACAAAAATAAAAAGTTAAATAATCACCGACTCGTTAAATATTATGATTGTAGGGACCATTTTATAATTTAATTCTTACAAAAATGTTTAGCTTCAATACTTATTGTATTTAAATTTTAAAATTATTGAAAATTGTTTTAATCATTTCATCAAAGCTGATCTAAATAAAAAATTTAATAGGAATTATTCACTAATTTACATTGATATGAATTTGTTAAATTTTCTCAGTTTGCTTAACTCTTTACATATCTTTATAAATTCAGTATGATCAGTAATATTATTCTTGTTGATGTTTCGTTGAATAAACTTTTATTTAAATCTAAAAAAATGCACCCAATAACTTTTCTAAATTATAGTATAACTAATTATAATTTTGAATTGAAATTATTATTTTTTACATAATCAAAGTAATAGCTAATTTATAAAATAGAATAAGCTTCTCAATGTTGAATATATTTAAAATTCTGCATTGTTTTTATGGAGGTTAATATAATTAAGAAAAGAATTCTTTGTCAGAAGCTAGTTATTTTATCATGATCGTGTAAAGTTTTCAAAAATGTTCTTGCATTTTGTTAATGTATACGTATCTCTCTCTCTCTCTCTCTGTGTGTATATATATATATGAAGAACATTCAACAATAGAAAGAAAAAAATTTTATCATATGATTTTCTTTTGATTATTATATGATTTCCTAATTTGGATTTTCTTTAGAATCGCACTACACTATAAACAATGGGAAAAAAGTAAAAACTACAGCAGTTTCACTTTTTGCAACATGCTATTTCTGACCACTGACTCAGGGTTCCCACAGGTCGGGGAGAACAAGGAAAACCTGGAATTGTCAGGGAATTTTATTTAATTCCAAAAATCAGGGAAAGTTAAAATTTTTTTACTGAAACCTGGAATATTCCTATATCATACCTAAAAAATAACCAGTCTTAAAATTGTCAGTAACAGTACTCAGTTATTGAGATTCGAGTTAAATAATTTTAACATCTATTGCAACTATTTGTTGTAAAAATTTCACATTTTAGTCAAACTGAAATGTTCCCTTCCTCATTTATAATGTTTTTTTACACATAAGAATATTTTATATTTCACATTACAAATAAAAGAATCAAAGTTTTCTGATATGGTCTCAATTTTCATTGAAATTTACCTACNAAAATTCCGGGTTTTCGAAATCACGTAGAAAATCAGAAATAACCGCTTAAAAAAAATCATTTATATTTACGATAAAATCGGCTTAAACGTACATTTACTAAAGAATCTGTTAAAATTGATTGGATCAAAATGTGATGACTTAAAAGTGCGATTAAAAATTGCCATTTTTTAAATTTTTTTTTATTGTGTTTAGAAGCTCTCGCGGGCCGCACTTCAGCAGTCGAAGGGCCGCATTTGGCCCGCGGGCCGCAGGTTGTGTACCCCTAATCTATTGCAACTATTTGTTGTAAAAATCTCCCATTTTAGAAAACTGAAATGTTCCCTTCCTCATTTATAATGTTTTTTTACACTGAAGAATATTTTATATTTCACATTACAAATAAAAGAATCAAAGTTTTCTGATATGATCTCAATTTTCATTGAAATTTACCTACCATACCTGGAAAAGTCAGGGAAATTTTTTTTTCTTTCTGAAATTGAGTGGGAACTCTGCTGACTATACCTTAATTGGAAATTACTTTTTTGTGCTATTAATTGTAACATTTACCTTCTTTTAATTATAGTGACAAGAGCCAATCAAAAGTAATACCTGAAACAGAGCCAATAGACACTCAATCTACTCAAGAGTTTCCATTTCTTTCTGCTGAAGAAGCTCTTAGTGGAATATCTTCAAATGGTGGAAAACCTGTAGAATTAGCAACGTCTATGCAATCTGTAGTAAGAAATTCTGTTCCTCAAGCTTATAGACGTAATATGATGTCTTCGGAAGACTTCCCAGCCCTCGGACCTTCTTCTACCTCCGATCTATTTCCCAACCAGCCAAAAAAAGTTGATTTCAGTGCAAAAGCTCAGTTACCAAGAAACACTAATTCTAGTCGTTTTAATGTCACAGACGATGACAGAATGGACAAGCCTGTAACAAAAAATCCACAGCAACAGTCGACCCCAAAATGGTTATCCAAAAAAGACAACTCAAATTTTGAAGAAGCTTTTCCAAGGTTAGAAGTTAAAAAATCACGTCCTGCGTCTGTGCCAGTTAATAACGTGAAAGCTGCCAATATACAGACCTCAATGTCCTCATTCCAACTGCAGACTAATAACGACAATGCCAATCACAGCCAAAATACCACGTCAGATCAGTTTGTGGTGATAAAATCAAAATCAAAAAAGAAAAAGCCAAAGACGCCATTTCTGCAAGAAGAAGAGGAATTTGATGATATTAAGAAAGAACCAGATCCAGTGTTATCTGTAAATAATTTTGCATATTTAAATAACATAGAAAATACAGATCCTATAAAAAGGCGTCCTCCAAGTAGACCACCTAAAGACACTTGGGAACCCGATACATGGCAAACAAAAGTATCATTTGGTAAAGATGACTTTCCTCCTTTAGAAGAAGTTAAGAAACCACCACCTCCCCCTGGGATAAATGTTAAAAAATCCCGCCCTCCTCCCCCAGGTTTTTCAACCAACTCCAATGCTAACACTAAATCTTCTTTAAGTTTAAGTTCTATTGCTCAAATTGTTGGAAATAGTTTAAAAAGTAACCTAAATTCCCCGACTGTCGACAGTTTTGACCTTCCTACGAGTAACTTTTTATACTTAGAACCTCCCAATTTCCAAATGCGGAACGAGAGACTACTTCATCTTATAAACGAGGCTTCCCAAACTACAGACAGATTCAAAGAATTCAAATCTGTATCGAGAGATTTTCGATGTAACGCCATTTCTGGACGTGAGTACCAGAAGAAGTGCCTTGATATTTTGGAAGAAGACGACTATCGAAGCATATTTCCAGAACTAGTAGCCTTGCTGCCCGATATACCCAAACAACAAGAGCTTCTTGCCGTCCACAATGAATATCTAAATAATTACTACAGCAATTCCAAACGGAAAAATTTTAAAAGTAAAAGCAATATCCTGTCTTGTGAAATTTGTAATCAGGTATTGGTAGTTGATGATTGTGAAAGTCACAAATGTTTAGAGTAAGAAATTTATATAATTTGAAAAGTTACAGATCTTTTCAGTATATATATACATATAAATAAATGTTATTTTTGGCTTCAGAAACTGTTTTTTTGATTGATTTCAAACCATACACACATTTATAAAGTAAGACTTCAAAATTTCAGACTACTCAGAACTTAAGGTCTGTATTTTGTAAAATTCTGGAGTTAAGAGGTCCAAAATTATATAAATAAAGTGTATTTGATTCCACAATAAACCCAAGGGATTTTTGCTATGTTTTTTTTTGCCATTACTTAAAAAATTTTCTCATGGCTTTTAAAGTCTCTGTATTTTAATACCATATTATTACATGTGAATTTTAAAGCATGCATTTGAGCAATTATTTTTAAACGCGGCACTCTATTCACATGGATTTCATTGTTAATTCACATGGCTTGTCAATTTTTTTTTCCGACTGTAGTTGCTTCACATTTTTAAAATCCTGATAATTTTAATAGAAGGTACGAACAGTACGATAACAAATATATTTGACATGATTCACAACGACTTCATTGTAAATCCACATGGTTTTGACGACCACTATTTCGGTAGTTATTGCATCCGATTGCCACGTGATTTTTAAAATTGATTTTTTGTAATAAGATTTTATTACAACACGAACATTTTTTCCTCTTTCCTCGAATTTATAATTTGATGTAGCTAATGTTTAGTCTTCATTAGTTGAGGAGAAGAAAAATAAAATCAAGATTTTTGAGGTTATACTGAATGTTACTGATTATAATCTTTTATATCTTACAGCAGTGTTTCCCAAAGTATGGTATGCTTACCCCCAGGGGTACGCGTTCTTATGCGAAATAACTTACAACAAATGAAAATTTTAAAACATTTTATTTGAAAACAAAGCTAGCCATGAAAATTTACGATTATACATATTTTTCTATTAGCTATTTTTTACAGAGTTAACAGTTAATAACTAAAATATGTTAATAAAAATTAAAATATTTTTAAAAAAATATATTCGTGACGATTCCTTCGTAATTTCACTTCGTTGGATGATACATTTATTATTTTTAGTTATTTATTCTTTCGGCGCCTTTCAACATGCACGCTTTCACATTTTTAAATTTCGATATTTTTAATACGATGAAATTGTTACGCGGTTCGAATTTAAAATTTGAGTTCTCTCTTTTAGACGCGTTCCGATTCGTGACGATACATTGTAATTTCAAGTCGTTGGATGATAGTTTTTTCGGAAGTTATAACTTTTTCGGCCCTTTTGTACGTGCTTTTTTTATTTATATTTTTTTAAATTCTGGTATTTTTAATACGTCATTACGGCATGTGTATGTAGAATTTGAGTTATAATTTTTTGACGTGTTTCATTCATGATGAGTCTGTCGTAAATCTATGTCGATTTTCTTTTTTTTCGGCCTTTTCACTTGTTTTTTTTTTATCCCTATTCTGAAATTTTTTCGCGATGTTATAACGACAAGCGGCGGCTATTGTGTTTTTAAGGAATCGATTTTTGATACTCTCGCTCATACAGTCAATTCTCATAGATCCAATGCTTGGACGATACTCTAGTCTCCGTGATCAATCAATCAATAAAAGGTCAATTCTAATATATCCTCGTCGTTTAAGCATCATTTTTTTCCATAGCTGTTTGCCGTTACTTCCGCAAGATTTATCCAATTTCTATATGATAAATATAATGCCATGGCTAAGTTTGACTTTTCCTAATCACTTTATTACTCTCTCTCGATTCAGTAGTAAATCGCATTAATTTTCAAAGTTAAACTATTTCTATTTGAAAATAAGATTCTTTTTAATGGTAAACTGAAGAACTTCGTATATTTTAAGTTCTTAAAAACTAAACAAATATCAAGAAATACAAAGCATTTAGGGGGGGGCTGAATTTTGTGCCATTTTCAGTTTCTAGGCCCCTGCCCTTATTAAGGTCTAGATTGAACCCTGTAATAGATAGTACATTAGAAATGATATACGTGTATATATGATTATTTTTAATTTTGTCTTATTCTTCAATATTTCTCGTGCTATTTTATGGCTGTTTTTTTTAAAACTTATTTTTAATCTTAAATTGCTTTTTAATAGTTTTAGTTGCTTAAATTAACAACTCAACTACTAAAGTTTCATATATATGTTGTAGAGCCGCGATGGCTCAGGGGATAGAACGTTCTCCTTGCAGTGAGGTGAACCAGGTTCGAATCCCAGTCGATACGAATTTCGCATCCGGTTTGCACCGACCACAGTGCTGACGGGAAATATCTTCAGTGGTAGACGGAAAATGGGTCAGAGTCCCCTTGCCGTCAGGCTAACCGTGGGAGGTTCTCGTGGTCTTCCTGTCCATGCAACGTAAATGCGGGCTAGTTCCAGCAAAAAGTCCTCCACGAAGGCAAATTTCTCCCAATACTCGATCCAGGAGTTCCCTTGTCTTCTGGATTGGGTTCAAAATTACAAGGCTACGGAGTTGAACACTAGTAGTCGTAAACCCAAAAAATTGGGTCGACTGTTCAACAACGCTTATATTATAAATATATATTGCAATAATATATAATTTGTTATTTTTTTTTAAAAAAAAAGAACAAATCTTAAATTTTATTGCTTTGCAATTCTGATACGGATTTCAGAAATTGCTGCATAAATTGAAGCGTCACACTTCACATCCCTGGTATTATGAACTCAATTAAAACACCTGTTTCAAAAAGGTTGACTATAGGACTCTTTTTGACACTACTCAAGTATAAATTTACAGCTGAGAAGAAAACTCTTGGTTCCCACGGTGCTTAAAAACTACTTAATTTTTATTTTGGAATATACGGGCCCTTTAAAGTCCTTAATTTTAGAGCAAGGTTTTTAAAAGTCCTTAATTTTCAGTATCACTATAATGTATAATTGATAGAAACAATTTTATTAGTCATTCAAAAATATTAAAAACAAAAAATCGTTCTTTTATTGTCTAGAACAGAGGTCGGCAAAGTGGTCTATATAGACCCCCAGGGGTCTATTTAACAAAAGTGGGGGTCGATCTAAGCCAGGGGGTCAAATGGGGGTCGATTCGAATCGGAAGGGTCGAAGAAAAAACAGCTCTTAATACGTAAATCCCAAATATCTAATTGAGTATGTAAAATTTGTGAATTTTTTTTATAATTGACTTAATATCAGTTTCTTTATAGAACATAAATTAATAAACGCATCATCAAAAACGTGGACATCAACCTGCAAGAGGAGTTTGCTGAATTATTATCGGATCTTGAAGCAAAGACGCTTTTTAAAAATTTAACAATAAGTAAATTTTGAACAAATATAAATATAATGCAAAAATATGTAGAACTTTATGAAATAGCTCAGCCTTTTTATGCTAGCTTTTCCAAGTTCCTATATGGTTGAAGCCGGTTTCAGTCACGTAAATTCAATCTTAACTAAGTACAGAAATAAATTAAATGTGGAGTTACGAGGGGATTTAAAATTAAAATTGACCAATTTTGAACCCAATATAGCGAACCTTGCAAAAAAACACCAGGCACACTCATCTCATTGGTTAAGAAGCAATAAATCTGTAGTTACTTTACTTATTATTTCTACTTATTTATAATTACTTATTATTTAATAAATATTAAGGTATTTAAATTTCAACATTAATATATTTTTCATAAAACTATTGTTACACAATGTACTATTAGATTAATAAATGTTTAAATCATGATATAAATGTACAAACACAGTATCTAATAGAGTTTTATCTTAATTAACGGGAAATTACTTTTATGGGGGTCGATGGAGATTTCGAAAAATTATATAGGGGTCGATGATGAAAAAAGTTTGGCGACCCATGGTCTAGAATGAGACCATGCATCAAGGGTAGAGCAGTTTAGAGAGACAAGAATAGATGTGTGCAAGGCAAGGGGAAGAAAAGAAATCAAGTCCTTTCATTAATATATTAGTTCTTTTATTATAAATTTTTTCTTTTGCTTAGCTGATACTTCATGAAGAAAGGGAATCATTCTAAAAGAAAAGAATATTGCGTGAACAAGGATACTGCATATGGATCAGAACTTGCTTTTTTTAGGGGGGGGGGATAGTTCAAAGGTAATTCAGTTCTACTGGTAGCGCACATGCTTATAGTAACGAAGTAAAGCTCTAAGAAAATAAAGTAACAGAAAAAATTAAATCCATAACGGAAACTATGTCTAAAAAACATTAAAAATTGAATTTGTATAATAACGCCCTTATATATAAAGCATTTTATTAATAAAATTTTTTTTTCTTTTAGCATAATTGAATATTGAGATAACTGAATATGTTATGCATATTTAGCAGCGAAATATAGAACTTGTTCTGATAATTTTTTCAATGTTTTCCCCAAATTGCTTTATTTACTCTTTTTTAATACATGAAAAAAAAATTGCAAAATAATTTCCCATCAATTGCTACATAAATATTTTCATTTCATAAAGCTGATAATTTTTCATAAATGAAGTAGTTTGATTTAATTTCTAATTTAAATCACTGTAATCATGGGAATTAAAGAAATGAAGTTACGTACTATAAGCCAATTCACCACGGGAATTCTAATTGCAGTAAATCTTGACTAATAAGAGTTGAATAATATTAAGTATACTTAATTTTTTTTGCAAATTGAATTTTTAATCATTTTTATCCATAAATTTCATAATGTAAAGTAACTAAAAAGGGCAAACAATGTATTAAGGAATAAATAATTCAATCTAAATATAACTTTAAACTACATATTAATTGAGTAATAAGTAGGCATAAGAGACTAGATTTATTTAGACTGTATTAATAAAATATAATTGCATATATAGTAGTTCAAAAATGATCGTTCTCATAGAAGAAACATCAATACTTTAATAGAAATAATTTGTTCATGTTTAGTTTCATGTATAACATCTTGTATACGTCTTATCCAATACAAATTAAAATACTCTCAATTCTTTTAGTACATTTTTTCCTATTTGTATTAGAATCTTCATGCTATGCTGATAACTTCCAACACCATTTTTCACCCAAAAGTACAACAACCATTTTATTTTCGGGCACATCCATGCAATCTCAGTGGGTCATTTTCTGAAGACTCATAAAAGATAAAACAGCTCTTATATCATTAAGAGTCGTAACATCTTTACCTTTTTGACCATATTGCAGACCTTCAAATTGTTTATCATTGTTAGAGAAGTAGATGGTTATATTTTAGTTTTTCAATGTCACATTTGCTTTTTTTTAAACAATAATTTAACAGCTTTACCCTTTTCACACTCGTCTGTCATTTATCAATTTTTGTTGTAGGTAAGTGTTACAAATTTTAAGTTCCTTTTTATAACTTCTTCCCCATTGATAATCAACAAAGATTAACAAGAGAAGTAAGTATGTCGAAATTCCCATTAAAACAAGGTTAGGCTTATATTTATAAGAGTATGTTTGAAAACCTTAATTAGTCACCTGATCTGCCCCAAGGGTAAAATATGCCCCATTAAGGTTTGTTCATTTACTTTTAAATTAAAAAAAAAACTTTACAATTGATGTGAATTCTAGTTAGACTACATGCCTTCTACCAGAGAGGTTATGGGGTCGAATCCCAGCTGGGACAATTGAATTTTATCTCTAATTTTGTTTTCTAAAAAGATTGATAAATATTTAATATTTTTTATTCAATTTATAAATTTTTAAAAAAATTTAAATTATTAAAAAAAATTAATATTTTTAAATTAAAGTTTATAGATTATTTAAAAGATATCAATTTTTAAAATTACATTTAGTCATTTAAAAATTGAATTTAAATGCAATAACTTTTTTGAAATTACAAAATAAATTTATTACATCTTTGTAATTTAAAAATTAAATTGAAATTTAGTGTATAATTTAAATTGAGTTGAAAAGTTTTTAAAATTTTTTCTTGTAAAATAAATCATTTTAATTTACTAACAACAAAAAATAATAGATTTAATATTTTTTTTAAAAAATCATAAATTAAGAAATAATTAAAAAATTGAATAAAACATACTAACGAGTTATTCTTTTTAGGAAAAAAAAAATTGAGATAAAACTCAATGGTCCCAACTGGGATTTGAACCCTGGATTTCTCTGGCAGAAGGTGGACAGTTTTTCAAACATGCTCTTTAATTTTAACTTTATTTCAATAAAAATTTTCTAGATGCATACTACTTTCGCATGTTAATGTGAAACTGGGTTCCATAAGTTTTTAAAAGCTTGTAAACAAAACACTTATTTGACTTATAGCATGCCTAGCATTCTCTTTTTATTGGTTCCAAATGTATTTATTATTTACTCTATTGTAAATGTATTTATCATTACATTTATAAAGATCTTGCTTTTTGATAATAATAAAATTCCTCAAATATATTTCTTATTCTATATTGAGGGAGTGGAACTAAATTAAGAAGTTATTTGTAAAGAATCTGCCTTTATTTTAGCCGTGAACTAGGAAGCCAATAAGCTTTTTAGCCAGATAGCCTTTTACAAGATCATAAGCTTTTCTTTCCACTTTTTATTCTAGATATATCTATACTCTGTATAATTGCAGACTTCAATCTTATAGGACTAGTATTATTTACAAAAGACTATTGTCTGACGATTTTGTTCTAAACTTCGTAGATGCTTATAGTTCAGGTAGAGAGCAATGGATGAAAAATAAATATTTTGTAAATGTATTATTCAGGTAGTTTTTTACAATCATATTTGAATTCCATAAATGCTTTTTCTACACATAATATGTGAGATTGAACCATTTTTATTAAAAAGTTTTATAGTTAAATATGTTAAAATATTAGCATCAAAAGTTTGTATTTAGAAAAGAGCACCAGTTTATCAAAACAAGTGTTTTGAATGAAAGCAAAAGTTTTTTTAACTTTTCTACATAATCTGTATTTTTTTTTAAATCAGTTTATTTTACTATTAAAAGCTTTAGCTATTTCTGAATCTTCATAAATATGCTTTTATTACTATATGATAAAAAAGTATATAAAACAGAGTTAATTTTGACTAAAATTTGTAACACATTGATTTGAGAAAGCAGAGTGCACTTGATTCAATCAATATCGCCCTCATATAGAATTTTCATATTTTCCAGATATTTTATATTCATTATTCAGCCATTGTTGGACCAATATTAAAAAAAATATATAGACATTCCAATATAGGTCCCATATTAAGCAAATTTTGAGTCAAACTGGGGCCGAGGTAAAATTGTTGCGTGGGAGTTAACTCAATTTTATGATACAAAAGAATACTATTTTTGTGATCAGTAAAACATTTTTTATGAAATAGGGAAGTTCAATCTGGAAATTTATAAAATTTCAATAACTGACCCCAAAGAATATATATATATATATACATATATAAACACTGAATTTGAAGTGAAATAAAAACCAGCATAAACCAACAAAATAAGAATATTTTAATAACTTTCTCTCATTCCATTCACCATTGCTGTACATAAAACATAGGTTTAAAACAAAAATCTAAATAACTTTTTACAATTTTATTTTATTATTTTGCACATGCACTATCTATGCACATACAACAAAGGAATGCAGCTGAAGAATTCTACTGTACAAGGTAAACATTGACTAATTCCTTTTTTTTAATTATTAGAATCAGACCAACACATCTCATAAAAATTCCACTTTAATAATTACAAATTATTAAAATAACAGGTTAGATTTTAAAGAAAACATTCCCAAATGAACGCTAAAACTTCAATAAATATTTGTCATATTAATAGTAAAAATTACAAGTTAAGGAGTTCTCAGAACAATTTTTAAAAATTATTAGTATGAATGAAGTTAAAGTGAACTACCAAACAGCATCTTAATAGTTTTATTTATTAAATCCACATCAATTATTTCGCCCCTCCACATTTTATAAAAGTGTTGAACAATGAAAAATGGCAATACAAATTTAAATTACAAAACTATTCTTTATAAACAATCAAATTAAAGAAATTTCTCAAAATACCAACACTCAGTAAAAAAACCCATTATAAAATGGAAAAAAAAGAACTCCTTAACTCATTGAAATGGTGTATAATTAAATAGTATATAATATATTCCATTTAAAAATAAATTTATAATTATATAACTATATTTATTCACAGCTATCACAATTGTCCGAGACATTAACATGCATTTCAATTTACAAATGCCTCAACTTGTCTCAGATACCCATGAAAACCAATGTTCATGTCGGATAAGTTCTGCGGCCCATGCGTCCTATTGTATGGCGTTGGTTACTGATACTTGGCCTTCTAGAATCAAACTCGGCTGGATTAAACATCATTGGTGTTGTTTGATTTTCTAATTGTTGTTCCTAGAATAAATGTCAAGACATTTGAGCAACAGAACAAAGATCGATATGAATTTTTTTTTAAACTTAAAGCAAACTTAAGATTTACAGGTTATTCAACAGAGGAGGAACAGATTTCAAAATTAAAAATTTCGGAAACAGAGGGTTATAGGGAAATTAAACAAATGGTATGTTTATTTTGAATATTGTAAAAATTTTATGCAGAAATTTTGGAATTTAGTTATTACATTACGTTATTACATTGCGGAGACATTATTAGTAAATCCTCTAATTATAATTAGTAAGTCATACTAAGAAATTAAATTATCCTCTAAGCAAAAGCAAAAACATTTTAAACCAATAGAATTTTTATTAATCTTTCGTCAAAACTAAAGAGCATGACAATTTACCTACCTGAATTATTCATATTTCACGAATGTATAACAGTATCGAGCAAAAATTTTAGAAAGGAAATGTCATGCCCTTGATTAAACTATCAATACATAAATTTAAAATATATATAAAGAATAGCAATTGTAAAAAGATTTAAAATTAGCGTAACTAAATATAGCAAGTGGTATTCTTAGTATCACACAAACTCCTGAAGACTGAGAGTCTAAGGTTGCCTGCTGCTGTGGAAACAAGTAAAACTATTTTTAATGGGGGAGAATTGAAGATATGACATACTCGGCCGATTAATACTAACACCAAGTGACTTATCCTTGCTGTTGTAGTTCATTTACGTCGCACTAGAGCTGCACAATGGGCTTTTGGCGACGGTCTGGGAAACATCCCTGAGGATGATACCCTCGCTTTGGTAGCCCGACGACCTGCACTCGAAGTCGAGCACTTTACGGTAGAACAGTTTAACAAGGACCCATACTGCACATCCTCAGTCCCTACGCAGACAGATCCAAGTGGTCACCCACACACTGTCCGCAGTCAGTGATGCTCGACTTCGGTGATCTGCTGGGAACCGTGTCTTAACGATCAGTCCACTACGGGACGACTTATTCTTGCAACCACCTATGTGCAAGTATGGGTTTATATTATTAGGTAGAAATAAGAATATATGCACAGTCAAAAACCTATTACACTTACATACATTACTTTTAAAATAACTACAAGTAAAGTTAGTAAATTTTTTTAAAGAAGTATTTTTTACTATGATATATATAGAATTTAGCGTTTTAATTTTAAACATTGATACTCTTTGCAACGAATAGTGTGAATCTATGTTACTAAATTATTTTTAAGTTCCTTCACAAAACCTTTGTAAAATAATTCAAAACTTTTTAAAAAAATAAATGTGAAAGTAGATCTAATTTTGTCGCTGCTAAATAAAACTCACAAATAATTTTTTTAAAGTGCTATTTTATTTGATTAGTAATAAAAATTTTGATTTTAGTTCAAATTAGATTTCAGAAATTTACTAGATCTAAAGCAACACTGATAATAAAAACATTGTAAAGATACAGCTAAATATGAATATTGTTCAATTTGAATAATAAAATTCTAATAATAAACTTATCAAAGTAAAATGCAAATATGATTTTCTTTACTAAAATGAATTTTGTGTTAATAAAAATGCCTGAATATTAAAAAAAAAGGAAGTGATAAGGGAAGCTTAAAATTGATAATGAGAAAACTACTTACTTCTTCCAGCTGTGGAGAATTGTAATTTGCATTACTTGATTCTACATTTGCAGTATTTTCACTTGATGTTGGTGCTATTAAAATATTCCATAATTAACTTAACTTCCATTAATATTTACACATGATTCACAGTAAACCTAATATTTTAACTTAAACCCTTTACATTGGAAGACTTTTTTTTTTTCATTCACATAAACAGCAGCTTGAAGAATTAAATATATAGTATACTAATTATGTATTATTAGTAGAGTCTTAAATATTGAAGCCACTTTTTTTAAAAATGGCTCTGATTGGAATTTTCAAATGCAAAAGGTTTAAGAACATAAAATGAATCTACAGAAAAATTGAAATATGTTAATCGTAATTGTGCTGTGAAACAATACGAGTCAAAGAAACTATTGAATTTTATTTAAAACAATTTTGAACACAGATAAGTGAATAACTCTCGGCGAAGATTAAATTACATAAATTTTTATAAACTTACATTCCTACTAAATGTGGTTTGATCAATCTACTTTAAATGCAATAATCAATTTGTCAATGTTCATTTTATATAAATTTTACTTTTGATGTAATAGCGACAAAAAAATATTGTCAGTGCAGCACGAGAAAACATTTTGTATTAAAATTAAAAATTTGTTGAATATTTCTACTCTAAGATGAAAACCAATTAAATATTTCAGTTTGTTTTCCGACAGCATCGTTGGAATGGTTTGGAGCTATTCGAAGAGCTCGGTCGCTGAACATATACATTATATAAAACACAAAAAAAGTCAATTTAAAAATCATTTTACAGCTATATAATACATATACATTTAACATTGCAAAATAGAAATAAACTAACCTGCTGGTGGCATAAATACATTTGGCGAAACGGCAGCATCGTAAGATGGAGTAAATAGGCCTTCAGGTATGACATTTTTCTTAGTAACACCACTTGTACTTAGAACATCAACATAGTTTTGACGCATCCCTAAAAAAATTAAGAGAATTTACTTCACAAATACCAGCAAGTCTAAGTAGTGCAGTAACAACTACCTATGGAAGGAACTCCCTTCGCCATTCACCTGGAACAGTGGCGGTGGATAAGGTTTAACAATTTCAAGTACGAGTTTTGGGTCGATATTTAAGACAAGGTTTGATTAGGGTCGGCAAGAGAAAGGGATCAAAGGAGAGAGAAGCGTCCCTCTTTTAAATGTGCTATTTCATGTTTACATAGCAGCAGATGGCCTTTTTGGAGAGGGGAGTTGTTTTTATAGACAAACAGTAATGATAAAAGATAACAAAACTAGCTAACAATTAAATTCTTGTGAAAAGTGGAGAAAATGCTGTAATTTTTCTGGATTTAAAAAACATATTACATTGAGGGTTGAATTTACAAAAAATGCAAACCCATAAAAACTAAAAACCCATATATTCAGAAAAATTTGCCTTTTCAGGCATGTTTTTTTTAAAAAAATTATGTATTATTATTATTGTCAGTTCACTGAATAGTAAGATAATTAATAGAACAGTTTGTTCTGTTATGTATTGTTCAGATGCGTGAAGGCTGAAAGGAGAAATTATCTAAATTTTTTTTTTTTTTAATGTGCAGTTTATTTAGTATTCTTTTTTTCAACATAGAAGATATAGACTCATTTTAATGCACAAATGTAACATTCATAAAATTTAAAGAGAGGAATGAAACATTTTTCTTTAATAAATTTTTTCTCATAAACACTTAAAAAAATTTATTTATATTGAAGAAAAAATTACATATTCCTTCTCTTTTGCACTTTGCAAGTAGTCATCGCATTTAAAAAAATAAGATTTTAAAAACCATTACCACAGCAATAAATGAAAAAAGATTGATGATAAAAGCATGAGAATTTATGAAGAAATCGCTAAATTCGAAGGCGTCCAAAAGGGGTTAGTTAAAAGTTTCCAGATTCACGTGTTGTAATAAAAAATTTTGTGTTAAAAATATCAAGATATTAAAAAACATGAAAAAATCAGTTTTGATAACTGTTGAAAAATTGATTGAAAAAACTATAGAAATATCGCATAAATTAGTGAATACTCAGGTGCGTGATTCAAATTTCGTGTATCATAATATCAAAAATTTTTAAAAATTATGCGAAAATTAACAGCAATAGAGAGAAAGAGATGATCGAAACGTTGCATGGATTTAACGCAAATCAAGAGCAACAAAAAGTATTTACTTAAATGCGGGATTCGAATTTCTCATTTCTTAACAATATCGTATGAAAATATTGTGATTTACATTAACTTAAAAAGTTAATCGAAAAAAAAAACAGTGTTATTGTCTTGTCAAAAAGTGCACGAATTGAATTTTGCATGTCCAAATAATGATGTAAAAAAATTTTTACATTTTTTTTTTACATCATTATTTGGACATGCAAAATTCTTTTTTAAATTTGCATGAATGAATTTTTTTTTTTAAAGTGAAAATTTGCATCAATAATAGCCGATAAAATAATCAAAGCACAGCACAGATTTACGATGATATCGACTCAAAACGATTCCATTAAAAAATTAACAATCGAAACATCAATGTCTTGCGGAAATCCGAGAATCAATGGTTTTGAGATTTGCGGAATGCTTCAAATTAGTGAAAGAATAACATGCCTGATTGTTGTAATCAATATTATCTGGAGTGTGCATGTTCAAACTAATTGTTTCATTTGTATTTAACAATAAAGAATTTGCATGAAAACACAGACATCTCCAGATCTTCTCATAACATTGGCTTAAACTTCTTTTCGAATTTTTGAACTAAATACTGAATGTGCATAATTCTATCAAAAGAATAACCTGGAAACTGTTGCAGTTATTTACTTCTTCATTCAGGATAAAAAAGTTTGTTATATACTTGATGTTTGTTACTTGATGTATATTAATATAATGCTCCTTTACATTAGATTTTTTTTTATATGCATATAATTGAGGCTAGTTTTGTACTTTCTATTTATTTTCTTAACTGAGTGGGGAAAAGAATTGCTTTTACCTCTAGTTTTTGGCCTTTGAAATTTGTTTACTGGTTGAGAAGAGGCAGTTGAAGGAGGCACTGAATTATTAGTCACCATAGAATTCACTGGAGGAAAAGAACTATTGGTTGGACTCTGAAAATTCATTTCGGAAGACTTGGAACCTAGTGCACATGATCAAAAGATATAATTTCTACATTTATGAATAAATTAAATTTCATTTTTCATTACAAATGTATTGGCAAAACTTGAAAGGATTGAAATTTCAAAAAGTTTTTCAATTGTTTTTCACACTAATACTAAATTAATATTTTATATTATAATAATAAAGCAGTAAAATCGACTGGAAACTTACAAANGGTTAGTTAGATTTACGTTTCCAGATTCACGAGTTGTAATAAAAAAATTTGTGTTAAAAATATGGAGATTTTAAAAAACACGTAAAAATAAGCTCTGATAACTGTTGAAAAATTGATTGAAAAAAACTATAAAAATATCACATAATTGCATTAAAAATGAACAGCCAGAGCATAAATTGTCTCACGGAAATCCGCGAATCAATGGTTTTGAGATTTGCAGAATTCTCCAAATCAGTAAAAGAATTATATGCCTGATTGTCGTAATTAATATTATCTGGAGTTTGCATGTTCAAACTAATTGTTTCATTTGTATTTAACAATAAAGAATTTGCATGAAAACACAGACATCTCCATATCTCTTCTCATAACATCGGCTTAAACTTCTTTTCGAATTTTTGGACTAAATGCTGAATATGTATAATTCTATCAAAAGAATAACCAGGAAACTGTTGCAGTTACTTACTTTTTCATTCAGGATAAAAGAAGTCTTTGCAGTAAGCTGTTATTCCATGTGTAGTTACATGCAATTTCTTAACCAGCTTGTTCGAATATTCAATGTTCAGTCAAGTTTAATATCTAAGGCTAGCTGCAATTTGTTACTTGATGCAGTGTTTTCATCATAGAAAAAGAATGGGTGAGAATTTCTCACCTTTTCTCGAAAACAGGGTGAGATTTCAAAAAGTTAAGTGAGATTTCTAAAAACTAAAAAAACTCAAAAACTCTTGAAAAAAAATCATTTCTTTAATTATAACACATTTTTAACGCTTTCTATTTTTTAAAGCATTGAATATTTTTGTTGCATCATCATAGAAGATTTTGCGTTTACAAGGTATTTGTCCATCTTACATAAGTGCATAAAAAATTTGAACGTCTTACATGAAGAAACCTTACCTACGGTAAACAAGTGATTGCAGAGAAATGTGTTCTGAAAGGGGTTCCATGGTTGTGTTCTGTTGTTCGAAAAGGGTCTGAACAATACTGGTAAATAGGGAAGCTGGATAATGGGGTAGATGTTGAAAATAATGAAAGATCCAGGACGAAAATCGAAATGGATTTTATTCTAAATGGCGTAATTCGAAACTTTTTCCAAAATGCGAGAAATTCGCGAATTTTGAAATTGATTTATAGAATGCGCGAATTTCTCACGGTAATCATTTTTTAACGCGAGAAAGGGGAAAAAATGTGAAATTCTCGAGTTCTCCCGCTGTAGTGAAAACACTGCTTGATGTATATTAATATAATGCTCTTTTACATTAGATTTTTTTTATATGCATATAATTGAGGCTAGTCTTGCACTTTCTATTTACTTTCCTAACTGGAGAGAAAAAAAATTTGCTTTTACCTCTAGTTTTTGGCCTTTGAAATTTGTTTACTGGTTGAGAAGAGGCAGTTGAAGGAGGCACTGAATTATTAGTCACCATAGAATTCACTGGAGGAAAAGAACTATTGGTTGGACTCTGAAAATTCATTTCGGAAGACTTGGAACCTAGTGCACATGATCAAAAGATATAATTTCTACATTTATTTCATTACATACTATTATTATGCATTGGCAAAACTTAAAAGGATCGAAATTTTAAATAGTTTTTCCATTGCCCCCTCACTAATACTAAATAAATATTTTACATGAGAATAAAAGAACAGGAAAACCAACTGGAAACTTACAAAAAGGAAAAAAATTGCATAAAACTTTAATTTCAAATAATTGCAAAATTTTCAAATGCAATGAAAAGTATAAAAAAATCAATTATGAGAGATTGCATGGGGAAAAAAATCACAATTGTATGCATTAAAAAATCATCTGAATGAATTACATAAAATTTATATAATAAATGTATAATTTTTCTTCTGGCCATTGCAAAAAACTGCCTTTGAATAATTCTAGAACTAAAAGTAACTAAATTTTGTATTAATACGCAACTGTTGCTTATTGTATATCATAAAATTTGCTTTAGTTTAGGTCAAATTTTATGGGTTAACAAGAAAATTAATAGAGCCCCGATTTGAGCTTATTGTAATAACGGATATTTACGTGAGCAAAAATTTGTTATCTTGAAACAAAATTACGCAGTATAACCTTGATATAAAGAATACAGTTAATTACAACAAACCTACTATTATTACAAGTTTCCAAGTCCCGGTTAAATTTCTAATATTAAGGATCAGCAAAAATTTGTTATCTGGAAACAAAATTTTGCAGTATAACCTTGATATAAAAAATACAGTACATTACAACAAACCTACTATTATGACAAGTTTCCAAGTCCTGGTTAAATTTTTAATATTAAGGATAAAAAAATCTGTTTGCTTACAATTTGTTTTATTTTGTTGTTTAAGTGGGCAATAATATGAAAAAGGGCATTTATTTTTGGTATCACAAAGTATCAAGCTTGACAAGACAGGTTTATATATAATCAAAGAAATTTGTCGTTATAAAGAAAAATATGTCACATTATACAAAATAAAGTATTCACACAAAAAAAAGGAAAAACAAACATACCCATTAATTCTGAATCTGTAGGAGGAGCAACAGGTGCACTACTATCTTCATCATCATTGCTATCTTTGTTCACCCAACAATTTTTTACATCATCCCATACAATCTATAAAAAAAAATTTAAATGTGAAGAAAATGACAGCCATGTAATAGATTGTCTTTTTAACACAGAAATACATGAGTTAAATAATGTTAAAACTACAGCCAAGTAATAGATTGTCTTTTTAACACAGAAAAACATGCGTAAAATAATGATAAAACTAAACTGGATAAAGGGTGATACAAAAATTCATAAAAAATACCTATTAGGATCTCTTCAAATTTCAAGATTAATTATAAGTATCTAGATTGTATTATGCATAGATAGTAGGAACATAAGATTTGATCTCTGTCACACATTAGGAAAAAACTGAATTCAGAATAAATTTTGCCCTATTATTTTAAATATTTTTCTATTTTGACAATATTTATTTTATTAATAGATAGCTTTACTCCCTTTAATCATATATATACTTGTTTATTAAGGGAAAAATTTTTTTGAATCTGTAGTGCGGTGATGATCTTTAAGATAACAATTTAAATTTTTTATTTAAAAATACATTTTATGGGAAGATTCACTTAAAGATGTAACAATTCCTTAAATGATAATATTTAATTATGTATTTCTTATTTATTTTTTTTAATATTTAATTAAACTCATATAATGGTTTCTTTAAAGATTATAATACCGTAAACTTGATTAAAAAAAATGCTAGCAAATACCCAGAAACAGCATTTTTAGTTGTTATTATTACATGCCAGGTAACTTCGATTTTTCTGAAAGAAAACTACAACTGTGAATTGGTAAATAAATTTATTTTCTTTTGATTTCTTTCCTTATTTTTTCCTTTCTATCACAGAAAATTAAATTAAATCAAACATTTGCTTGTCCAAAAAAAAAAAAAAAAAAAAAAAAAAAAAAAAAAACAGTTACACTTGTTAAATCTTTCAAATGTGATACATAAACGTTAACAAACACAATGAAGTAAAACATGCTTACCGTAGGATTTTTATCATCTGGCAAGATCATTTGATTAGGACCTTTAGGTAGTAATCTGCTAAATATGCCACCAAGCCAAGTTTTTCCAGCCTAAAATAAGGAATTAATTCTCCATGTAATTGAATAGGAAAATAGTGTGTAGGGGGAAAATTCCTATACAATTTTACCTAAGGGATACACACTTTGAGGGTTAATACACAATAGAGTGCAGATTATCCAGACCAACCAAGAGCAAGGCCAATCTGGTTAATGAAAAATCCAGATTATTGAATAGTTAAAAAAAATAGCTATGGCAATGTTTTTTTAAGTATCCAATACAATTAATAGCCCCATATTCAAGATGCTTCTGTTTTACCTTTTCTCAATCTTTTAACTATCTTAATTTTTTAAATGTAAGAAAGCATGAATGTTTTATACTATCCAACCATGATTGAAAACACCTCCTGCACCTGCTCAACTGAAAATGCATTCCTCCTCTCTAATATTTGGATTAAAAAAGTTAGTCCATTTATGGAAAAAACTGTTTTACTCTATTTTCCACCCTTATACAGCAAAGGTAGCTCAGAGATCATCTAGGAAGACATTAGTGGTCAGTCAACATAAACACCTACGGTGATAGACATTTTACTTAATATTGAAAACAAATATATTCATAATATATATGTATAGATATGTGGGGAGAGTAGTTATCGACCATGTCAACCTTCATCTATGAAAAGGTACCCCGACATAGAGTCGAGTTAACATGTCTTATATACTAGTGAATTGTAGTTGTAATTTTGTAGTGGTAGATACGCTACAGTACTCCCCCACCAGAATTATAGCTGTGGTAGAATTCGATGAACGAATACCACTAGTTGATTCATTGCTGTTTTGTGCGAAGCCCGGAGAGCTGTATTAAGATCACCGTATTTTTTTGAGTGCTGAATGTGAGAGGTGTATTAACTTCGGTCGTAGTCGCTCCTGTGTTGGCTTTAGCAGTCGAGTGTATATGCAGGCCGACGTTGTGTGCTCGAGACTGAGTAGCAACAGTGCGAGAAGGTGGATAATGTTGCAGTCACAAGTAGCAAGTCAACTATTCAATGTGGATCATCCATCGAAGTAGGTGTTACTGTCTAGGTAGGCGTGTTCATATCGAAGTGGGCGTTACTGTCAAGGTAGGCGTGTTCACATCACGTCCGAAGGTCACCAATGTGGGGAGAGTAGNCTTTTTAATTATCTCCAGCACTACTTCACACATTGATCGAATCCATGCCACGTCGTGTTGCGGCGCTTCTGCATACTCGCAGGTACCCTACACGATATTAGGCAGGCATATCAGTTTTTTTGGCTCTTCAGTGTATTATTCTATGCATGTAGACTTATTTTTTTCATCTATCATTATAAATTCATTACACATAGATTTATAACGATAAAAATATCTTGCAGAAAGATATTGGTTCTAGTTAGGTTTGTCGCAGAAAGCCAGAAAAAATTCTGCCACAGGGATAAGGCAATCAATTTTTAAAAAAAATCACTCAAGTTTTATATATAAACAAAAAAATTGTATAAAATAGTTAAAGGGTTGGAATTTATATCTAACTATAAAAGTTTTTATAGCAGATTCTTGAAATATTTACATACACCATTTTTTATGATATTCTACAAATGGTAGAGTAAAATCTTTATCATATGTATGTAAAAAAAAATTCTTGTTTAAGCAGTTCTTGTTTATAATGAGCCGTATGTTTTTTGAAATATTGATAGAATACTAATAAAAATTCTATAATTTTTAGTTATTTTAATTTAAAGCATAGCTTTTAGAGTATTCTAAACTGAAGTGTAATGATGAAAAAAAATATCTCTAAGTTAATTTCAGAGTTTTTAAGAGCACTAATATTACAATGATGTTATAAAATTACTTCCCTTTTAATATTTTTTTTCAAAAAATTAGCTTTTCATCAATTAGATTGTTTTTTTTTTGTTTTTTTTTTAAAAAAGAGTTAAAGTTTTTTAGAGACCTGCATAATTAAAGAATAATAATACTTCAATAATAAAAACATAATAGTAATTTTAAGGAGTTTGAACATATATTTATACATTTTGCATTTGCACAGTAAAAATATGTCTTATTTACCATTTTACAATGTTCATAATAGTAAAAAATAGAATAAAGTGCAAAAGGTGTGATGCAAGTAAGGTAAACAGTATATTGAATAACAAAGCTAAACAATTTTCTAGGAATGCCATTACAAAAAAAAATATTTTACATTTGCAACAGAAAAAAATTAGGTTACATTGTAATGCATGAAGCTCCATTGGAGTAAAAATATTCTCATCATCGCTTTCGACAACCCATACACATAAAATCCATATGGAGAAAGAGTTAACTTTGTGCTACTTTATGAATAAAGCTAAAACTGTGTGAAAAAAGACAAAATTAAAATAAAAAGAGAGAGAGAAACAGATAAGTGAGAACTTTAATCAGAGTCAAAACACAGAATGAAAGATTTCTAATGATTTGAATATTTTAATTTCTACTTCCTGCAGAATATAGGATTCTTGCCTTACCCCAACACATTTGTTTTTTATATCTTCCAACTTTTGTTGGCTTATCTTACTTGATCTTATTTCCCAAACCAGATCAATAATCTTTTTTCCTTGCTTGCTGTAACCTGTTTATAATTTTTTATTCATATCTGTGTATCTCTCTTTCATGCTGTGTTTCGACACAGAAGGTATAGTACGGCTTTCAGGAGAACTCCTCCAGACAACAGTCTCGTGTCGTGGCGGGTACCATGGTTACAAGAAAAATTCACTTCAAATAGGGGTGTGGGGTGAATAGTTTTGCCTTGATCTTGGCATAGGTCAGCATGAATAAACCAATCGACACCTTAATTCTTCCTTTACACCCCCATTAGAAATGTGCTCTTGCTTGTTACCATAGCAGCAGACAGCCCCAGACATTTAGTCTGGAGGAGTTCTCCTCGAAGCCGCACTATACTTCGTAGTATTAAAATGATCATGTCAGCTAATGGAAAATAGCACTCTTTTTACATTGCTTCAGTTTTGCTAACAGCAAATGCGTTTAACATAAAAATATTCAAAGCAAAATTTTCAATATCAGGTAAAAATGCAGCTATTGTTAGGGGTTTATAATTGATTATCTTTATTTACTTGGATTCATTGATTTTAAAATATAATGCAGTATTTACTTTGAATAAAACATTTTTTTATTAAAACATGGAGAAAGAGTTAAGTGTGATGTTACATAATTAATTTGTTAAAAAAATAAGATTTTTAATATTTTCAGAATAATAATCAGTTTAAAATAAATTGATGAAGAAAAAAAGGCTTTAAAGTGGTGATTCCAATTATTCTTGCTCAATAAGATACTTATATAATAAGGATAACTACTTTTAAAATTACTACATTAAGCAGTAGCTTTCATACTCACAGCTTCAGCACGTAGTTGCCCAATTCTTTTATTTGCACTTTGCATTCTTTTAAACATTCTCATGGGTGACATTCTATACAAGGTTTCATGTTTTGAAAGTTTGGAAGGCTTTTTTTTATTTTCATTATTCTCAGGTTTATTTTTAATAGATATCAATTTATCAGATGACTGATCAGCTAGTTTAGGTTTTGCACTAAGGACAACTGAGTCAAAATTTGCAGCTAAGTTATCCGGAAAACTTGTTTTGCAAATCATTTGATTGGAATAACTTGGTGAAAGAGGTTTCAGTTTCGTTGTTATGAAAGGCTCATCAATAGGGTAAGTACCTCCGAAAATAAGAGGAGGCTTTTTATTGAACTCGTTTGCCATCAGCTTGCTCAATTCAGAATTTTTCTTTTCTTCATCAGACAATTTTTTCAAAATACTGATTATCTTTTTAGTTTCTTGAACGGATTCCTCCATGCTTTTTTCTTCTTGTACCTCAACTTTTTCACTCGTATCAAATGGTTCATCAATAGCAAATGTTTTCTTGCTCTGGAGCAACTTTTCAATTGTTTCATTTTTCTTCTTAGCCTTACGTTTCCTCTTGGCAAGTTTAGAGGAACTGTCATCAGACTTCAAGAGACCTAGTGTGGCAAGCAAAGACAATTTGGAATGGCTTTTGTCTTTTTCTTTGCTAGGACTACACTCAGGACTACTATCGCTTAGGTGATTCACTTCATTTTTCTTCTTACTGAACTTCCGACGGCGAATGCCAGTTCTTTGCAAGCGACCAGTACAACTGGATGCACTTGCATCAAATTTAATGCACTTCTTATGCTTCATACCGAGTGACCGACCCGATTTCAGGCACGAGTTAAGCGTGCGTACGTCAATACCAGAACGAGACATCAACATTCTGCGATCCTCGTCGCAATCGTTTGAGAGAAGATAGTTATGCAATGGGGTGCTATGGGCGGAAGAGCACAAGGCGACATCACTTTCCGTCTCCTCCTTCTGCATTAGTGCTTTAAGGTCAGATTTAGGACATTGGTGGTCGTGGTCAGCATCAGATAGAGAAACGGAGGGAAGGGAATGAGCAGAACTCCATTCCTAAGCAGCACAAGAATACAAAGGACAGAAATGGAGTCATTTAAGAGAAATGGTTAGCATGAGCAATGGTAATAAATCAAAGTTGCTAGTTGTTCAGGCAAGCAAGAGATAAAATTAGGGTGTAGAAATAAGCTGTTATATAACAGTCACTTTATGCCAAATTCAAGAGCTGACCAAATACAATTTTGGTGAATTTCAGCTGAACGAACAAATGTGGATGTGCATGCAGGCAAACAACTAATGGTGGATTTATTTTTTAAATTATTAAAAGAAGCTATTATATTAGTAATTTAAAGAATGAAATAAGCAATAGGAGTAGAAATGAAACAGTTTGTCTTACCGATAGAGATAATCTTATTTATTCCAATCCTATCATTTCTTTCTTCTTTGTCTTTCACTTAATACTTTGGAAATTTTCTTATTCAATTAGAATTATTTGACTAAGTTTGAATGTAACTAAAAGAGGTTTAACTGATTGCATGCAATACTAGTATGAAGCAAGATATTTACCATATCACTAAGCAAGAAGCACCAAAAGCTTAATATGCAAAAGAAAAACACATAAAGCCATGCAAAAATGATTTGGACTTTTTAGCATCACAACATTCTTTTTTT